GGAGAAAACATGAAGTTTCGAAGCACTGATAGCGCTGTCAGCTCGTTTGGATCATTCCAGCGAATTGTGGTGATGGTGTTCTTCAGGGTTGGAGAATTTCCAGGGAACTCTTCAGGCTCTTCTCTCTCCATATCTAAAAAATTACTGGTCGATGTTGATGACTGATCTTTAGGCAGGGCCAGAATTTTTAAGTATGTCTCTCTTATCAATGTATAATTCCGACCTTGAAGACTTCCAAGATGTAAAAAATTTCCAGGAAAATTCTCCTTTTTCAGAAGATGATGATGGTGATTGTCTTCAAGCTGATTCCTGAAGAGAGAATGAAGGAGATCGACGTCATTCTCACTGATAGGACTATCCGAATTCGTCTTATCAATCGCTCGTAACAAAATCTCCAGCTCTTCCAAAATATCCTTTCCATATGTCAAGTGATACTCATTTCCGTCCATTCGGATGTATATTGTCTTTCCTAAATTGTCATCCATTAAATTGTATTCCAATTTCTTAAACCTTCGGTAACAACCTTCAGGATAAATTTCCTTCGTCCCCGGAACTGACGTCACTACTCGATGATATCGCGGTAACTAAAAAATAGTATAATCATTAATGATAGATAAAAATATAAGACAATTAATTATACATACATTTTCTTGTTTAAATTCTTCCTTTCGCGGCATTTGCGTGGTGAGGACAATGGGTCTAGGAGCTGTTGTAATTGTTGGTAAAATTGCCTTTAATGTTGAAGTCGATTCGATATCTCGATTTTCTGAATAATTGGAGGTTGAATTAAAAGAGCCAGTAGAATTATTAACGTCTACCTGCCCCGTGTAATTATTCCCAGATAAATTTCGATAATTTTGCACGTTCTTTTTCAACATTTCAGACATTATCATTTCCTCAGTCTCTTTTTCAGATGTTTTATTTTCATTCATTGGTTCATCGAATGATGGATTTTCTTCGATAACTTCACTTGTCTCTTCAGTCAAGACATCTTCAGGAACTTGTGAAGAAGTCGAGTATCTCTTCCTTTTAGAAAAAACGTGACGTCTATCATTGAAATTACTTAATCCATCCTCTTGATATTCTGGATAAAATCTGAAGAGTGATAAAAAATATATAATTAGAAATTAAATGAATAATTTTTGGGTAATTTAATCTAGATTAAAAAAAAAAATATCCTCCCGCAATTAATTTTACCTTCGAGAGGTAAAGTCCTTTTTAAGTCCAGCATGCTCTTCAGGATCCCTGTCCGAGTATTGGTCTCGACTTCTCTTCTCAACGGAGTCTTCCTCCTCCTCCAGGACCCTATAAATGGAATCCTCGTCCCTCCCAGAGAGTTCTTCAGCATTCTCGTCCTCTTCCTCGTTATAAGCCGCGTCCTCGTCTTTGAAGTCATCACCAGGACCCCCCCAGGTGACAAAAGTCCTGCGAACCTGCGACGCTGCATCTGCAGGGACGTTTTCAGATATAGCATCCTTGACATCCAGGACGTCCTCTCCAGGATCCAAGCTCAGCTTCATCCTCGAATTTCCAACGTCCTCGAGGACATCGTTCCTGGGAGTAATCACTCCTTCGGGGTTTTTTATAACCGCTGGCTCGATATTTGCACCTAAATCCCGACAGGTGAATCTCACACACACGAGTCCTGGTCTGCACCAGGACGTTGCAAGGATCATCACATCGGAAGTCGAAGGAATCCCCACTTCCAAGGCGTGGATGTCTATTGGCCTCACAGATAATTGGGAGCCGCAGGATTCGCCTAATTCTATTAAAAATTTTTAAATAATTAATATTAAAATACAACTCGATTCAAAATTTTAGTAAGAATGTGGTGAATATATTTTATAAGGCTGGTGTTAATTTTTTTATTTTATATCATCTCACCTCTCACCAGGATACAGGAAGGACAACAACCACATAAGTCACCTCGAAGACTTGGGAAGGAAATGTTGGAACAAGTCGGAATTGTTCCTGTTCGACATCCTTCGCATTGTCCTTGTGAGCACCAGGCTTTTCTGCTTTGATTTTCCCCGATTTGATCCAAAGACCTCGATCCTGATATCTGGTGCAATAATAACGAGAAGGACAGCCACGCTGCTGCTCCTGATAAGGACCATTGAACATGAATTAATTCCAAATTAAATTAAATTCAGAATTCATTTACGATCCTGAACAAACGATGGCCTTTGTTATGACAATAAAAACCTGAATATTAATTCCGAGGATATATCATATTCTTTTCTATTGGGATTAAAATCTCACTTTTATATCCACTCAACTAAAACCTGGATTTTAATTGAAAGAACGTGTTATGGCCTTCATTTTTTTTATTACAATCGAACAAATAATTCTCGGGTATTTTCAAAGATGCTGCTCCTCATAATCATCGAACACGAATTAATTCCAAATAAAATTAAATTCAGAATTCACTTACGATTCTGAACAAACGATGGCCTTTGTTATGACAATAAAAACCTGAATATTAATTCCGAGGATATATCATATTCTTTTCTATTGGGATTAAAATCTCACTTTTATATCTACTCAACTAAAACCTGGATTTTAATTGCAAGAACGTGTTATGGCCTTCATTATTTTTATTATAATCGAAAAAATAATTCTCGGGTATTTTCAAAGATATGGAATGCAATTTTCGGATTTAATGTGTTAATTAATGGAAACTCACTCGAGTTGATTAGCACTTGATTCATTTTCCGAAGCCTCGCGAGAAGAAACTGACCGGCAATGGAGGATCGATCGGGCCTTCTTATAGGATCGAGCACAATTGATCGACGTGTCGTATTTAAAAAAAACACACTTTGCATCGCGACTTGCAACATGTAACATCCTACGAACGAGTCCAGTGATCGACGGGAAAAAATATATCGATTTACGGGGATCGTTCGTCGATCAATCGCACCCGCGATGACACTACTCGAATTTACCAAGCTTCCGCTTTTAGTTTTTCAAACGCATTTTTCCGTACACGCGGTCGACACGGTTTTTTCGCGTCTTTTTTTCATTTTTTTTTTTTTTAAGAGAAAATGCATTTTCCAAATTTTCTATAGTCATTGTAAAAACCGAGTAGAAACGCGACGCTCGAGTGTCACTTGTCACTTGGCACTTCAATCTTAAAAAATGTCTTGACACTTCAAGCGAAATTCCCTTTAAAAAATCAAACATAATTTCGAAGGAAAAAAATGCAGATTTCTCATTCAGAAAATCTTTGTGAAAATTTATACTCTTGCCGGGTATTTGGAGAAGGAAAATTTTCGGACAGAAATTAAATTACTGGGAGAGGTAAGAGGGAATTTTGGAATTTGAAATATTTTTTGAGATAAGGTTATTGGGCTTGGATGGCTAATCTTTATGTCGTTTAATTTCCTCATTTCATGACATTTTCCACAATCGAAGGATGTTCTTTTGTATTCGGACGAGGCAGGATTTTCATTCCGAAGCATGAGTGAAGCATATGACAATTTAGAAGAGAATCCAGCAGAACCTGTACCGGATGCAATTACGGTAGCCGAACCGGGCCAACCACCGGAACCGGAAGAGCAAAACCCTTTGGCATCACCGCAAGGTTCCTTTACAAAATCCACGACCAAAATCCGCTTAAATAATTCCTTTTCATTCATTACAAGCAGACATTGCATTGATCTCGTCCGAAGAATCGGAAGCATCGAACGAGACCGACGCGGATGGACTTCCGGACCAAGAAGACACAAACGAAGAAGTTCAATTTCAAGTGGAATTCAATTTACCCCCATCATCAGAAGGTTCCTCATAAACAATTTCTATATATCCCCGGCCTTATTTTTTAATACTTAATGGAAAAGTTAAGCGACAACCGTGACTCGTATTCAAATAATATATATATTCATCAATGCTAGACATTTAATTTAAATGACTGGGATCTAAAATCGCCTCTCTAATCCCGACATTTTCAAGACACGGGATACTGACTTTGATATCAGTTTAATTAACATGATTTCTTGTTTAGATGCGGAGAAAAAACCGGGAGAAAAGAAAGAAAACGTGTCGCGAGTCGGAGGGACGTCCATCGCGTCCTCGCAGGTCGCAGACGACTTAGCAATTATTTTCGGGAAAGGTGCAGTATTTTTTTTTTATAATATGACAATTCTTCCTCATTTACATATCCATGGATGTATTTAATTAATAGCAAGCACTGTCAGTGTGATGACCGGACGCTCTATTAGCACCGAAAGCGAAACTTTAACAGCGACTACATCCGAAGACGACGAAGCCGAGATTTACGAAGTGGTTAACAAATTCACGCAGACCTTCTTCAAGTATATGCAAAATCTTTCAGAGAAACGATGCGTTAGGTTCATTAACATGGACATAGACCACGAGGATCGTTCAGTTATTTTTTACTGTTCTTCCAGTTACTTAATGAACAGTTACAACGAATGCAAAAAGTAAAATCGCACGACCTGGCCCTGAGCATGCACTTTTATATTTCTAAGATTATTTATTTTAACAATATTACAAGCATCCATTTTTAATATAATTTATATGTATCGGTCACCCAAGCTGTGTTTTATGCAAAGACAATTTTGCTTGAAAGGGACCTCCGTGCCATCTACAGAAATATTAAATAATTCAAAGAGGATCTTAACATGCGATGGTGTTTCAAGCAAGAACATTCATTGATCAGATGCTGGTAAGAGACTGTAATATTTCTCTGGGGTTCTATACTTCATTGTAGTCGGTAACGTAGGTATCCTGCAGTCTCAGCTGGTCGTCACCAATTGTTTGATACCAGCTGATAATATATGAAAATCTCCGAAAGTAACGAAACTTTAATATCACCCAATTGTTAACATCACGTGGTAACTGTACAACAGTTGCAATAACTTTTTATTACGTCCAGACGAGCGCTGACTGAAATATTAATTTTTCATTTCTACAAAATGTGTCTGACAATCTTTTACTAACTACTGTTTAATTATTGGGATCTGAGCGATAACGCGGGGTTATCGTAGTACGTATCGCGTTTATTAAATATTATAATTAATATGGTAATGAGTACAATATGGTTGTGCATTGCAGTTTCATACAAAATGTTATGTCTCACAGTTTACATAACGAATCATGTATTATCTTGATATATCACTCGCCACGACAAGCGCGCCTTTTTCCTCGAACTAAACTCGAGTTTGGATTTATTGGAACCTCCCACAAATCACTAATATTTCTCATTCCTTTTCCTTCACCTCAACCGAACCACCTCACATCTTCTTGTACCAAAAGAGATAATGCTCCCCATCGCTGATCTGCAACTCGTCGACGCCTAGAAAAACAATGCAAAAATAGTATACGGCCCAGTAATCACGTCCAAAAAAATCATTATAAATTTCTAATAGATAGACTGAAGCTGATCAATCGGCAATATTGGAACCATGCTTCACTCTGTGTTTCTATTCTACGTCCTATAATATATTATAGCAGAAGACGCATGAGTGTCACGGACAAGATCACGGATTTCGGCTGAGCGCCGAGGTCTCTTTACTGCAACTATGGTCCCTCCTGGCATTTAATTTTTTTTAAAAAACCAATGCTGCTGTTAAACGATGTTATGCATCTAGAATATACCTCCTGGTGCAACCAACTGACTTCCTGGTGGCGATGATGGATCTGGTGGCACAGGCAATCTGTAGAGCAGCCAGTAATGGTAGGACATTAGCTCTTCTTTGTAGCCGGCAAGTGTGTGGATATAATGACCACTAGGCCATTCGGAGGCAGCAAATTGGAAGTGCGGTGACATTTCAGCAGCCGCGAGCATTACTCCGTAAAAGGTCTCATTTTTTGGTGCCGTCACGGTGAGACTGTAAGTCTCGTTAACGTTGCTGCCGACCCATAAGGTGTAAGAGACGTTCACCAAAGACGGTCCTTGAGTCGCACTTTCGGATCCTGAATTACTGGAGTTACCTACATCGGTAAATGGAGTCACAACTTCGCTGTGGTTGTAGGACAACCCCACGCCTGTAAAGTGGATTTAAATTTATGCAGCTGCGGATCAAAGGCATCTGAGAAAAAAAAAGTCAGAGCGAAGAATGGAATGCTCTTCGGGCACCTTTGTCACCGAACCCCTTGATGTTCATAAATCAGTCATGAGGTTCAAGGGTGTGAAAAAGACCTCGTTTGATTGTACAGACTCATCGAAGAAAGTCTATGAGTGCAGTTCGGCCATCGGGGAATTAAGATGAAGTGAAACCCCCTTCGTCGATTCGAATACAACACTTTTTTTTAAGGGTATTAGACCAAACTGCCCGAAACTTTGACACATTACTCTTGATCATCTAAGAATTGTCCTGACACATTCAAAATTTGGATTTTTTTTTGTTAATTTATATTATAGATATAAATAGAATTAACGAGGTCTCGGAGTGAAAATTTAATTGACCTGGAAATCACAGATGGCGCAGGGGGTCCCTCTGCAGTCCATTAGGGCCTCAGAAATCATAAATCCAGAAGATTTCTGGAGTTTTACCTCGATTTCTTTGCAATTATTGTATGAAAACGACAGGTGGAACATGTCATTTGGTACAATACCCAATATAATTCGACCCAGCTGTCGATATAAAAACGAACGTCGGCAACGTAGGTATTTAGAAAAATCTTTATCGACGTCGATCAAGTTCCTTGACGTGTTTCACTCCACCTTAAATGATTGTACAAAAACGTGGGATAAAAAATACTCACTGTTGCTCGTAGTCACACGAGGTGGTGAATTGTCAGTAATTCCCTGGTCGCAATCCAGAGTCCTGATACTCGCAAGATTTCGAGGAGCAATTCCAAGGATAACTTCAGCAGTGATGCGAACACTCGATTCGAAGGACCCGTCACTTTTCTGCTGGCTGGAGAGCCACGCAAGGGCAGCCGAATGGTTCCAATATATCGAGTCGGTGTTCTCAGGTTCCTGAGAAAAATGCAAAGCCTGCATGGCCAAAGCCGTAGTATGTACATCACCAAAACTGCCATCGGCTCTTTGCAGATGGGCCAGCAAGATCGTAGGCTTCCGGAAGTAGTCACGCAGACGCCAATGTCTACGGTCCTGGACGATGCATCGCAACGCCAACATCGCCATCATCATTGTATCTACAAAGATATTCATAACATATGTACATACACCTTAGAAAATGAAACAGGATTCAGAAGAACCTTTGCAGAATCTTGTCAGCCAACGTCCTCACCAGGATCATGATCCGTAGCGGTGTTTAAGATGTCTTCGAGTCTGTAAATCAGTCTCCTCCTAACATGAGAATGTGCGCTACAAACAGCCAAAGTAGCCAGGGCAAAGTCATAATCTGCCGTCGGTTCGTGGTGATGTAGGGAGAATATGAGGTTATACGAAAGAAATTGCCTCGGGTCCATGCACAGAGCACTTAAAGCAAGTGCGTAGGGAGCCAGACCCTCCGAGAATGGGTTCATCCACTGATGTCTGAAACGAAGCCCTCGTTATCCCTTCTGACCGTTTACAGGTTAACGTCCGAACAGAAAATCCTGACCCGCGATAAAAAGGAATATTTTGTAAACAACGAATTCACTAACTGAGCCGTGAACAAATTAAGGTGTCCCATTGTGTCTCTTCAATTTGATTTTCCATTCGGGAAGCCTCCTTGGCAAACTAACCTCGACATGTGCAGGGCTAGTTCCAGTTCCATTTGTTTGGCGCTCAGCTGAAAATCCAGACTCAAGGGTGGTGGGACATTGTCATCTCGCGACAAATTTCCCAACCGAATAGCTAAGAGGGCCCAATGAGTATCATTTCCCCAGCCCGCGTCTTTATCCCGCTGAGTCCAGAGCCACGTGGTCGCTCTCTCCAATATGAAGTCCGCGTCCACCTCGGCGACGACAACCTCCGTATTTCCCGCTAGAAGAGTAATAAGACAAATTCCAACGTGTATTCAGATTCCTCCAGAAGGAACCATTCAGAAGACCCCGACATATCCAATTATCTCACGTGCTTACCTTTGCCACAGGCAAAAAGGCAAGTCCATAAAACCAGGAGGACCACCGCCGCCATGTTGGCTCTGCCCCACATGACCCTACGCAGAAGAAAAATTCGTTAAACAGTAAATAACACCCTGATAATGAAAAAAACCCATATTAATGTCATTGCAAAAATTACTAGGCAACATTTACATATCCTTTTTCATTCGTTTGCATCCATGTTACTTTCGATTAAACGTTGCTTCAAGTTATATCAGCACGATGCGTTTCCGAATTTTACAAGAAGATCAAGGAAAATCCGTTTTTATCAGGAATAAATACCCGTAATAGATGAAAAGGTATCGAATAACATTAATCTCACTTTATCCGTCGATTAAGGTACTCGAGGGGAATCCCTCACCTCTCGATTTATTTCGCAATCCACACGTGACCTGCCGGTACATAACCTAAAAATATAGAAACCGCGGTTTCTGGAAGACTTACGTCACTTATAGACGATCCACGTATAGACTCGGGTCATGTACGTGACATCTAATTTAACTACTCCAGGAAGTCTTCGATCGAGCGTCCACTTCCTGGTGTGGTATAAAAAGAGCGGTTTAATTCATAATTAAAAAGAGCGAGGAACTGTGCCACCGTTAAACGGTCTTTATAAGACCCTATTCCCTATTCCTACGACGGGTATTCCCTGTAATTTAGCTTTTCAACCACCCTAAGGTCTACGATCGACCACCCCTGAATGAATGTGTCGTCCTAGGGATTATCCGGCAATCTACGACGACCCTCTCACTTGGAAAGCGCTTAAAAGTGATTCACCGGACCCTCCATGGCAACCCTTTCACTTCCCACCTTGTGGACACGCACTCGGTCGGAATATATGCGTAAAGTGAGGGTTAAGGTCGTCAGAAAGCCTAGAACGTCGAAACGTAACCTCCATAGAACCTTTTGATATAAAATTTCTCTTCAAGTACTAGGACGTCCATAATCACGCGTTAAAGTTTCAAATTAATCAGTGCCCCCAGTTTTCCAAAAGTTCTGTAAATACTTTCACTTTTTGGTATATATGACCCTTTCATACAGGTTAAGGTGATATGAAAGTGCCCTCTGAGGGGTGAATCGTTCATGAAACTTTTTTTTGAACCGAGTGCACCGAATCGCTCCAAAATTTTCGATGTGGATATGGAGGCTATAAGGAAGGTCCCGCCCTCCAAAAAATTTCATTTTTAATAAAAAAAAAATCAAATACTTTAAAAATTCAAATTTCACAGGGCTTAGGACCTTCCTTATCGCCTCCATACTCACTCTATAAACGTAAACGTAAATTCGGTAAACCTAACTCGGGGAAGAATTTCATAAATGTGGCCTCTGACGTCACTTTGACATCTCCTTAAATGACACATCATGTCGACATGCTATCACGTCCCCCTGAATTTCAGGTGGCAAAATCAAGGTGGAACTCGCGACGGCGTTAGAATTTCGAGGCAAAAAGTCACCCGGGCAGCGTTATCGAGCGTTATCGAGCGTTATCGCGGTGTACCTGTACCCTCGCGCATGGTGCACCAATGCATAAGAGACAATCGACGCATGCAGGCCGTGCAAACACGGCCGAAGTCGACTCGGTGCATCCAGAGCGCATGAGGGACGCCCGGCGTCGGGACGTCGAACACGGGCGCGCATGATATTGCGTGGGATCGATATCACGGCGCCTGTCGCTCCCCGAGACCCGAGTCAACGTATATACATCTCGGTACCTATGTGCCCCTCTATGTACACGGCTTATCCTCGGTGCGGTGCACTCGGCGGGCTCCATTGTTAACCGGGCCAGCTCGTGCAGCGGTCCGATCGAAATCGCCGTTTCGAAACTGGGAAAAGAGACAAAAAAAACACAGCCCACGCTTTTTCGAATTGCCCCCGCCAAGTGGATGTCGCCTTCGCGCATGCGCGGTGGACACGCTCCGCGAGTAGCGCAAGACACTTCTCATATATACATTCTATGCATTAACGAAAATCATACACTTTGTAAATATTCACAATGAAAATCTGACGTTTATCTACCATAATGAAATTTAACGAAAATCATACACTTTGTAAATATTTACAATGAAAATCTGACGTTTCGCTATCATAATGAAATTTAACGAAAATATTCCAATTTGTGGGGTTTTTTTTTTTATATAGAATGAAGTGTCTGGTAATAATCGCGAAGTAGAGAATGTATTTTAATCACGTGTTTATAAATTAGTATATCTAAATGTGTCATTGAGATTATCAAGAAATATTTTAGATGTCTTTGGGTGGAGTTTAGGAGACGTCTTAAGAAATCTGTTGCTTGAGACGTTGAGGAAGGTTACAAAAAGAAATATTTCGAAATTATTCCGTGCTACTAGGGAAGTGGGCACTCTAGAGATAAGTAATCCCTTCAATTGTTCGCTTCCGTTAAGCCCGGCCCACGCCACGACTTGTCCATCGCTCTACTCGAGCGGTCCAAGAACCTCGCGATTTATAAAAACCGCACAAAGGTGGAAGTCGCGGGCGAAATAAAAAAAATAAATAAAGGGAAGAAATCCAGGCCGAGTGCACTCTGGCTCTGAAAGTTGCGCGGATTTTTTGGGCCATGTTGAAGCTCCCAAAGTGTGTCGCTCTTTACTCCCTTTTGCGCGAGCAATGGACAAAGCGCGACGCGTCGGCGAGGCTTTAGAAGGATGTAATAATTTTCCCTTTTATGACTGGATAATGAATCTCGCGTAATTTCCCAGCGTCCTGGAAAGCGACGTCCGGTGACGTTAATTAGAAGGGAGGTGTACGCGCATTTGAACCGTATATTATTTTAATACATTAGAGATTTTACTCATATTATTACTGGAAATTATTAGTTGACGGAAATAAATTAATTAATATATATATATTATTGCCCGAATAATATAGATTTGCAAGAAACAATGATTTCGCCGAGAGGAAAATTTAACGTTGACTTGAAGTAATTTTATTCACTGAGTTTCAATGAGAGGCGGTTAATGTAATTTTCAATACAAGGATCCTGAAAACGGGGAAAAATTAATTTTCACATTCGACGAGATCTCGTATTCTACTTTCAGTGAGTGACATTAATTAGAAGGGAGGTGTACGCGCATTCGAACCGTATATTATTTTAATATATCAGAGACTTTACTCAAATCCGGCCCACGGTGGAAATCGATTAGTTGACGGAAACAAATTAATGTACATATATATTATTGCCCGAATAATATAGATTTGCAAGAAACAATGATTTCGCCGAGAGGAAAATTTAACGTTGACTTGAAGTAATTTTATTCACTGAATTTCAATGAGAGGCGGTTAATGTAATTTTCAATACAAGGATCCTGAAAACGGGGAAAAATTAATTTTCACATTCGACGAGATCTCGTATTCTACTTTCAGTGAGTGACATTAATTAGAAGGGAGGTGTACGCGCATTCGAACCGTATATTATTTTAATATATCAGAGACTTTACTCAAATCCGGCCCACGGTGGAAATCGATTAGTTGACGGAAACAAATTAATGTACATATATATTATTGCCCGAATAATATAGATTTGCAAGAAACAATGATTCCATCGAGAGGAAAATTTAACGTTGACTTGAAGTAATTTTATTCACTGAATTTCAATGAGAGGCGGTTAATGTAATTTTCAATACAAGGATCCTGAAAACGGGGAAAAATTAACTTCCGCATTCGAGATCTCGGATTCTACTTTCAGCGAGGAAATCTAAAATTCCATTTGAGAGTCCCCGAGAGATTCGAAGATGACAGAGGCGGAAGGACTCGAGAGATCAAACGGAGTCCTTTAAATAATGAATTTGTCGAAAAGGGAATAAATAAAAGTCAACTGCGTTGGGCAATCGCGATATTTCCCTAATGATTAATTCACAGAGAAAAGGCGCGAGGCTTTGTGAATTTCAAGGTACTCCTTAGAATTAAAATCAGGAAGATAATTTAAACACTCAAGCAGAGTAGAACCGAACATTTTGTAGATACATTGTGACAAAGCGATTTGATCAGATCAGATCTTGACCTATCTCATGACAGCCTCGAGAAATTCCGTGACAAGGAACCTCACTTAATTCCTATTATTTCTCCAGGGTTCAATAACAGCACTGCCCTAAGGGATAAACAAGGCGTTTCCTTCCCGTTGCGTGAAGGAAATCATTGAAACAATGTGATTGGCTACTCGAAACGTTTCTCAGTAACCTATAACACTCACGAGGTAAGACAATCCCTGTCATTAAACAACTCCTTGTCCCAAAGCTTCTATTTGGCTTTGTCAGAAAAAAAAAAAAAATTAACCTAACTGGATAATATTTTACTGGAATTATTTGACACTTTAAGGCACATTTAATCATCTAATCCACTTAAAATAAACGGAACCTTTTTCCCTATTATTTTTTAAATTCTTTTAGTGTGACGGGAAAATAAAGAGGGTTCAATTTTGCGATTGAAATACCGCCCGAAGGAGTCCTCGGATCTTGCTCTTGGTGCGGGACCCGAGGGAAGCGAAGGTACAGGACTTACGCCGAGCGTCCCGGAGAGATCCTCGAGGTGAAGACCGAGGGTGGCACCACTTCCCCCGCGAAACGACGTCCCTCGGGATCCGCGGTTCCGGAGCACAGTGCGCGGGTGGCGGAGGTGGCGGAGGTCTCCGGGTAGCGACAGGCGTCGCGGCGCTCGGCGTCGTCACGATGCGCCTGTCTCGTGAATGCGCAATGCAGACTAACCCCCAGGATCGCACGAGGGGTTCGTAGACCTCCCTTCCGCCTCCCAGCCCCTCGACCCCACCGCCAGTCGATTTCCTGCGGAGCCCTTCGCGTCCCTTTTCCGCGCTTCTCGTCCTCCCACCACGTCGCTCCTCTCGACTTTTGGCTTTCCTGGTCGCAGAAATATTCAAACCGATCGTTGACCGAATTTGGACAAATCTAAAGCGTGGTACTGTAGAAGAAAAGTGGAAATTAGTTACTTTTATCTCTTGGGATCGATCCCGTTCAATTTCGGCGAATTAACGAGTTAGTTATTTACGATTAGTGTACGATTACGATTAACAGAATCCCAGTGATCGTAATGGTATACAGAACGTATATTAATACGATGTATCTACATCTTACACGTAAAACTCTTTGTACAATAGCTTACAGCTTTAGAATTAGTTACCTAATTAATCGATCGAGTAAAACGCAGGTTTACTTTGCGATTCTCGATTGGGAATCAAGGCGCGCACAGTGGATGTGAGTTCAATCGACCAATTACACGCTAATTCTTATCCTCACAGAGGATAGGGACAATACCTTTTGATCAGGTAGCATTTCTTTCTCGTAATAACAATTTAAAAGGTACTCTAAAAGAAATAATTACGATGATAAGAGATTGATTAGTCCACTTTTCCGATATTTCTTTCTTAAATACTAAGTTTGCATTGCATTTCTCAAAAGGCAACAGCCAGTCACGACTTAGTGCAAGTTATTCAGTGTCGCTACCTATGCATCGAACACCGTTAAAATAATCCATTTAAAAGTGTCCTCAAAATTCCCTCCATTGCATACAAGTATAATTTTTGTCGGGGTTATGTAGGTTGGGGTTTCAAGCCAGGCGACTCAGCTTCGCTCTTTTTTGGACTCGAATTGATCTCTTGTTGTTCCAGCCTCCGGTGACGTAGCATCGTCGACAAAACTCCATTGAAGCTTGCCGTTTTCTTCTTAGCACTACCTTTTGGCGTGCTTTCACCTACTCTGCGTACTGGTAACCGTGGAGAAGACATTTCATCCATGAAGTCAAAATCTGACTTCTCTTCAGGTCTAGAAAGTAATTCGACATTTTTAAATATTTATTCACAAGCATTAATGTCGCAAGCAAGGAGAATGAAAATTGTTTAGCTTACTTGTATTCTTGCAGACCATGGTCCTGCTGACGATTGTTCGAAGGTACAGGAGAAGGACCTCGCCTTCCGGGGCATTTCCACTCCAGTTCCAAGATCCGACCGTTTCCTTCCAGGCCTTCGATTAACGCTACGATGTCATCAGGCTTGAGGGACCAACCGTTCTATATCGATATAAATAACATGATTTTCATCTTAGAATAATAAATGAAATGAAACAATATATTAAATTGTCATCGACAATAACAGCAAGTAAGCGACTTCAAAATGAATAACGAACAACTTACCATGGGATCAACTTCATATTTTTCGTCATCGGAACATTCAACCGACCATTCCTCGTCGTTCCTTTCCATGTTTACAAACAATATTCGAAGGAAATGTCAACACTCGAACCAGCTACATTCTAAGCTTCGCATTTTGAGGTTAGTTCTCTTCCTAAAGAGGATAACCTTGGAACGGCGTGTACCTTCATAAACCCCGATATTTTGTCATTGGAAATACGTTTGGCACGTCCTTGCAGTCAAAAAGTCGTACAAATAAAGTTTCTCAAAATGCTCTGTACAGTCTTTAAAAAATAGTAAACACCATGACAGTCAACTAACATCTTTTTAGGTTATATCGGCGATACTCCATGAAAATGAAACTGGAATCCGAGATCGATTTCTCGTCAGGCTGTCTAATCAAGCTCTTCCCTCCATCGTCCGAGAGACCAGGGTCTCTCTTTCGCACCTATATTTACAATGAGTGCGACGAAGACAATCTGATGTGAAATATGTACTAGTATTCTTCCTCCTTTCTTACCTCACCGACCATGTTTCGTGATAAGGCAGCCTCTCCCGAGACTGAATTTATCCATCATCGATTGTGTCACACTTTCAGCATTTTTCTCGTCCGCAATTATAAAACATAAATAAAAAACGTGATTAATAGAGCGGTTGCCTTTTCCATTACTTCCTACAATAATGAACACGTTATAAGCACATTTTAATTTCAGTGCGATTCAAATTGGAACATATTTCGTGCCAGTGGAAATATATCTACTCTTCGACCAATCACAGTTTAGGAGTGAACGGAAGTAGCCAATCAGCGGCCTCCATTTCTGGCAGCTTGGGGAACAGTTCTGCAAGTAGCGCGGAATTTGAATTAGATCGAACATTGATCTGAACGTGATTTATTTTTAAAAAATAATCTGCAATATCTATATTAACCCAATAAAGCCAAAGCTTTTCGTCAACGCGTCAAAATACTTTACTACGTCTAGTCAGGGATATATTCCCGAAAATTCTTATAACTTTTATATAAAAATATAAATCATGGGACAAATCAATATTCTCCTCGGCTTTTTGTATGAATACAGAACACCAGTACGACGAACATGCTTACATTAAGGCAGCGTATGTACATTCAGCAGAAAACACTGTTTTTGCTCGATAGAAGTAATCGTCATTCCGTGTTTGTTTAACCGACATTCGAGACAGGTCTCTGGATTTGTAAAAACATTCCAACTTGGAAATGCAGCAGTTCCAGTGCAATTCCCCTCAGCATGCACTTCTACCGGCAAGGAAAAACCATCCGCTTAATTTTCGGCGTCACAAATAATAAGTTGTCATCTCCCTAATCTCATTTCCATAAACGATTTAAATTTCCCATTTTTTCCCGCAGAACTGTCTCGGTTTATATCCCAGGTTCGAGGAAAATGTTAATAACAATCGTGGTGTTTATCATCCCTCTACACCGGCAATTACACCGATAACGTGCAAGCTCCGAGCAGCACAATAATCTCCTGATAAATGTGCACTTTTCCACGTGCACTTGCACGCCATCGATACATACATTTTTAACAAAAAATCATTTACAGACATCAACGTCACAAAGGGACAATAATTAGGTATTATTAATAAGTATACTTTTCCTTCGCAATTGGTACAGTGAAATCTTAACGAGTCGGCACATCGTGTCCTTCCTATTTCCAGATTTTTCTATATTTTCATTTTATTCGCAGGTGCATCGGGTCGCAAACTGCATCGAATTTATGAAGCGCAGTCAAGTGGTGTTCTAAAGGATAGCCATCTATGAATGGTGCGATCGTCAACAAGAATTATCATTCGCCCATCTGACACGTACGAATGTATTAAGCATTCGCGGTAAATAAAAGTCGATGCATCGGCTTGCATAGTTTTCACAGGGAAGCTCGACCCTCTCGTGAAAAGCACGCCTAGAAATCCCCCAGCAGGTAAACCCGACTAATTATGCCGAATTCACGACTATTTCAAGTTAACGCGACGAGGAGTTCAATGACAATATGCTGAGCAAAGTGGATAACAATGGCCGGGTATTTCCAAAACCGCAAGTCAAATGGGCCGACTTGATGACCACCGGGAAAACACGTGAGTTAATTATAAATATCCAGCACCTCAATATTATTACGAAACAGGAGACATTTTGATAACACTACTTCCTAGTAAAGCTCTTTTTTCATACCTTCATATATTAATAAACGAATTAATAAAAGATAATGCATCAACCACGAAAGATACGTTCGCCTTGATACCTAAAAATAAATATATAAAATAAATCCCTCACTTCTCGTTACGCTTACATTAATTAATATGTGAGTTTACACAACGGTGGCGAAGGAGCTTCGTTAAAAAAAAAAATAAAAAAAATGTTACTTGACAGAATTTTAATTTTTGCAGAACCTCCACTGCGGCTCAACGAACATGGCACCGACGTCGCCGAGACGAAGACTATGCAACCTGCTGTAAAGTCGGATCTTTATTACGCTCTTTTTCCTATTTATCACCTGAGCAAGATATGGGGATTGCTGCCTGTGAGATTCGTCAAGCAAAGAGGTGGTCGTTGCTTGGGACAGAAGCACCTGATCGACATTCTTTACGGGTAGGTTTTATCTCAGGGCCAATCGGAATGTTTAGGTAGTCCAGAGTATGCAAATTACAATTTTCAGCTGCCTGTTGCTGCTGTTTTTGATTGTCGCCGAGGTATGGGGCTTATGGAGGGACCTAAGAGACGGATGGGAAAACAGTACGAGGTTGAAATCGGAGACTGCTGTTACCGTAACTTGTGGGGATGTCCTGGCAGTGATGATCATGGCTGCAGTTTCGGTTTTGGGATCGCCATTTAGGTGGGACCACCTGCAAAATGTGATGAACATGTTGGTAGAGGTCGGCATAAAATTTGCACATTAATTAACTTATCAGATATATTACTAATTTATAAGTATATTCGCTTAGCAAATTTTTAGAATATGGAATTTTCTCAAGAATGCTTACTTTTATGCTATGTTAATTTAATTAAGGAGTGTACGTAAAAATCCACGTAAGGGATAGTTAAATTGAAAATTCTAATTGAAAGTATATACACTAATTGTCATTCTCAATGTACAGGTGGACGAGAAGCTTGGCATGGTATCGCCGAAGAAAACTTGCAGATTCGCCATTATCATCATAGTCTGCACCCTCACATACTTGATAACAATATCTATAGTGGACATCTACACGTGGGACTTCCAGGCGAAGAAGAATAAAAAAATGCACGACAAAGGAGCGATTAATTACGCCCCGATCTACTTCATGTACACCATAGTAATCATCATGGAGTTGCAGTACACCCTGGCTACGTACAACATCGGCATACGGTTCGCCAGATTGAACAAAAATTTGGAGAACTTGCTGAAGAGTGGTCAAATCAGCGACTACCTCAGGAAAGACATTGGCCTAGGTATAAAATATTTCCAAAGTAATTCCCTTATTTTTTTTATATAAAATATCGATGGTAAATAGAAATCATTTACATAGGAGGGATCGGCAAAGTGGACGTGCCCGGTCGAATGGTCCGAAAAACGAAGATCTCTGATTGGCTGGTAGTCGGAAGTGGTAAGAGATGATACTGAAATAGAACTCTGATAACACAAACATCCCGAGAGTTTTGCACCGCTCTTTTTTTTTATCACATGAACTTACACCACATTAATTGCTAAAATCGCGATTAAGAAATCTCTCCCAGCACTTAATCTCTTCTGTTATCAATTTTCATTTTCTTTCAGATAGTCGAGGAGCCGCTGACACAATTTCCCAACTGGTGACGGTACACTCCTCCCTCTGCGACAGTGTTCTCCTCTTGAACAGTGCTTTCGGCTTGCCCATCTTAGCGGTTACCTTGACCTGCATTCTGCACCTGATTATCACCCCATACTTCCTGATAATAGAGGCCAACAGTGATCGACATTGGCTCTTCGTGGCTAACCAGTGTTTTTGGTGCATCCTCCACATAGGCAGGATGCTCATCGTCGTGCAGCCTTGTTACGTCGCCTGTACCGAGGTAATCTAACATTAATCTAATAAAAAAAAAAATAATAGACGTAAGAGAATCTACTCACTGGCTTAAATAATGCAAATCTCGTATCCTTTAGTCGAAGGCCACGGCGGTGTTGGTGAGCCAACTATTGTCTACAAATTGGGACCCGGAATCACGAAAGCAGCTGGAAGTATTCTCTCTTCAGTTGTTGCACAGACCATTAGACTTTTCGGCTTGTGGACTTTTTTCCGTGGACCGGGCTCTCGTTACCTCGGTGAGATCGATAGTACGAAAAAGAAAATTGCGAATTCGCGGATCGGATCCACGATTCTGGGCATAGTGCACCTCTTCAGGGTTTATAGTTGAAAAAGATGCGTTTTGGTTGGCCAGAAATCACGTAATCACGATTTGGGAATTTCTCTTGGGCAAATTTCAATTCGCAAACTGTTTTCCGATTTTGGGCATAGTGCACCTCTTCAGGGTTTATAGTTGAAAAAGATGTGTTTTGGCTGGTCAGAAATCACGTAATCACGATTTGGCAATTTTTCTTGGGCGAATTTCAATTCGCAAAATGTTTTCCGATTCTGGGCATAGTGCACCTCTTCAGGGTTTATAGTTGAAAAAGATGCGTTTTGGTTGGCCAGAAATCACGTAATCACGATTTGGGGAATTTCAATTCGCAAAATGTTTTCCGATTCTGGGCATAGTGCACCTCTTCAGGGTTTATAGTTGAAAAAGATGCGTTTTGGTTGGCCAGAAATCACGTAATCACGATTTGGGAATTTTTCTTGGATGAATTTCAATTCGCAAACTGTTTTCCGATTCTGGGCATAGTGCACCTCTTCAGGGTTTATAGTTGAAAAATATGCGTTTTGGCTGGTCAGAAATCATGTAATCACGATTTGGAAATTTCTCTTGGGCGAATTTCAATTCGCAAACTGTTTTCCGATTTTGGGCATAGTGCACCTCTTCAGGGTTTATAGTTGAAAAAGATGCGTTTTGGCTGGTCAGAAATCACGTAATCACGATTTGGGAATTTTTCTTGGGATAATTTCAATTCGGGGAGGTTCCATAATATAGGCACTTTCACCCCACCTTAAGGAAAGTACCGTGAACTAGAACCACATAAGAATCCCCTTAATCAGAACAATGCAGCCATAAGTTCCCCCTGAATATTCATATCTCTCTCTTGCATTTCAGATAGCAGGCGCAGTTACGACCTATCTCGTGATTCTGATACAGTTCCAAAAAGCCGACGACACGAAGGACGCGACAGACGTGTTGAAGAACGTGTCGCAGTTCATAAAAAACGGCTCCGTGCTCCAAAACGCAACGACGTTGCAAAAGCTCATCTAAAGAGCCTCCACCATAACGAGAATGCATTGAAACGGCGCAAGATTTCGATCAATGAGCAACAAGCACTGACAATGAGTCAATCTCGACCCGCCCTCGACAAAGGCCCATAATTCAAGATACCGATTAACTTATCACACGACTACGAGTCGTTATGGGACCGCCGGCTCGGAAAATAACGTAAACAGCATAAAAGTTTGAGCGCATCTTCTAGAGCCCCGCGAGCAATGGAACAAGATGAATTACCACGATGACATTTAATACTCCAATTCTCGTACACGGCGACAAATAATATATAAATACAGGATCGTCGTTAACGTTCGTTATCAGCGCGCTGAAAGCCTTCACGAATGCCTCGCAATAGTGGCCGTAAACTTGGCAGAAGAGCTATCCAGATTGTAGGAAGAGGACGCCATTTTGAATTTTTCGCAACTTCGTCGTTAAGCTCTTCCCAGCACGTTTACGGTCGCTACACCGAGTGAGAAATATAATTTCTAGGCACGATTAATTACTTCCTACAACCTAAATACTTCTCGTTAAAGATTTTCGTTGCAAACCATTTTCTGAGAGGCATAATTATCGCAACCGAAGTGACGACAAAGTTAACATCAAGTGGGACCGATTTTGCGAAATGAATTTCACGTAGAAAATTCATATAATTCAAAATACTAAGTTATATCACTTTCGATGTAAAAAAGAAGAAAAAAAAGAGGAAATATCAGTAACAAGGAATAAGTATCGTTTGAAGTTGCCGCAAGAATGAGTTCACCGGAACACTTTTCGTACTTGAAGCTGATCTTAAGAGAACCGAGTAATTTCACAGTTTTATTCGATCGCCCCTCAACTTATGTAGGTAGTGATCTCTTCGATCCGAAAGTCTTGTTTAAAAAAATTCGTTTCTTTTTCTCTAGAAAATGATTCTTTCGCTCAGGTCAAGGATTCAGTGAAGGCCTTAACCGGCCGATCGCAAAATACCGATTCCTCTCGAAACTAAGTGTCTAAAACTCGTAAGACGTCTGTCACAGCCAGTCGAAAACGTGCCCCTTTCCGCAGACATTCCGCAAAGATTTCCGCGCATAGAATCTTCCCCTCTCGAGAACAGCGTCCCGAGTTATGTACAGGCGAGCCCGGCGATCGATTCGCGTTTTTTCTCCGCCTCCGGTTCCCTTCCTCTCCTCTCTATACATCGTACAAATAATTATCCTAGTAATAAATATACGTTAAATCGCTTGGGGCCCGACTTCAGCGACGAGGCGGAATTTATTTTGCCCGGCAAAAGAGACTGCTGGCAAGGTCGACGAGATTTAACGGGATAGCTGCAACAGATTCTCCACACCCTTTATCAAAAACCGGCGGACTTTAATAAAACGTAACCTCCTCTTTTGCAATTTTCCCATTTATCTTAACGCCTCTGATAACTCGCAGCCTAAAGTCGCCTTTTCGTAATGACGCTCCACGCTCGATTTTCACATCAAATCTGGTCACGCAATTAAACCATAAAAAAAGGGAAATAGAATAAAATACGCCATCTTTAAGGCGACACGAAAGTGACATTAGAAAAACCTCTTTTATACCATTTCTCTCCAAAACGAATGAACCGTTTCGTTTTAAACTTTACCCCGTGAATCTGGAGGCCCTAGGAAAGGTCCTGACAACCATGAAATTTCAATTCTTTAAAAAATCTCTTTATAAGCTCCACCATTTTTGTAAAAAAAAATTACTTTCATGGGTGTCGGGACCTAACTTAAGGGCAAAAAATATTCAAAATTAAAGGAACCATGACCAGATTCTCCTTCAAAATCGAATATCCAGTGTCATCCCGAAAAGTCACCTTAATTCCCTCAGACGAGATCCGATCGCTCTGCAAACGTCACTTCTTCAACGAGGATAACTTTTATTAAACGTGATCAATAAATGCAACATATCCAACAGAGAGGGAAAAACTACATGTTTTTTTTTTCTTTCCATCGATTAAATCCAAATGTTCGTACAAAGATTCGAAAGCGCGTGTATCTTAATAGAACGTATCTCGAGTCCCTCTTACGTCGAGGTTAATGAAAATCGCGTCGTTCCCTAGATCTACAAGTCTCCGATCTCGCAATGTACTCCGTCGCGCCTTGAATACTTTCAAAGAAGTGGAGGGAAGAAAAAAAAAAATAAAAGAAGGAAATACGAACGACCTAGTAATTTCACAGAGGGCAGGTTCAAGTAATGTTACATATATACCGGGAATGGTCTTGAATCTCTCTAACGCGCGATTAAATTAAATATCCCAATGAGTGTTCGGTTCCCTTCTCGGTATATCTTCACCTCCCGTGAGAAATAATATCGAGCTCCGCTGCCATAAATATTATGGTGAGTGTGCCGTGAATCGGGAACCCAACGACCGTGTTCCTCGCCGCAAGTGAACAATAAAAAAATAGACACTGCCCGTCCCCAAACTCGGTTTGAGGCGGGCCAGAAGTTCAACGACATTGATTTGTTTCGATCTCGAGGTACATCTTCGCTAAAAATATCCTGTGAACGCGTTAAGATCTTATGAAAGTGCCACCCGAGTATTCGATCGTTCATGAAACTCATCTCCACCATGCCAAATCGTTTCAAACTTTGCGACGCGAACATGGAGGCTATAACAAAGGTCCCGACCCTCAGGAAATCTCCTCCTCTATAACAAATTTTTTAAAATATGAACAAATTTCTTTTTCTCAAACATTGAAATCCCATGAGCTTTAGGAACCTTCCTTACATCCTCCGCATTTATATTGTAAAGTTTTAATCGACTCGGCACACCGTCTGGAGAAATCTTTCATAAACGAGACTTCTTTGATCTCACTCTCACATCGCCCCTTTTTAAGATACCTGTAACGTACGCGTACCGCCGGATAAGATTACGGATTACCGATTTATAATTAAAGTTTCATCAGTTACCGAGGTTTTCCGTACGTCACAGGCGTCGCTAAACCAAACACATCGGCCCGGCGCAAAATTCGCTCAATTCATATTTTACACAAGCCTCGAGGATCCGCCATCTTGCGGAGCCATCCTCAGACCGCCGAGAGAAAATAAATAGAATAATTTACCCAACGAATTATGCATGCACCGTTTAACTTATCTCACAGACTAATATCACCTCCCGACCAGTTGTTTCATTTCTAGACTGGCGACGAATAATCCCTCAGCTCGTTACACTTCAGAACGACTAATTAAAACCACGCATACCGTGTTAACGATTTCCCATTGGCAAATAAATTACAATTCAAGATCCCCAATCACAATGCCTGCGAATATGAATTCAACGAGTTTCATCCGGCATATCAGCGGAGAGGGTGAAGAAGGTCCGTGGTATTCTTTTTTCTTTTTTTTTTTTTTAACGTGAATTTACCGAGGAATTTAGACTTCAAGTCCCGTCTCACCGAGTAGGACAATTTCCTACGTAGACATTGAAAAATCCATTCCGAACGATGGAAGCTTCTTTAACGCGAAATTCCTAAATTTATTCCCAACGAATTTTTGCAACGTCCTTCTCAACGATTCGGGTTTCCTTATCATCGAGAACATTTCAGGAATTTCCAAATTCATTCCCGATGCAGATGTTCCCAGCAAAAAAAAAATAAAAAAAAATCCCTAAATCATCCTCAACGGTCCAGATCCTCAAAGGCTTATCAAGGAGGATCCGGACTGCGAAACCAGATCCAAAGTCTCGGTAAATCCACCAAACGAAAAGCTCTCTCCATCTGGAACCCCTTCAACATCTCGCCGGGGTCCAGCCGGTGCGCTTAAGGACCTTCCTCCTCTCCCGACGAGCTCGCCTCCTCCTCGATCGCGCTCCTCGTCGTTGAAGTCGGGCCTCGGAGAAGCGGCCTTGCTCGTGGGGTGCGCACATACGATAGAAACGACGTATAAATCCACGACACCGAGGAGCGCGGGTCGGGCTCAGGTTTCGAGTCTCTCCGAGGTAGTCCCCGGTCGAAGGCCGAATCGTGCCGCTCAGTTGACGGCGCTGGCCGACATCGAGGGTGGCTTCGGCTGGGCGATTTGCATGCTGCTGTTCCCGCATGCGTCCTTGGCCATCCCCAGGAGTTTGCCGCTCCTTTGGCACGCGTGCGTCGGCACTTCGGGGCTGACCTCCAACTCCGTCTCCGTCTTGACGGCCTGACGGCGGGCGTTGCATTGGCAGGGACTCGTGTGATGGTGCACCCGGGAGAAGCAGTCGCTGCAGACCCTCACCGGGTTGTAGAGCTGCTCGCTAGGCAGCGGTGTCGAATTCTCCGAGCAATCTGCGCAGAAGATCTTGCCGCAACATCTAGGGAACGAAGCGGCCTCGTTTAAAGAGGGTCTTGCTCTAAGGCGCCTACGACTTCCTGGAGTACATTCCTACATCTCCGAATTCAAGGTGACGTGAAAGCGGCGTCGAGTGGGTCTCCTTTCTGAAACTTCTCCAACCAGGGTGTACCGAATAGCCTCAAACTTCACGACGTTAATACAGAAGTTATAAGGAAGGTCCTGGCATGAAATTTCAATTTTATAAGAAATTTATTTAGTTGTTTAAAAAATTTTATTTATGAAAAAAGGAAATTTCACGGGTGTCAGTACCTTCCTGATAGCCTCCAAACTCACGTTGCAAAGTGTCATCAGTTTCGGTACACCCAATCCGTAGAAATGTTTCACGAACGATTGTCCTTTCACATCCCCTTAAATGGTAAAAAATAAAAAAAAAAATCACCGAGGCCTTGAAGCGCCAGTATCCACGAAGTCGTTCCTCTCCCTTCTACGTCATCGTTTCTGTACCCTGAAGAGCCACGATTTTCGCAGGTTAAACAATAATGTAAGATTAAAATGCATACCTGCAGTGGTGCTTGCGTCTGCCGAGCCAGAATTCGGTGCCGCATCCCATGCACCTGCTGACGGCGTGATCGGGCACCCATAATGTGGGTGCAGGTCCAAGCTCCTCCACGGCTTCCCAGGACATGTCCGAGGGCAAGGACTCGCCATGGTCCCCGGCACTCCCCACGGAGTCGGGCAGGGAACCCTGAAGTATCGTTTTTAAAACATTTTCACCACTCTATCGGACCCCGCCTGCGCCTTCTCGACCCTCTCCCAGGGCTCAGGTAAACCGTCGCCCTCGAGGGCGAGATTCCGATCTACGATCCGTGCCAAGTCCTCCCTCTGTCTCTCGAAAACCGACATAATTGGACTTGGTGGCTAGCCTCGATCCGATCTAGATCAATGAAATCAGTCCCGAGCTAAGGGACCCCGCTCACATTCTCTCTTCGTGTAAAGCCACGTAAAGCTTCTCTACGTTATCTGGAAATTCGCAACGTTTTTCACGGTCAATTCGGCTTTGTATGATTCACTCAGGCGGTTCTCTTTCCTCCTATCGAGGACGATTCCGACCAGTCCTGTGCTAAGTGAGACAAGTGTCCAAGATGTGTCCTACCGAGGGTCGTCCATGAATTATGTAAGAAGGCATTCTAAAATCATCTAAATTAAACTTTGTTTAACCAAAACAAGGTAAATTCGACTCAGCTCCCGCGTAACCCCAAGACAATGGAAAACGCTCCTCCACGTGAGTTAGAATATAGCCCGATATTTTCTTTCAATTTCTTTACGAGTGACATGACATGAGAATGCGTACCCAGGTCGGGGAAAAAAAATTAAGTCCCATTTCCGCATTCCCTTTTTTTTTTTCATTTCATCTACCTTTCCGTCAGAACGTTCAAGACACCTCGTTAGCATAGCATTACTTCCGACGTAGGTTTAAATTAACATTTTACGTCAAAAAGTCTTACGGAACGAGAACCTCGCCTCTTGGTAACGCGTCTCCATAAATCCGTCGTGACATTTACGCCCGAGGTGTCTCTCCAAAGTGATCTTACGGCTTACGTAAAAAGGAAAAAAAAAAAAAGAAAGAAATTCATTTACCGCCCCTTTCCGCATAAGGCTTCGTAAGAAATTTTTACCCCGAGGGTGCTTACATAATTTATGGAACGGCCCCTCGTGGAAGGCTATCGCGGTCCAATTTAAACGGATTTGTCGGCGGTGTGCTTACTATGTCATCGATGCGGTCCGCGTCCGCGTTGTTGTGATTGCAGACTTGCTTGATCAGGGCCAACCGGGTCGTGTGCAACTCCTTCCGCAGTGCGTCCTCCCTCAGCTGATGTCCAAAATAAAAGAATAGCTATTAATAGATTCGTTAAATACATTAGATCCAGTCCACGCCCATGAAATTTCAATTTTCAACAAATTTGTCTACAGGCGTTTTAAAGATTCCGCATAAAATGTGAAATTTCATGGGTGTCAGGACGTTCCTTACGGCCTCCACATCAACGTTGTAAATTTACGAAACGACTCGCTGCACCCAGTCTCACAATGACTGCCAATATGCACCTTATTTTCCGCAATGATTTGCTGCACGCGCGACTGGACGTTGCAGTTGATCACCGGGAGGCCATCCACGTCGTCCAGCCTGTCTGGGTTCTCCAGCACGACGTCCTGGTGTACCTGGAATGCTGGACAAATGCTGCTGGGTATTCGCGAGACCAATGGTACGCTATTCTCGCTGACGTCGCTGCCTTCGTGATGCGTCCGGTTGCAGGTGCAGTTGCCACGACCGGAAGTTCCAGTCTCGGTCCACGGGGTGATATCCTGCGGCGACGTGTCTTGCGATCTGCGGTTAAAATCACATATTACCCTACGTGATAATCCTCCGCGAGGGAAGAACACATAGAACACATGATAAAAGTGAAACTTCATTTAAAGAAGTTTCACTTAACACAACTAGGACGAACAGGTGGAGGACACCCACCCTTCCTTCTCTCCGTTCGTGATCCCAACCGCTTGATCGTTGTTCGGGATCAGGGTATCGGTTGAACTGTCAACGGACGGATTGGCAGGCAATTCGTTCACCATGCTGGCCTTGTAAAGATTCTTCACGTAGACGTCGGTTTCCGGCGAGCTCTCGTCCGCCGACCTCGCCTCGCTCTCATCTACGTTGTTCCCGACTTTCTCCATGTCACCCTCGAAATTCAGCCAGTCGAATTTCCTGCAAACACGGGTCGATTTCTCTCAATAAAATTATCCACCGGGATAAATATACATATTCATAATCGAGATTAGAACGTGGATTACTTTTCCACGGGTATGTTGGAGTCGCTCAATCGGCGGTGTTGAATTGCCACGTGGTTCTGCGCATGTATGAGGTCGTCGTACGATCGAGTTTTGGTCATTTGTCCTTGGGGCTCCTCGTTCTCCGCTCCGTCGATATCTATCAGGGTAACTCTCTGCTTGTCAATGCCCAGAGTCGTTTCCAGGGCCCCTAAGTGCACTTTAGGCCACTCCACTAGGTCTCGGACGTTATAACTGGGCCACAGAACCTGGAAGTGAAGAGTCACTAATCAATCGCGTACATTATTTTCTCCAGCTCGAGCTAGACCTCCTTAAAAGGATTCAGGTCGCTCATTCCGCTTTCTTCCATTTCCCTCGAGTTTCTCCATAAATCCTAAACCTACCCTGTCCTTTGACGGCGAGTAAAGGTGATTAACGAACGAGCTGGAGTTCAGGAACCGCCATACCGAGAAGGTGCGATCACGTATCCGCAGCTGCAGTCGTTCCTGCCTGGTGTTGCATAGGAATGTGCCGAAGAGCTGGGAGTACGTGTGCTGCGCCAGTTTCACCTGGAAGACATTTCCCTTCCGGTTATACCCGGCAAGCTCGAAGAGCCCGACAGTTGCTCCGGTTTAATACCCCTGCCTCGTGTTTTCCATGACCCCCACGACTTACAAAATACGCGGCGGACATTTGAAAGCTGCTTGGGAACTGCTTGATCAGCTGGTGCACGCAGTCCAGCCACTGTAGAAACACAGGACAGCGTTCGTTGGGATCTTCGCAGCCTACGGTCTGGCCGCACCGATCCGCGAATTTGTGCCCAAAGTCTAGCCACTCCCTCTCGCAGAGTACTTGAAATCCCTAAAAAAAAATAGGAAGTACAGGTATTAAAATCACAAGGCACCAAAGACACTCTTCTAGCCACTTCATCGACCCCAGAGCAAGGATAAAGTTGTGCAACAAATACTTCAAAATTTTTTTGCATTATTTTCTCCAGGCGAGGGACCGAGAAAAAAAATGCGAAGAATACATCATCGATTGATATTCCCGTGAAGTGATCTCGACCACGTGTTTACGGTATTGACGTACGTGTTATTGAATACGAGATTAAATGCAAGAAAAATAAAACCACCGCCGATTCGTACAGCCCATTTGTGGGACTACGTCGACGTACCTCCATGGTGCGATAATAAGGATCTAGCAGTAACTGAGCTAGAGCAACGATCTGGGGAGTCCTGTCCCATCCATCGCTGCAATGCACCAGCACCGGTCTCCCGTCCTTCTCTATCGCCTGCGCTACCGTAACAGCCGCTCGCAACAGGGCGGACATGTGTTGCAACCATCGTGTGCCTTCCAACAAGCTCAGCCAGCTGAAACGCATAGAAGAGTGGATAAAAACACGGCGAACGACGTGTGGCCGACGGCTGTCCGGTTATCCAACTCCGGTTGTGGTTTAGCACCGCTTACGTAACGCAACCTGCGCCTGTAAAGCGATTCCTAGGCACATCATCATCGACATTTAGACTTACTTCAATTGGTCGGTGTCGGACGCGTAGAGCTGCCTCACCGCGTGGAAACTCTTTCGTATCGAGTGTATGTTCGGAAGGTTCATAAATTGTATGTCGCAGGTCGGATAATACTCGCGGCATTCGCAGCCCCCGCCACGCGCTCGGTTCGCCACGGCCGTGGTGTACGACCTGGCGTCCACAATCAGCAGCTTCTGGAAGACAACGCAAGAAAAGAATTAACAACGTTTACGCAGAGAGTGTAAACACAGCAATCGCAATGTCGACGGAGGCGTGGCATTAAGATTGCAACGGTTGGTCGAGCGTTTCATTTATGAGAACGACCTCGAGAGCACGGGGTAAATGTAAAAATCAGCAGGATATCAATGGGGGAAGCTGTTCGATACCATGTGTCAGCGAAGAGATGATTAATTTGTTACAAAAATTCTAGAGATAGTACGTGCAACAGTATTGTTTAACGACGGATAGACTAATAATATATCACTTCTGATAATTATAAGTGAGATGGAAGAGTAGGTCTAGAACTAGCTACGGAATACTAGTGGAAAATTGACCACGGGGGATTAGATGGTAAATAAAATTTGTACATGTCGCAGGTGATCGATACAGAGTGTAAAGCTTCGCTGCTTACTTTGGTACTGTGCAGGGAGACCAGATGTTTCCTTACATCGGAGTAATTGACAGGTGAATCGATTATGGTAGATTCTCCTCTGTCGTAGAAACAGGCATTCGAGAGGGCTCTGAGAAGTTTTTCATCCTCTGCACTCCTCCAATGGAGCCAACCTACTTCGGGTTGACTACTGCGTGCAATTACTGCTCCATTGTTGACATGCCTACGATGCAATTGGCCATGTTATTATAACTCGACCGTCACTTCGAGGTGTAACGACGTCCATGTCCGTAAATTAAAGTGACACATTCCCAACGTACCTCCACACGACGACAGGGATTCTTCTTGAACTCCTAAATTTAGAAGCTGTATCGAGAATTTTATCCGTAATGCATGCAGGAACCAAAAGCTGCGGTGGATAAGATGGACACATTCGATAATCCTTGTTTATCTGACTGATTCGCCATGTATCGTGTAAGTTAAACTTCAGTCGTTCCACCTATAAATATAGCAAGTGTGTTATCACGAACCAGTCAATATGTTACATAACCCCGAAGGGGGAATAATTTATGCAGCAAAGGATATGGAACTAACCTCTGAATTGAAGGTGGAAGTATAGGAAGCAGTATCCTTCCCAAGTCTGGGACAGTCTTTGCCCTCTTCGACGGACCATGCATAATATGCAAACGCGAATATGTCTTCTATATTCTTTCGGGGGTAGGTCACTCTGTGTAATCTTTTGTACCACTCTAAGCAATGTTCATTTGTTGAAAATGCACAGCTGAAACATCATTACTGTTATCTTCCCTTTTTACTATCACAAGGCAGCTGTGTTAATTGATAACAAAATCTGTAGCAGTTAAGATAGACTTGTAAAATAATAACGTTGTAGTCTCAAGTCGAGCACATGAGTATGTACTATAGAAATCTTCAATCATCGATCGCACTATGCATACCTTAACGACCGAGCATCTTTGCATCCAATGTGCAAGAAAAAAATCTCCTTAACTTCCAACTGTTCAATCAGACCCAACGGGATGTTGTAACATGCTTGATTGAGCTGCAGGTAGAGTCGATAATTGGAGAGCGCAAGTATGCCATCAGAGGTACGCCCTAGAGCGACGACCGATTCTCCACTGAGAGGTGTGAAGGGGACCGTTAGCGAAGGATCTTCACACTCAAAATGGGTATGCTTGGGAAAGAGCTCTGATGCTCTGAGATAACAAATCGACTGTAGGCTTGTCAGTTCCTCAGAACTCTCCATCGCTACCTAACAAAGAAAATTTTCCCATTTGCCCATGTCTTTTACTTGGTTTCTTATTTAGAAAGGGCTTTCATACCTTTTCAAGCTCTCTTCCTCGGAGACTTTGTTACCACTGTCCGTGCTATCACGGTTACTTGTTTCTGCTTCCTGCAACACATTACACAATCCATTAAAGTCGATTTAAGTCTATAGACCTTAAATCCAATTTCAAAGCATCATTGTTACAAGCTAATGATCACTGTCTTGATCATTAACAGGGTCTATTTATAAGGAAAGCAATCCTGTAAATTCATTGTGTAAATCGCATATTTAAAATAGGTGCTCCCAATTCTGTTTATAGTCATTATAACCTCAAAACCGAGTTTTCAATGTGGATTTTTATGTTACACTTAATTGCCATGCTATTGCTACACTTAAATCACCACTGAAAGATTCTTAACGGCCAATGAAATCTATTTTCGAATGAATTACTCCACACACTTGCAATAATATTTATAATTTTGAAGACCCAAAACAATTAATTTAAAAAATTTCAATATCAATACGAGTTACCGTAACCATATAATATATTGGTGAATTATGTTAAAAATATTGCACATTCACTTCGTCCAGTAAATATCAACATCAATAAGAGCAGCCATTTTAAAACCGATAACAGCCGTACCTTGTGGTTAAAATTGTACCGCTGATAACTTTTGCCGTCAACCACGCATATCTTAAAATAGACAGATATAACAAAATACGTCAAACTCGACGAAAATAAATATCTGAAGAAAAGAAATATTTTTCAAAACATCCTGCTACTTTTGGACATGACTTCGACCATATATCTTTTTGACATAACCGTCTACCGATAAAACTGTTAATTTGATAACTGACATAAAGAAAGTCATATGACTTCTTCCAAGGACACCGGTTCACTCTTCCATGACTGTATTCACAGTTTGCTCTTGACACATAATTGTACCTATCCAATGCAAACCATGAAACGCTATCAGTAACGTTTAAAAGCAATCAAAACACGCCGATGAAAGGCTTCGGGAGCAACTCGCACGAATCCCCTATCGGACCTAAAGCAAAGTCTGATGGCACGCATACAGAGCTACGTATGTCAGAGATAAATCTTCCAAAACAGATTGCCCCTACGCGTTTCCACCGCCAACGGATGCAGTACCTCATTCCGCGGACGATTTAAAAACACCGCAGCCCATCACCCCGACAAAATTCTAAAACAATTCCTGCTACAGTTATATTAACGCAACCCCAGAGAGTCCTCTCCTCGCAGGTAACACATCATGCAACGATCCACCGCAAGGTCCTCAAACCATGCCGATTCTAAAACATTTCGCATCGAGTCGACATCCGACGTCACTGCATGCAGGTGGCAGGCATCGAGGACATTCTACCTGATAAAAAAAAATTTAACGACAAACATTCCATCCAAATTCTACATTCTCAGCTGCAATTATACGTGAAATCCTGCGAGCGCAGAGTACACCATTAACTACACATACCAGGGTCCATGTCGCCTCTCAAGAGAGTATCTCAGAATTATTTAGTCCCTCTCATGCAGGCAACTCTCCGCTCTACTTTCCGCGGCATTGATCAAGAACGCCTTTTCTAGAATGGTCAATTTCCTGCGATCGACTACGTAAACCTCGTACGATATCATGTAACCTTCCAGAGGGGGTTCGTTCGCCCGTTTGCGAGGGATCGCCGGGATTGGTGTCACTTTCGCGAGGCGTATTTTTGCTGATCGAGCATAAAACCTGCGCCCGAGTATAGAGAGGCCTCCCTGTCGTATCTCAGGGCCCGAAGGAAAGGCCCGGCGCGCGACACACGTTGCCGGAGTCACGTATGCCCGATGAATTCGGATAAATTCGGAACGACTCGAGGCCTCGACGCCGGGAGACAGGGCGAAGCGGCTCCGTCGACTCCAGCGACACGTCTCGAGCTCTCTTACTCGTGACGCCGCTTGAAGGCCTGTGTCCACGACCTTACCTTTATCTCGCGACACTTAACGGTGTCAAGAGCTTTGTCGAATATCTTCGAAGAGGTAGGTACGTAAAACCTAGAGTCTCGAAAAAGCCATACAACTCCTAACCCCAATTTAATCATACTCCGTGACATACGTACTGTTTATCCTCTCCTTATCTTAAACATAACCTTCAGGAAAACCTAAGGTTATGAATTCCGAACGGTCTGCAATTAAATCACGAGACGTGCTGCGAGGAATCATCCAGAAGAGCGTAAAAGACCGGAGGAAGATTTTCGACAGAGTATTTTTTAGAATTTAGCTCGTCGACCCAAGTCTCGAGATGTAAACAATTTGTATTTAATAAGTTAATTCCCTGCATACAGAGGCCTTTACGGTTAGAAATTCTTGGTACATGAAAGGTTTGACGAAGATGTTCGACAAAGTGCCTACTCGCTGTACACAGGCCTTGAGAAGGCAAACGTCAAAGTGGATCGTGCGGAGGGGGGAAGAGGGTGGAGGGAGTCCAGCCGGAAAAAGACGAGCGCGACTTACTCTGTCCTCGCTTTTCCGCGGCGGACTCGACGGCGGTGGGCCACTAGGTTGCCCCTGCGCGGACTAGAGGCATCTCAGACCGGAGCGAGACGTCGCGGTCGGCGCTCCCTCGCGAGGCGTGCGGATATCGCGTTCGGCCGATAGGAGACGCGCCAAAGCCGAGGCGGGATCAGTTCTCATCGCGGCGGCTCGCCGAGGGAACGAGGCGGGACTGCCGCGACGGGGGGACGGGCGCCGAGGAGAGTGCGACTCGCGCTCGGCGTAGCGCGACCCGATGTTAATTTCACGGCGGCCGCCCGAAACGCGGCGAGCTCACGGACATCTTGCAACGTCGCCGCGGCCCGTTTGTCCGAGCCCGAGCACTTTTCCTCGGTTAGGCGGCCGGTCTAGACGTCACTTTTCCGCGGCGCATCGAGACGCGATGACTCTGCACGACTCGCGGCCGCCGATTGAGAGAACGGAGAGAGGCGCGGAATGATCTACGCGTCGCAGGCCCCGACTCGGCGGAAATCTTGATCGTTTGTCGATCAGATCGCGATTCGTCCGGAAGCGATCGACTCGCGGGACGACGCGACTGAGATTTCTCGCTTTGTTTCGTAAACTACCATCGCGCGCGGCTGACACCGGACTAATTTTAAGGCGCCCCTGCAATAGCGGGGTACCTACCGCGACGCGCGCGCTCCCGCGCCCCGGATTTGAACTACGCGATGCGAGAGGTCGAACCGTCGAGCGCGCGAAATTTGAATCGCAGAGTGGATCGTTTAATGACGTTTCATGATTTAGGAAGGCCGGGTTAGGCGTCGGTGACGGTGGGAGCTGTTGGATTGTTTGCGTTAGATGTAGTATGCCACTTCGGGAAATTATACCCGAAATTCAATGCCAATTGGCAGGGTATCTTGCTACTCCTGTGATTGTAAAATTTTTGTAATGAGTGGGAAGAGTGAATTGTGTGGGTGTAGAATCCTGTTCCTGTCGGGTTCCCAGAGCTCTGGGAAGTAGATGGAATCAGGTACCTATGCTTAGGCGGGTCCCGATTACAGTAGTTTCCATGTGGCGGAACTTGGGGGATCGGTGGTCTCAAATAGTAGTTGGAGAGCACCGATCTGCTAATAGCTGCGGAGTAGAATTTAATTAAGATTTAATTTTTCCTCCCTGATTTAAACTTGCCGCTGCTGTACGTGGTATTCGACTCCACTATATCACGAGGCGCCGTATCATGAGGAAGCCATTCATGACCGTCAGTGTACGTCATGAAGGTTCATGGTCAATGTCCCTGGCAATGTTTACTACTTATTCAGAGAATATTGGGAGAAGTAATACATGAATGGAGAATGCGAAAAGGTGCTTACATTAATTGTGTTTATTTGATTAAAAAAGAAGGACTTAAATGCATGACCAAAGTAGGCATTGTACTTCAACGAAACATTTCCAAGTCTTATTGACACGTCACAAATTCTGCTGACACAAGTTATTAATGTTATTGTGATCGTTACCGTGCAAGTACGTAAAATCTTTAATTAGAATCATAAGACACTTTCTTAAAATGAGTTGTTTCGTTCAACCCGATGAAACTTGCCAAGCGATTTTTTGGAAACCGATAAATCTTAGCGATGAAATTACAGTGAAGAGCATAACCATGGTAGCTAAAGTCTCTTCACTCACCCATCACGCTTTCCAGAAATTTGGATTCTGCTGTAACCGTCTTTCAAACGTCTCGTACCAACTTTGCACAGTTGAGAGGGGTATAAAGTTCTCTGTTGGATTAGGCGTCATTTGTGCTTGCGTTACGGAGAAGCTCGAAACGTAATTCAAGAAACTCGTAAGCATCTTCTGGGCGAATTCGAGAAATGAACTCGCAGCTACGGTAGACACTACGACAGCTTGTTGCTCGATCACAGCCAACGGTTCAACCGAAACTCCGATCTGGGCAACATGTGAAATCTTCCCGATTCCAAAGATGCCTAAATTGCTGTTCTCAAACTCGTGGTTCTTCTTTAACGTCGATATCTTAAAGATAGCCGACGGTTTTGCGTTAGAAATATACCCCAGGAACTGCCAGTTTGGAGGAGCACTTGAATCTGGCCAGCTGAAGTACACTGAAAAATATAAATTAATCACTCAAAAACTGCTCTCATTGCTTATAAAATTTCCAAGATCTTCCACAATACCTGCACCACCCGTTCCATCAGGAAATGGAATAGTACCCGTTAGAAACAAAACAATGTGATTAATGTTATCGGCGTCAGGCACTGTAATAAGGAATTGCGTTTCCCCAACTTGCTGGAAGTCCGTTTGGACCTGAAAACATTAAAAATCTCGCTTGGTGTGCATAAGCTCATCATTATTAAATCCGCTAAGTAAATAAAGAGCACTCCTTAGACGAGTGCAGAACGATCTTAGAAATAAGGTTAAGACGGAAAAACGATATTCTTACCAATCGGCCGGCAACGATTACACCGAGCATCCTTGAATCACGCTCCGTTCATTCCCCTAAATTATTTCAAATAGGAAAAGAATTACAACTAACGTTGACGCGCACTCATCGACGTTTGACCGAAAGATTCGTAGCCATTACCAGCCACTGCCAATCCGCCGACAGCCATGAACTAGGTTCGCGAAATTTCCAGATCAAGTTCATCAACCTTGAGTCGGGTTTTCGCGCTAACCTCAAATTCCGGCATCGGTCGGCAGGTGGCGACACGTGACTTCCTCCGCGAGACGCGCGAGCGTGACGCCATTTTGTGAAGGGTCACAATTTGATTACAAATTTTACGTCACAAATTTGACGCGCAGTCTGTACACAGTGCTCTCGTGTCCGTCGAAACGAGCGACGCTATCGAGTAACTCGAGTCCCGCAATCGCCGTACACGAGTGTAAAAATCGAGCGCGTCGAGTCGACATGTGAAAATCGAAGAAGTAGAAAGAAGAGGACCAGCGCGCTCCCGCCCGAACTGCCCACGAGTATCCTCGCCTCTCGAATTTTTACCTCGCCTCCAGTGTCACTGTAAATTTCCTATTCCAATCGATCTATTCTCCAGGACAAGACGTCACTCTCCGTCATCCCAAACATCCACTCCAGCGCAAGGCGAGCGACCTTCCACAGCCCAAGTCGGCGCTCTCGATGACTCCTGGATTTTCGGTACCTGATTTCAAAATCACCTTATAATCATCCGCCACCTCATCGCTATTAATTCCTCCCTCAGGTGACTTTCCATAGCCATTGCTTCTAACTGAGAGAAAGAGGGTCGATAACTATTAAATATAGGCACCTAGGTTAAGATAAAAATGGGTGCGTGGCCACTGTAAAGCAAAACTCCTTTTTTTTTATTATCGTTTCACTTCGGGTGTCAATGATTAGCCCAGTGAATAACTTACTAACACTAACGAGAGGGTTTACGCGGTTGTCTCAAGTCTGATACATGGAAATGAATATATTGGGCTGTGTGATGAGTTCCCGTCTCTTTCTGTGTTTAAAAAAAAATTATTTCATGAGGTAATATATGAAAATATTGTTTAATAATATGGTTTCCTTTGTTGGCAACTTACGACGCTCTGATGGTGTTTCAATTCCTTACTTGGGGGAGATATGGATTTTAAATATTTAAATCGCATGAGTTTACAGGCCAACCCGATAAATAGTAATCTTATTTCTTAACGTGTGATCCTAGACTACCTTGATTTTAAGATAAAAATGGGTACATGGATATCGTATGCTTTAAATATGAAGCTTATTTTCTTTTTATTTATTTCACTCTGAATGTCAATTATCCAAGAGGATAACGCACTGACATTAACGATAGCGTCGATGTAAATCTTCTCGGTACTATTACGTAAAGATGAATATAATTAATAATTCACTGAAAAAAGATATTTCGCCGCTTTGCTCTCATTTCTAAACTCGGGAGTCTATATTAAGAGATATAAGAGGTTACATGAAAAAGCAAGTGCGACAGGTGGTCCAGAGGTGCTCTCTCCCCGAAGTCTGGCTTGGGTCTGAACTCCGATCAGGTCTGGGCAGGGCTAGAAAGCTCGATTCCGAGACCTAACCTCCCACGTGAACTAGTCGAGTCCATGGCTCGAGGCTCGGGCGCGATTCGAGCGGCGATTTCGCCTGAACTCGCATACCATATTTGATGAAAACCGGGCAGCGGTTTCGCGCATATCGGTCCCCTTTACTTCGCGCGGCGGTGGCGGCGGCTCGAGTCCCGTGTGAACCTCGCCGCGTGTGACATCACGCCTCATTGTTGGAGGTTTACGTCATTCCCGAGTCGCTCGGGGTGCCGCGCGCGCTGGGCCGACGCCACAGTGCGCCGTAGCACGCTCCCGAGCGAGATCCGTCGCCTCTGTCCAACTTCACCTGGGAGTGAGCGATCTCGCGAGACTTCTCGTTGGGCCGACCCCGCGGGCGCCTCTGATTGGTCGAGCGCCAGCCGCCGCGCGCCGTGATTGGTCGAGCGCGGCCAGCCGCGCGCTGTGATTGGTCGAGCCCGCGACTTCAGGAGGCGCGACTTCCCGAGGGTGAGGTGCGCGACGGCGGCGCGGACTGCGCCAATCGCGGCGTCGACGGACTCTGGTGCGCACTCAAGACCTCGGAACCTCGAGTTTGACCTAAGAATTCGCTTGTTTACAAGTTTGAGCCATCGCGTGGGTTCGTGTTTAAACGTGATTATAGGTGTTATACGTGTTTTCACGTGTGTTCACGTGTGACGCGTCCGCGATCGGCGCGGTGTCTCGACCCGGGCGTCCCGACGCCTCCTGCCAGACGGTGCACCATGTCGACGGGGCCTCCTCGAGGCTTCTCTTCGGAAAAATGCGAGAGCATCGCCACGCGGGAGCTCGGCTGGGACGATTGCACGAGGCGTTTCTTTCATTTTAAATATAACGGTGTATAAATAAGTATGAGCAATAGCGGGAGTACGCGAGTTCGATCGCGCCGTCACTCCGAGTCGCGGCAACTTTGAGGAATCGCTCCTGTCGACGCCACTCGGGGGAGTTCTGGCACCTGGGGGTTGTCGCCGTTAACGATGCTTAGAGGGACTTTCCCGACGGGTCAGACCTACGTTCCGTGCCCTGGGACCAGAATCCAGGAGACTACTCCGAGGTTAGTGCCAGGAACGAGGAACCAGGGCTTAGGAGGGACCAGGAGGATCGAGGATGCTTGGAATTGATATAACGATTACCTCTATTATAGATTTTCTTAAATTATTGATTACTGCTTCGTTGCCAAAGCTTTATAATGCTCAGAGGATTCGGGTTATTAAAGGAGAAATGTTGCTACAAAAGTATAAGCGAGAGGAATGCTTTTGGTATTCTAGATTCGCTTGACGTTTTGTTAGCAAGTAGAAATGAAAACTTGATGTATGAGAAATCTGACGTATGCGTGAAATTCGTAATAACATTTGTAAGTGATTTTCTTAAACGTGTATTTGACGTTGCGGTTGTTTTTCAGGGATACCTGAAGATCCGTGTCATCGGAAACCAGGAGAAGGAAGTCATTCTTTGAAAAAAGATTTATTACATATATTTACCTTGTAAACTATGAGGACAACGGATTCTTTGTTGGCTTTCCAAATTGATCCGGCTTGCCAGATTCAGAGTATTTGTGAGTACAACCTCTGCACGCGTCATTGACTCTAGTTCCTGATTGTATGTAACTAATAAGTACTCGTCGTCTTTCTAGGTAAATCTGACATACGTGATGCAGTTGTTTCGAAGCTGGTGGCAGCTATACGAAACGCTGCCATGCGCTGAAGTCCACAAGAAAATCAGTCTTGACGCATGTATAATGTTTGAGGATCTTCGTTTGTTCGCTACCGGGCTTGCACATTTGTGCGAACGAGGGTAAAGTTGACACGATTAATACAGCATGATAAATATGACTACGAATAACTGTGTCAAGAAGCATACACAAGTCTTCGAGCATAAACTCCAGTTTTCCTGTTTGTTACAGGGAAACGGTGTAGAGCGATTGGTTGTAATTTATAACGACCTAGATTAATGATGTTGAAGCGTGGAGTGCTGTTTTTCATTGCAACAGGATTTGATATTTGGAAGTATGCTCAGTGTTTATAATAGTTGTTTATAGTTGCGGCATTACTATTAGCACACTCCAACAAGATACATTTATTAACTCGACGGCACATGAGTTCGAAGCAAGTCAAAGTTCTACAGTGTTAAGAATATCAAATCCTCCTGCAAGAGCGAAGAAGAATTGTTTGAGTGTGATAATATAGGATGCTTATTTTAATTATTCTATATATTTGCACCCAAGTTGTATTTATTTGCTGTTTCGTATTCTAGAGCAGCTGTTCCTATGAGCACCTCCCATTCGTTGCACTGTGATGGAAAAGATACTAATCATAAAATTGGTTCAAGTTAGTAGCAAGGATTTCCGTATCTTTGCCTCTCGATCGATTGTTCCACCTTTATTGATGATGTCATATCGTTTGCAGAAAGGATGGCATATGAGGTATTCTTGGGTGGATCGTGTAATCCTACAACATGGAGGTCAGAAATAGCGATACCAACTCTGCAAAGCCTTGGCATCACGTACTACAATCCTGTAAGTCCCTTTTACTTAGGAATAAAGGAATCATGCGATGTGAAGTCACCCAATCTTTTCCAGCAAGTGTCTCAATGGGGACCGGAGCTCATAGCTCAAGAGTACGAAGCGAAGCAAACCGCTCGCGTTTTATTGTTCGTCATCGACAACCAGACTCGCAACAGTGCAGGGATCATCGAGGCAGCTCAGCTGGCAGCTACACGTAGCGACTCTCTCGTTCTCGTCATTTACCCTTATCGACAGGGTCAGACCATTCTTGGGGAGACTGTCTCTACGCAGTGAGTATTTAATTGGGTTGTAACGAAAATACTTGTATCGAAAGGAAAAATCAAAGCGAAAGACAAAATCTTACTGCGAGTGCATGTTCAAATAATGCAAAATTTTTGCATACAGCGAAAGCAAAAAGTATACGTTACGGTCATAATATTTTAATATCTAATAAGGTGTTCATGACCTCACGAATTTTTCTTTCACTCAATAAGCTCTCCGTTCTTTCCAGGGAATATTATGATTTGATGAATGGGCTGCTTGTACTTCAATACCTCGTCGAGAGGCAGAGGATACCTATATTCGAGAGTGTCTCTGTCGCTCTCAACTGTACTTCTAAGGTAATTAATTGAGTTGTGAGACTAATTATCGTTCCACGAGCTCTCTAAGGAATTTCACTTGCAGCGAATTTTCTAGATGCGATCAACAGCTTGAGAATTCGTTATTAATTTATGCGTGGCTTGTTTCGTTGCAAGAGATAAATCTGGGACCCGCGAAATTATTGAATAACCCGATACAATGATTGGGAAAAATCAATGCAACTAAAAACCAGGATCGCTTTTTTTTCTACAGATACTCCGCGAAACTATTACTGTACAGGATCTGACGACCGAAGATGGGATCAGGCCTGTTCGGCTTTCTCTCGGTCAAAACGGGACGGACGTAATGTACGCATGTTTGTTTAAATAATATAATTAAATGTAGATGAAAAAAATATATATATATATATCTGCTAAATGACGTTGAAATCGTTTTAATTTTCAGAACGTTAAGAGAAATTTTCAAGGCGATAGACGTCAATGACACTGGAACAGTAAGTTTGGGTGAAGTAAGTACATGACTCCTCGACGTAGTACTTCGACTCTTTACATCCTCTATATTTTCAGGCATGGATCGCGCTGCAGTCCAACGCGAAGTGTAATGTATCCGTTTCAGAGCTGCTCAATACCGTGAACAAATCAGGTAACTCGGTGTGACTAATCACGAGTGATTAATATGGTCGTAATACGTCTTGCCGATGACATAAACGCTTTATACTGTTATAAATGACGTGCTAGTACTTCTCAACTTCCTGAGCTTCCTACTCTTTTCTTCTCTTCGTTGAGCTTTTGTGACAGGAAAAAAAAAATGAAAGCTATCATATCAGCGAAGGGAAAAATGGTTGATCGATGAGGGGTCTTCGACTCGAAGGATACTCTACGAGGTGTTTAATCTTCTTCGCTTCTTTCCAGAGTCCTACGAGACATTGTTAAAGAACTGCTCCACGAAAGAGGATCCGGCTAGTCAGAGGATAAACTTCGAACAGTTCTGCACTCTGGCTGGAGAATGGTCCAGACGGTCGAAGAACAACGGCGTGACCTGTGAAAGTGAGATACCTTCAGTTTGGAGTATATTATGTAGGAAGGCCTCAAAGTTTCTCCGCAGAGCTTTCGTGCACCCTTTTAACCGTTTCATAGGTATTTCCGATTTTCAACAACTTTCCCGAGACTGTTCGGAGGTCGATTATCTCTGTGACAGTTTAATTATGGGTCGATAGATCGGCGTTGAGTTTCGAGTAGACTGAAGTAGGGCCCTTCGATGACTAACGTAATATTCCCTGAAGTGACATCCAAGCCTTAGAAAAATTCATTGAAATTCAAACGTACATTTACGAACTTCAGGATATCTTTAATCGCCAAAACGAGGATGTCGTTCCATAAGTTCCTGGATAAATTTCTTTTGCCGTGGGTCTCATATCCGTGAAATAAATATGAAATAATTTCACGCTTAAACAAATGTCGTCCCAGAGAGACATTTCCTTTTTTTTTTTTCCCCTTTACAACGAAACGCTGCGAAGCGTAAGTTCTTACTCGTTGCCACAAGAAGATGAAACAGGAAAGGAAAAGACTTTTAAATGTTTGTCCGCGAACTCATGGAACAAGTCGACGCTAGACATGACGCGGTATGACCTAATAACTCCATATTCGGATTTGAACAGCTAGCGGTGTTTCAGATTGGACCAACTCGTTGTTGCCAGACTCCGAGAAGCGAGACTTATACGTCGGAGTGGTGGGGAAGGATTTTTTCTGGCTTGAGAATTCAGCCGCCCCGTTGATCGAGTGAGTACTCGTCCCGTCGAAGCGCTCGCCGATACCCCGGAACTTTTCCCTACCTACCTTTCTCAGATCGATGGGTTTGTCTCTATATCGGCCGAGCCTGAATGAGTACAACGTAAGGGGATTGCCGCAGGAACTGCATCGCATGAAAAACTCCCAGCTGATTCTGCTGGTCGTGCCGCAGCACTCCCGTGGCATCACCATCATGGCTCTGGCAGCTCACTTGATTGGACTGCGCGCTAAGCTTGTCCTGTGTGTTCAGATTCTCCCAGACGACTCCATAGTCTCCGGAGAAAAGGTACTTCTCCCTCTGAGCGTAACACTTACGGCGAATCTGGAAGAGCCAGGGTTACTACGACATAAACGAAGTCCTCTGTAGGCACCTTTTTCACTCGCTTCTTCTTCTTCTTTCTTTTTTCTAGCTCACCCAACAAGCGACGAAGGACTACAATCGAGGGAGGATGTACCTGTCGGACTACGCAACGCGCGAAGGAGTACCTGTATTTCACAATGTCGCCGATGCACTGCAGCACGCGATACAGCTAGTTCAAAGTCCCTGTTGACTTAACTCCTGTTGTTTTCTCTCTTTCTCTCTCTATCTTTTTCTATTCTCCGTACGGATAGGTACCTCAATTCGTCGACTAATTTATTTTTATTCGAATCTTACAAGTGCCCTTGCTCACCTACCGTTCGGGTCCTCGTCGGCGACCCTCGTGCGCGATGACGCCATTTTGGTTTCCAAGGCGACGCGAAAGTGCGGTCAAAGAGGTCTTATTAATGAAACTTTCCTCCGAAAGGTGTACCGAATCGTTTCAAGCTTCACAACGTGAATACAGAGGCTGTAAGGAAGGTCCGGACACCCATGAAATTATTAATTTGTCAATATTCTGTAAGAAAAAAAAAAAAGAGTGAAATTTCATGGGTCCTTTCTTAGAGCCTCCATGTTCACGATGCGAAGCTTGAAACGATTCGGTATATCCAATTTTGAGGGAAACTTCGATTGATCTCTCGGATGCCACTTTCACATCCCCTTAACCTACTATTTATACTGCACAAGTATTTTTATCACTATTACCGTTACTACCACTTTTACACGTTTACTACTACTTAATACTACTGCACATTACCAATCTCTCTCCGCTGCACGATCTAAGATCACCACACGTACACCTCTAGGGATGCGTTGAGGTACTTTGTGAAATTTAGGAAACCTCCAGGACGATTAGTTCTAATCACTCTTTCGTAAAGTTCAGGTCGAGGTCACCCGTACAATTACATACAATATTTCCTTTTTTACACCGCCGGGCACTTCTTCGTGCGACCGTAGTTCGAGGTCGCGAGGCCTCGATCGACACGAGTTGACACTAATCTTAGATTTAACGATCTCTTAAGACACCAGTGACCACTGATCGCGGATTTTCGGACGAAAAGAGTAATCGCGAAGAGAGAGGAGCTATCCCTTGCGGTAGATGAGCACTCGTCTTTTTTCTCTTTTTCTTTTTCCTTTTTTTTTTAACGTTAACGTGACAACCTTTTTTGTAACCTTTTGGTAACTGGTTGAGGAATGATTTGATATACGTGTACATACATATACATATATATAATTATTATTAATTGTTTCTAACGATCTAATGGTGATTGATTCACATCCGAGAGCTAAGAGCGAAAGATATTCGGGATTTCGCGTAACGGTGAGAACTTCCAGGAGTGGGACGCCATCTTGGATTTTCTGAGACCTCGTCATCCTTTATGCGAAATATTTATGGATGTCCTTAGAAGCCCTTGAGTTTGCATGTGTGGACGTATGCATGCGAGTGCATCTGGGTGAAAATGAAAAAAATAAGAACGGGCGTAAAAAGTCCCTCGTCAAGGTCCGGGAAGGGAAGATTGAAATTTAGGAGAGTTCTTGGGAAATCTATGAAATTGAGGAGGAACTTTAAGCTACTCCTCGTGACACGCTTCGATCACAGAATTCCATTTTATTTCTTTCTTTTTCTTTCTTTTTTTTTTTATTTAATAAAACCCGTGAAACACTTTACATTCGTTCTCTTTAGTGCGTGGATCGAAGGGCCGCCTTAAAATCCGAGTTAAGCCCGTTAGGATAACGTACAAAATATGTATATTAGTCGGAAAGTTTGTACGGCAAAGGGTTGATACCTAAACTCGAGGTACTAGCTCTTCGACCACAGGAAATGATTTGGTACCTGAAGGTATCTTATCGGAAGTATTCGTTTCTGGTACTTGGCACCACACCTTAACCGATACGTGTTTTTCTATTTCTTTTTTAATACAAAATTGCGCATATGTTTTGGACTCTTCGACGCGGTAATTAAACTCGGGATTCGTAGATGCTTCACGTCGCAAGAGGCGTTCAATAGCGATTCGACTCGATGTATGATCTAAAAATGACCGGCGCTGCATAATCGCGAAAAAACGTTGGTACGACCTAAGTGCAAGGAAAATGATGCACCTGCGTTTATCGATAATTAAAAAATGGAGGCGAAGTGCAAGCAAGACGATGTGCCCGCGATTATTGATAACAAAAAAAAAATGGACGCGAAGTGCAAGCAAGACGTGCCCGCGATTATTGATAACTAAAAAAAAATGAATTCGTCGGTCGCAAGGGGCAGAGCTTCAAACGCCTCGCGATCGAGTGCAGATACGAAGCGTAATCTAAAAATGACCACTGCTGCATATAATCGCGAATTGCAGTCGCGTCCAAGTCAGTTAGGCTCCGTTGCACCCGCGAAGGAACGTTCGAACGACCCAAGTGCAAGCAAGACGACGTGCCCGCGTTTCTTAACCGACAATTAAAGAATTAACTCGAGAGACGTTTAATCGCGATCGGGCGCAGATATGAGGTATAATCTAAATATGACTCGCGAAGGAACGCTCGGACGACGATCTCGAGGTGCAGAAGATACGACGGTGACTCGGGGTGGGGACCTGGCAGAGTAGAAAAATATTGGGAGGATAAGAGACACGGCCCGACCTCCTCGACCTCCTCCAGGCGGTCCAGGTGTGACTAAAGGGAGACTCGTCCGCGGAGGTGGGACTCCCAGATCATCCCGGTAAATATCAGTCCTCCACGAGACGGGCATCGGCTACTCCGTTTTCAGTTTCGTCGCCTCCTCTTCCTCCCCCTGGGCCTCCAGGTTCTCGCTCCGGCTGGGCTTAAAATAGTACCGCCGTATGTTCCTCAGGGACAACAACACCGGTATCAACACCGGCAGGAACAGCGGAATGTACACGGCGTATCTGAAATCCAGGGTGGAGACCTTGAAGATGTCGGGTAGCTCATAGTTCATTAACACGTTCCCTGCCAGACCGTTTTTTGAAGACTTGAAGTGGGGCGTATACGCCCCACGATTAAGTAAGCGCATCAGCAATAGTATTAAGATCCCCATAATTAACTACATAATGAATTTTTAAAAAATTCTTCATTTTACAATGATAATACCAAATGGCTTGAACGGAAAGTTCAGCGTGGGGCGCATACGCCCCACGCGGCAGGGAACGTGTTAAAAAGGAAAAGAATTCCTCGGCGAGCTTATGGGATGATCTAATTAGTTTCACAAGGGGAGTTAACTCGCTCACTTCTGGTCCTCCGGGAAGTAGAGCAACGCCAGGAGCGAGGAGTCGCTGAAGGCCTTCTCTGCCGCGACGAAGGCTTCCTTGCTCAGGAGGAAACCTTCCTCGAGTCGGCCCTTCTTCAGGAGGTCTGCCGACCGGGTCACGCAGTCCAGGGCGCGTTTTATTCGGTCCCCGACTGTGTCGGTGATGACGATGTTGCTTATCTCCCCCAGGAGTTGAGCCAGAGACTGCAGGGTGAGCTTCGCCGAGGTGAGCTGCTCCACGGAGCGGATCCTCAGGAGGCCGTCCAGCTCCCAGTCTCTGGGCTTCAGGTTCGGAGGTGGCGTCACCGTCACTCCGCTTATCGGATGCTGGAGAAACGGATGCGATAAAAAAAAAAAAGAAAGAATTATTAAGCACATGCTCATATTCCACATTAACGTTAAAAGACGTCTTTTGTCTATTGTCCTGAATTTGCACCGCTACTCCGCGTAGGGACGCTGAGGGAACACGGGTCATAAAAAAAAAATTGTTAGACACGTGTTCATATGTGCCCATAATTATGAAAGTGGTCTAAGTCAAAATTGAAAAAAAAAATGAGTTTATCAGTTATTTCACGCCACATTGTTTCAAATGAAATTAATTCAATGTAATTTCGAAACAAAAAATATATGACTTAGACCACTTTCATAATTATGGGCACATATCGTACCGCGTTTCATTCTAAAAAACAATAGACGTAACGAAAAGCTCCTCGTCAGAAGGAACGGTTTTAATGATCGGAGCCTTTTGTTTTAATTTTTCGCGCGTGTTTAAAAAATCTGTCTTGCGCGATACCAGGTCCTGGAGTCCCAGAAGTAGTCTCAGCTGTACGTGGAAGACTCCCATGATGGACGATTCGTCGGGATTGACGCTCACGATTTTGTTACCCTCCTTTCCCTCGCATGCGGTGGACAGAGGATTGGCAATGACGACACCTCCCCATCTGCGGGGAAAAAATCGGGTTTGCCAAACTGCCGGGGTGAAATGTCACAGAAAGTTCTTCGTTAGGGAAGGAAGAACGGGGAACAGGGAAAGTTGGATTACCTCGGCGAGAGAAATGCCTCCGCGTTACTTCCCATCATGGAACGCTGACCTTTCCGGGTGTAGATGTAAAGAGGCGCCTCTTCGCATGGCACCATGTACATCACCAGATTTATGCAAGGATGGAGACTGACCTGCGAGGCTGGAAAGTAAATTCCACGTGAAATGTTCTTCAATTTGCTTTAAAAAAGAAAAAAAAAAAAAGAGCAGCTTTTACCCAATTTTTTCTCCAATGGCGTTATCACGAGCGGCAGGACGTTCTCGGTCAGGGCGTAATGTCTGCCCAATGGGCTACTATCAGGTACTTCTTTTGGGATGACTCCTAATTGCACCAAGTACAGCCACTGAGACTTTACCGAGAAATTGCCGACCAGGGATAACTCGTTCACGAAAGGCTCGATGTACTCTGGAAAAAAATCCATTATCAATTTACGGTCCTATGTATTCATACATTTATTTTGTACAATATTTTTAATATTTTTTTTTTCGCTCGCAGAAAGTTCGGAATTTTTACATTTTCGAGGGTTTTTTTTTTTTTGACCGACCTACCTTCGGCGATATTTTGCAAGTTCCACTCAATGTTCAGTTTCTCAGGATCTGGATTCACTACTGTAAGTAAAATATCGTACGCCGGACTCGGTGGAAATCGTCTTCTATTTTCTGTGTCCAAACTGTACTCGGTGGGTTTTGTCAAGGCATTCTTTGTCAACGCCAAGGATTTGTCCTGTAATATCCACTGGGACAGGACCTCGCATAAATGAGTGCTGTCTGAAAAATTAAAGAAATAAGAAAAATCCGAAGTAAGATATTCCCGCAATAGAAAAGACGCCTTAGATGCAGAATTCGTCTTACTGGCTTCGCTGGAAAAGTATATGCTTCTTCTAGAACCGACCAGGACTCTTTTCTCCATACTTCGGACTTCCAGGAGCAGCAACTCGCCTTTTTCAATGTCAAAAGTTTCAGATATCCATTTCAAGTCGTTCATCGTGGTGCCGGCTGGCACCAGGTTATTAGAAATCACTTCGTAAACCACCTCAAGGTTGAACAGCTCTATGGAAAAAAAATAAACATGAAACGTCCACTGTGGGAAGAACAAACTCCGCCTAAGACATTTTTCTTAACTGTTTCCATAATAGAACAAAAGGAGTAAAATTTAAAAATTTGTAGCATTTAAAGGGCACCTCATAAATTAGAGATTGGGTCTCGAGGAATGGCTGAGAAAAATTATTACACCATTTCCCCGTTAAGAAACATTGTCTTTGCATGTACTTGGCGCGAAACTCAGCCGAGTTTTCTCCTACATCTCGTCTACTGATTTTCGGTTATCAGATAAGCTCGGTCGTTCAATAATCAATGAGATTGTTAACGGTCTCTTAGTCTTTACTTCCTTGACAGATTTTGGGCTAAATGTATCATGGAAATCAGGGCAATCTTAATATGTTTAATCAGATATTAAACATATTTATCGATTGGCAGAAACTCATACCAGCCTTTTCGAAGTTTTTCCGTATCTCTTCCGTCAGCGTCTCGGCTCGCCTTTTGTCCACCACGGCGATTAGGATTTTCGTTTTGATTTTCATCTCTAGATCCGAGAGACCTTCGATTCCGGAATAAGGAAGAGGTACTCTCGGTACCGAAGTCGTGTACCACCATAATGGAACTCCGATTCCTAACAGTAGAAATGCAAAGGAAATGCTGGCGTACACGCGATACTTTTCTGAAAGCAAAAAGAGACCATTTTCTTTTTTTTTTCCAACAAAATTCCTACTAAAATACATTCAACATTTTTAAATCAGGAATATTGATCGTAAATCGAAATTAGAAATATTTCCTCGCGGTACGTTCGCGTCGACAATTAATACAAAATAATGAGAGATAGAATAATTCCATGATTTCAGTTTTGAAATAAAAAAAAAAAAAGATTCAAAATTTGACAAATGTCGGAGAGTGCAAATATTAAAAATGTGAAGCACATGTGTAATTAGAAGTATTTCTCGATTTAATTAGGACGGTATGTTTGTGTTAATAAATGTTGAATAAAAAAAAGAGAGGTGTCATAGTGCTTCAAATTTTGAATAAATATTTTGCATGACTCCTCCGATAAGACACGACGTCTTGTCGATGCTTATCTCTGTCTTCCCTTTCCAATGCGCTGATTTCGATCCCTCTTAATGCGAATTTAATAAAAAGCTGACTAGAGAGAGACGTCGATGACGAAAGGAAAAAACGTCAAAGCCGACATTAAGGGATAAGCACATGTGCGCGAACGTCAGAGTTGTCAAAAATGATGAATTGATATCTGTTAAGAAAGGGATTCCGAATCTCTGATAGATTCAAAAGGCAGATTCACCAGAACTCGTAACGACAGCCCCGAGGGAATTTAATCCCTCGTTTACTAATTAAAACCTATATCTAGTACGGTAGAAATAATAATTATCACACATAAAAGGCGATACTATTTTGATTTAATAATTAAAAAGAAATGCATAAATAAGTTTACATACACGACAGAACATGGATTAAAAAAGTTAAATTTAAGCGAAGGGTACCCGACATAAATAAAAATTTGAATAAAATCATTATCCGATTTGTATACGCCGGTTTACGATATTAATTGTCAGGTCATCTCATCCTCAGGATGATCTTTATCATACAAAATCAATCATGAATCTTCGGACTATATGCGCACTGTTTGTTCCGCTGATAAGGCAAAGATTACTGAAAATCTCCGGTTTGGCAATGTCACGTATGGCGACTTCATTCACGTCTTAAATTCTCATAAATTTAAGCCGATAAGAAATCGTTTCCGTAAACCGTGAAAAATCTTCCCAAACTACATACACGAATTTATTACCCGAAATTGCTCGAAAATTTCGAGTTCGATTTACATCAGCAATCGATGTTTGTCAATTTACGAACGACTGAGGAATTTCATCGGAGGTTTTTTTCAGACAAGCATATCAAATTACGTATTACATTTTTTTTTTCTAGGTACACAGGATCGACGTTACATTTCTTTTCTCATAAATTCATGAATTTAATTTCTCGTTTCAAAGGGCATTGTTTATTTTCATTTCTAGCAATGTTTTCCGCCGACCCCGAGTCACGTGCCACCAACTAGACAATGCCAATATTGATGATCTCTGTACGCAAGTACCCATCTAATACGTCAATTAATCTCTTACGATTCTTCACCTGTTGCGCAATGTGACGCTGCACGATGGGATGCAAACACTTGTTGCATCTCCCGGTCCACGAGACACTTTGCGTATTTAGTTCACAAAGGGGAACGCTCAATTACTGGGGAAACAATTGATAGGAAGGAATGCCTTATCACGTCCAGGAAGAATTTCGGAAACAATGAGGCGAAGAAGAAAGGGGAATTAAACCGTAACAGTCCAATTTATCGGGAATTAACGCTGCACATTCAAGGGCAAATAATTCCTTCATTCGTAATACCTTAATTGCAGGCCGCGTTTAGATAAGGCCTAATCCGGAAGAATAAAGGAAATTGCGGAATTAACTGTTGCGAAACCGAGCGCACCTGCTCGTAGAATTGTTAAAAAAAGTATTCATAAAATTCACACACTCTCGGTACAGGAGAATTGGACGTCTTCAATATGAATGAAGTACAGAATTATTAGAAATTCCAAAATGTGCCTATTTTCTTATCGGTACAAGATAAACGTTTCAAATCATAAGAGGTGAATTTCATACGTGCTCTGGAATCCCCTCAGACCTTTTTGGCTTATCTCGTTACTTGCGTATGTACGCACTGGACACGTGGAGTGACAATATTTACCTTTACGTAGGAATATAAAAAAAATCTTCGATAGGGATAAAACATGCCAGGTAATATTTCGGCCTCTGGGTGATAAGGATTAAACACTGCAAATATTTTTCATACAATCGAAATCCCGCGAGTGGATCGATGTACAATAGCATTGAATGGCCAAGGCGAAGTTTCGAGGAAATTCGGCCTTAACACGGAATCCAAAATTCGTCGTGTCCGGCATTCGAATGATCGAATTTGTTCAATCGTTTTGAGAAATTGTCTATCGGCGAGATATAATGAAAATTCTTCAGGGTCGGGTCTTTTGAAAGGCGATGCCTAAGGCCGGTCGGTGTTACACTTTCGGATAGCGACATCCATTTAGATTTATTCTTAACACGCTGCCCTACATTTAAGCGCGTGGCTGGCATTGGAAATTCATTTCCTCAATATTTATCTTCCACGCGAATACCCCGATACAAGCTAAAAAACTTTTACTATCTCGCCATTCAAACCTTAACGTGATATAGTACGACACATTCCGCGAGACATTGTCGATAAATTCATTTAGAAAAATTCCACGGTACTTCACACCCCGAATATACATTTTTCAGATTTTCTAGTTTATCGTGAAACACACCACGCGCAATAAACATTTCATTCGGTGCGTATACAATTTATCCAAGTTTCCAGATTTTGGCTGAATTTTTTTTTTCGCCCAAAGGGTCCCTTAAATTTTATACGCCTCGGGATGTGCATTACGCAACGTCCGTATGTGCATGTGCACATACGGCACGCAAAACTAAAATGTCGTGCGCGAAGATCGATGCCGAAGGACTAGGAAGTCTGCAGATTTTCCACGCCACTCGCGTAATTAATAGATTGACATCACTTATGGAGTAATCGTTAGAACAAGAGGCGACGTCGGCACTGGTTCAATATGCCAAGTTCACTTTATACACGAAAGCAGTTGTTCACCGTTACGTATTCCGTCCGCGTGCATGCTATCATTGAACAATTCCTATGTAATAAGATACGAGCACGTCTCGTACGTGTGACACTCATCTCCACCCGAAGGCGCATGAGAACGAAGAGACGAGTTCCACTTCCTTTTTTAATACCAACATTTGTATATTAACATATAATGAGCGATGTTCGGGTGAGACGTAATTAAAAATATTTTTCATTACAGTTAAGCAAAACGGCGTGCACGGTTTAGCGATACATCGGGTGACAGGACGTACTGCGAATTTTTTTTGTATCGTATTTATTTCAGGGGTATACATGTGGTTTTAACATTTAATTGCCATTACAGAAGTGTAATATTAGAATTAATTGGTGTCGTCTTAACGTGATTATTCTCCTATGTCCCGCTTCTGCAGATCCATCCCTTGTGAATCCATCCCGGTGGACCGTATCTCGGGGTAGGCTCGGGAACCTGCAAACAAGACACGGTAGAGTCTTGCAGGTTGTTCGTAAAACTCTCACCCTAGTCCGGCAGGAGTTGCCGAGGAGGGGGCCGTTATTCCGGTTCCTGATCGGGGGTTTCCTTTTTCCCGGCTAGCTGGGCCCCGGTTCGACGTCCTACGTCCTTTTCGAGGTTCCCGATGGGTTGCCAGGCAATAAGCTCGCCCTTTTGAACTATCTCCTTAGGTCTGTCGAACCATCTATCAAACCATGTCCATCTTACCATACCATATTCACCATGGTACCATACCATATCCATCTTACCATACCATCTCCTTCATCTCCCCATCCTACCTTCTCCAACTTACCGGACCGTCCTCCTCGTCCTCCCGGCACGTCCGTCCCGCTCGGCGGTCCTCGGGGATCTGCGCGCGGGTCGGTGGCTCGCCTCCACGGACTCCACGGAGGACGCTCGCCCGAAGACGGGACGGCCTCGCCATTGTTCCCCCGGGAGTCGGGCTGGAGAGGGGAGGAAAAAGAGAGGGGTGGCAGACAATTGTACCTAAGTTCCGACCCGATGCTCAGTCCGCGAGTGACGACCGCGAAGCGAGCCCGACCGAGCCTGAGACTTCAGCCGACGAGGTGCCACGGTGCCACGGCGCCGCGCACCTGGTGCCGATCTTCCGGGACCTCGACCTTCGCGGGGGGTCGCCGCGCGAAAGTGCCCTAGGTCACGGTCCTTGCGTTCCCTGACCCCCGCCCTCCTACGGACCGCATGGTGAGTCGCGAGTCGCGGTTGCTATCATTTCTTACGATTTTATACAATTTCATACAATTTTATATATCATGCAATTTTACACTATTGATAAGTATGAAAGTGGCCCTCAAATAATAATTATTAGGACCACTTTCATACTCACCGTGATTGAAAATGAATTTCTGAGATTGGATGACGATTTTGAGATTTCGCAAGAATTTGAAAACTGACTCGTGTCGCCTCGAAATTCGGGATTCGGTACGTATAGTTGTACCTGACAAACTGTGATTAAACTCGCAACAGGTGTGCCGACCTTGGCCGAATGATGAATCAAGATCAAGTCCGAGGGCGACGATTCTAAATACCGTTTGGAAAAAAAAAAAAAAAAGTGTTTGTGAAATTTCTTCGTCTAGGTCGCGATAAACCTTGATTCGCGTTACACATTCCTCTTAATCGTATAATGAACACTGGCAAATGCGTACAATTTTATATTAACAGAATACCGCGCGACTATGAGAAAAAAAATCCAAAGCATTACAGGAATGTCGCTCGACTTGAACCCGAGAGGAAATAATGAATTAATGTTCGTTGCTTAAATTTTTGCAAGTTCAGAAATTCATCCGTTTCTTGTCAAGTGGTCTGATATAGTTTCCCGCGTGGCAGAAATCAAGATGAAATTAATCTAATGACGTTTTCGATGTTAGGGCTTGATTCGATAAGAGGGAGAGATTTGATTAGATATTTCCGGAGTGAATTACTCGATATTATTTTATCGATCTAACTAGATGGAGTAACAGGTGAATGGCGTGAATCGACGATATCTCGGTTTCAACTATTACCGTAGAACTGTCAGTCCCTACTCGGGGTTGAGAATTTCAAGGCGCGATTACGAGATACCGCTAAAAGTGGAGGAAAATCGAGGAGCAAGCTCTCGAATTGAAGTATGGACAGTCAAGGGGTAGGAATTTCGAGATGAGGTTACGCGATTGCATTACGCCTCGTCCGAGGGAGATGATAAAAATCAAGGGAAAAAAGCAATTGAGAGCAATAAACTCGAATAAATCGCGCTCTGTTTTCTCGCAAACCAGGATTGACGTATCGCCGTATTCTTCTTCTATTTCCCCGGGAAATCGGTGTCTTTCGTCCCTACGAGCCAATTTTCCGCGAATTTCTGAAGATGCAGCGTCCGCCTTTTAACGGTCTAAAATACAAGAAAAAAAAAAGGAGTACCGGGTTAAAAATGAAAGCTTCTTTTAATAGTCTACTTTTTCTGGTTCCAAATTCAAGGTTAAAGAGACTCAACGGTGACTAAAACGCAGCGTTTATCTTTTGTCTACCTAAAAGACAAAAACAAATGCGTGAAAATTCTTTTTCAACTCTTGCCTTTTCTTGGTTTTAAATTAAAGGTGAAGCAATTCGTAAACGACTAAAATGCAACATGCACTTCTTGACAGACTGAAATACAAAAAAAAGAATCCGTGTTAAAAATTCCTTTTAATAGTCTACATTAGGATTATATACTTTAGTTTGTAATATTAGACGCTTTTTACCCGCAACTGGCAATGTGCCTTTCGGGATAAAAAAGTGTTCAAATCATTTATAAAAAAAAAAAAGAATAACCATGACGAGTACCTCATTTCATAGGTCTTGAAAAATCGTGTACAAAAGTCATGGGAAAACCGGAGGCAATAAACTTCAATGAGTCCTGCTCTCTTTTCTCTTAAAGTAGGTTCAATGTCTTTACCACTACCACGACCACTGGTACCAATGAACCATGAGATATGATCAGGATGGTTGACTTGCCTCCACGTATGTAATGCTCCTACAATGCTAGAAGAACAGAATGCGAACAATGGAATCAGTGCACGAAGAGATGCAGTTCCTTCGCCGATAAATCCCCCCTGCATACTTACTCGATGCACTTCCCTCCACTTGTTACCTTCATTTTTTCAGTGACTCTTCACGTGACCGAAGAAACTGCACATTTTGAAATTAAATATAGAGGAGGGTTTCTCTATCAAAAAGAGACTTATATTAACGATAACTTCACGCGTAACCCTTTCTTCTCCTTTATCAATCCATTGTAAAAAAAAAATTAGAGTTAACCGCGTGTAACACCTGTTCCCTACTCGCCCTTGCGGTGAAAAGCGCGCGCAATTCAAATCGTCCTCATTTGGTTTGACATTTATTTTGGGATTTCTCAGTTTAAGGACGAATAAAATTAAATTTCACACAGGAAACAAATATCGGAATGTAATCAGTGTTAACCATGTTCATAACGGCATAGAACTGAAGTATAAAAGAGGGGAAGAAGGGTCGACCGACACGACTCACCCCTGCCGACAGAAAAATGTCGGGGAGTCGTCGAATGCCTTCCGTCATTTTTTTTTTCTCGGCCGCGTCGATTACATTGTTTCTCGCGCGATACTAATAATACATGGACGCATATACGTGGGAGAATTGCACGAACAATTCGTGCGTACAGGCTGGTCTCGGCGAGGCGGGATGCCGATGCGTGCACTGGATTCGCGAGCGAGGTTGCACACGAGAAAGCGTGCCGTTGCACGTTGCAGCCGCGCATGCGCGGCCGAGTCATCGAGCACGGTCTTGGACGAATCAGGTCGGCGAAATGACTCGTATAGGAAGAAAGGCCATAGAGAGAAAGGGGCGCTCGTCGGCTTGATTATTTATTCATTAACCATGACGTGCGCTTCGGACTGATTTGCGCATGCGTGCGCTCAACCAATGGCGTCGCAGGGCGCGAACACGCGAAAGGGAAGCGAAAGGCAGTCGCGTTGAATTCCATTAACCATTCGAGAAATCGAAAGATACCTACGAGAGCGTGTGTGGATATCAATTGCCGATGTGAAATTGCGCGCGTTAATTGTCTCTATTGGCTTTTTTCTTTTTTTCAGTGAACAAAGACTGTAAGAGATGGACTCGAAGCAGGAAGAGATCCGCTCGGAGGGCGTCGAACCGGACGGCAAAAGAATGTGAGTATGCGGTTCTGCCGACGTTGTGCAATTGGAGGCATTTAGTGAAGCTTTTATTCCCGCTAGGTAATCGACACATTGTCCCTGTTATGCCCGGGGTGCAATGGAATTCCTGGCTGCGCTTTATAAGGCCGCATTCTATATTCAAAATGTAGCCGAAAAGTCTCGTAGACATTTTTCTCTGGGGCGCACAGTTTGCCTGTAATAATTAATCGAAAGAAAAATGGCCGCCAAGGCGGGTGTCGCAGAGAGCGCCCGGTTCGCTCCTTTTTCAATGAATTATTACAAGCAAACTATGCATCGTGGGGGAAAAATTGTATAGGACTTTTCCGTCCCATTTTCAACAAGGATTGCGATGACTAAACCCTGGGCAGGAATTCTGTAACGCCCTGCACACCAGACAGCGTTTCTTATCAAATGCCGGGAGAGTGTGAATAAAATGGCGGTGTTAATTCCTGATTAAGTGATTAATATTAAGGGCTTTCAGGCGGGACAGGAGCTTCTTTTGGCTGCTCTTGCGGTTCGTCCAGATTTATTGGAGGACCTTCGTCGTGATTCTGGGCCCGTTAACCTTGCTCCCCATCGTCATCATAAATAATCATCAGGTCAGGACTTCCAGAGGCTGCTGGCGTTACACAGCGCCCCACTTTCTCGTTTATACATTTTTTTTTTTCCCATGAAATCCGATTTGCGGTCATTTATTCGCCCTACTTCATGCACTTTCATTTCAGATGTTCAGGTGCCTTTACGTGGTGATGCTGATGGCGCTATTCTGGGTGACCGAAGCCATCCCTTTACCAGTCACAGGGATGATTCCTGTAGTCTTGTATCCTCTGATGGGCATCCTCGACTCCAGCGTTACGTGCGCATGTTACATGAACGACACCACGATGATGTTCATCGGGAGCCTCGTTATCGCAGTGGTCATACAGAACTCCGGGTTGCACTTGCGAATTGCATTTTTTATCATTAAGTCTCTCGGCTGCAGCCACCGTAGGTGAGACAGAGAACATCCGCATTACAATTTACCAATTGTTCCAAAAAATTGCACTTATGAGTATGCGCGACTCGCGTGCGGTACATGTTTTTTTAAAGGGGCTCCAAAAATTACACAATCGTCTCTCGACCACGCCAGGCGAGAAAGGAAAACTCGAGGGAGCTTCACGAATGCATAACAAGCCTCGAAATACAAAACTGTAATGCCTTACGCAATAACGCGTACGAATAATGATTACACGCACGGAATGAATGACCGACTGGGTATTAATTTCGTAAGAGCTACGTTATCGGAATCGCTTATCCATTTTAAAGCTAACCGAGCATTTCATTGTAAAATTCTGTTAACACCGCCGAGCTCAATTTTATTGTCAAACATTTCATTGTCAAGTCTCGGGGCGACTCACTGGCAGAAACAATCACCGATTGTTAATTACACGGTATGAGCTTTATGTTTCCTCTCGCCTGCTTCTTTAATTGACCGGAAGGGGCAATGTTTGCGGAGAAAGTTGCAAATTGCTCGCACTTTAGCGTGAAATGGCTGCGACCTAAGTGTCGACTAAATGGCCTTTATTTGCAGTACTTACAATCGGTACAGATTAGGTGGTACCAAATGTTACGGAGCTTTCGAACGACTCGTTGAACAATTAGGTGTAAAGCAAATCCCGCATAAAAGCATCCTCTTGTATACTTTAAAGGATTCATTTGGTACATTATTTATATTTTTTCTCTTACTTAGGCTAAGCCTGGGAATATTTTTCGTCACGATGTTCATCTCCATGTGGATTTCTAATACTGCCGCCACGGCGATGGTTGTTCCCATAATTGAGACGGTGCTACTAGAACTGGAAGCGGTAAGAGATAATTTTTTCATAAAAATCTATATTCATAAAAATTTCTATAATACCCCAAAAAATCAAAAAATGCCCGGATCGACCAAAGCCGTTAAAAAATGAATCTCGAATCTCTTCTTTTTAAATTAAGCCGTCGGTCAAGTCAACTTAAACTTCGAAAGCCACATTAAACATTCTAAGTTTGACTTCTCGAGATGAAAGAATGACTATGCGTGCCAGTATATGGCATTTAATTTAAGGTCACCACTAATCAGCGCATTGAACTCCTCTAACCGTTCTGAAACTTAAATTAATAGTCAGTGTCTCGATCGGACGGGATGTCATTTCTTTTATCTGGCCCAAGTGAAGATACTAAATCAATGTCTGATTTCAGCAAGGACTTGGGAACATGTACATTCAAGACGACACCTCGGAAGAGGAAGGAACGGAGCCGTAAGTGTATTAAAAAAAAAAAAAAAATACAGAACGAAAGTAATAAAGAATTGGTATTTTATTTATTTACAATTGACATTACAGGCAAAAACGACCGACACACGCGACTTTGGTGTACTTCCTCTCGGCGTCGTATGCCTCGAGCATAGGAGGCATCGGAACCGTCGTGGGAAGTGGAACAAATTTGACTTTGAAAGGGATCTACGAAAGGTGCGGCGAAAGAATCGCATTCTCAAGATTAAGTATAACGTTGAAAAGGAATATACCATATATTAATTAATGTACTTTTGTACAGGCGCTTCCCCCAGAGTCCCGGAATTAATTTCGCGTCCTGGATGCTGTACGCGACATTGCCGATGCTGGCTGCAAGTTTTTTAACGTGGCTCTGGCTTCAAATCATGTACATGGGCCTTTTCAGGCCGAACAGTAATGACGCGAGAGCAATAGACATCGGCGAACAAGGGGAGCGAATCGCCACGGAAATGATAAAAAAGAAATACAAAGAGCTGGGGCCAATGACGTGGTACGAAACGAACGTCGCGGTCCTCTTTATAATCGTCGTTTTTCTATGGTTCTTCAGGCAACCGGGATTTACGCGCGGATGGCCGGAATACATAACAAATTCGTAAATATTGATTTACTAAATTGGACTTATATTGAATCGGCAGGGAAGTCTTGCGACGTTGACGATAGAATTTTCTAATTAGTCATTATTTATTGAGGTACAACCTCTTAATGATATTCATTTTTAAATAAATACCGTACAGTAAATTCATATGCTACAGGAATAAAAAATCAATGAACCAAAAAAATATTTTGTCAATTTGAAGAATTTTCACTCAAGCTCAAATAATTTGTTACAATTCATTTTTTTCTTGATACACTCCGCAGGTTTTTGTAAAACTTTGGAAATGGAGATACAGTGTCGCAGGACTTTTTGCCAATCCAATGAAGTGGAATTCTCTTTGTATGTTTTATATCTATGGGGTTTTAATTTCTAGACAAGTCAAGGACTCGACAGCTGCTATCGCTCTTGTGATTCTGTTGTTCGTAATTCCCTCCAAGTTGGACTTTCTTAAGTCTTTTGACAAGGACCCCAAAAAGAGGCCCTGTAAACCGTCGCCTGGTTTGATAAATTGGAAGACCATTCACGAAAAGATGCACTGGAGCCTGATAATGGTACTTGGTGGAGGATTTGCCATCGCAGCTGGCAGTACCTCTTCGGGCCTTTCGAAGATGCTGGGCAACTCCTTGACAGATCTGAAGGCACTGAACGCAGTTGCTATATTATTTATTGTGTGCTTGTTCGCAGAGTTAGTCACAGAGCTGACTGCGAATGTAGCAATAGCCAATATAATTTTACCGGTTCTAGCAGAAATGGTAAGTCTTAGTCATGATCTTATCCACTTGCGTCAGCTAATTCAATTTATAACAATTGATCTCAAAATATTGTTTTTAGTCTCAGAAGACTTTTCAGCCAATCCGTTATTCCATATTCCTTAACGGTGTCATAAAATGCAGGTCTGACATGTCATTTTATTTCAGTGCGTGGCTATTCGCATACATCCTCTATACCTAATGCTGCCAGCTTCGCTGTGTTGCTCGTTTTCGTTCCATTTGCCAGCCGGAACACCTCCCAATGCCATAGCCTGTGCCGCTGGCCACGTGAAGACTAAAGATATTATTATCGCAGGCATCGGACCTACCGTCATCACACTTTTTATTATCTCCGGATCATTCGCTACTTGGGGTACTTATATATTTGACTTGTACGAGTTTCCCTCGTGGGCTGTCGACAGCCATTCATAGCCATAAATAACACATTTATTTATTTCGATAGTATTATGTAACGCACGCCCATGTGACAAGCTTTCGACAAAGCAGCATTAGTCTTGACTTTATAATTGAGTATCGCATTCTTTTACCACGATGTGTGACGATAAGTAACGATCGATCATTTTGTACATAATTCAGTCGACTCGCGTGTACTTGCACATCGTGCAATATTCAGTGTTAATAAACCTGTACATGACAGTTTTTCATTTGGGTAGAGCTAATGTACATAATTTTAGTAAACAATAAGATATTCACATAAGAGGAATCTTGGTTTCCTTGCATATGACATAAGCGATATCATGACGTTGTACAAACATTGAAGCACTGACAAGAGAAGTTTAATAAAAACAAATTCAACATGATCCGCTTTAACGGGGATCAGATCATGAAATTCAGTTGAAATTCGATCGGTTCATTAACCTTATCATATCTCAGGAAGTATATTTCCAACTGAGTACATTAAATTAAACATTTTGTACTCCATCCTAATTAAGCATAACTGAATCAGCTAATCTAGAAATTCTTAGAATGAATTATACATAATAAAACGCTCACCATCCGTGGGAGTGTCGTAACCGATGACATCAGGTTCTTCCGCCATGGCACAGATTAAAGTTACGCCTTTTCTTCAGAAGAATTTCACTTATTCAGGTAATTTTACAACGACTGTGGAAAGTGTAAATGAATAAGAACTTATGGAAGTGACAGATCGCAGTTGTTGAATATCCATTTGCTAATAAACGTATCATATAAAGTTTGGCAAATTCTTCCAAATACATCTACTTTTCTACTATTTAGTAATATTTACCGTTTTCATTCGCGAGTATTTACAGCGTAATTAATATTTCTACAGTCGTGTAATTCACTAAACATAACCTCACTATGCCGAGCACTTCGATGGTCACACAATTTGAATGACACCCGAATTAAGTTCGCCTTCGATTCAGTTTTAACGATTCGACCAGTTTCTTAAGCTTTCTGTTATAAAGCACCATTGTATGTCGTTTAAACATAAGTTCACATAATTAATAAATATACACGGCACCGGATAAGTTTCAATTGCGTATCGCACGATAGAAGGGTGAACAGGTTTCAGTTTTGAGGTTACTGCGCAGTCGCACGCGCAACTTCTTTGAAACAGCCAATAGGAGAGCGGCCCGAAGTTCAAATTTCCGGCGGGAGGTTCAAAATAAAAACCGAAAGGAAAAAAAAAACTGCACCACATTTCTTATTTAGCACATTTATAATAACGTTTTATACACGTTAATAACGTATTATATTTCATTTTACCCACTGTAGACGTAATTTGTACTTTATTTCGCGTTAGATGTAAATAAGGGCGCAGGTAACAGGAGCGTTCGGTGATTATTATTTCAGGGACAGGAAGTTTCGTGAAGACTATGAAGATACGGAACAAGATGCGCAAAATTCGGCCGATCTTCGGGGCGAGATGCCCAACAGGCGTTCATTACATTGTAGAGTTCTACGGAAAGATTCTCAGGCTTTGATAGACGGCCAGAATTGAGCACGTATCGGAGTAACTGGTCGTCACGAATCTCGGGATATGGAAAAGCTCCCAAAGTTCCAATTTCCCATAGAACTACGGCGAAGGACCACACGTCGCTTCTCGAGGAAAAAGCTCGATCGCGAAGCGCCTCTGGCGACATCCAACGTATCGGTAATCGGCGAATGCCTCCTTTTCCACTGTCCATTGTGTACTCGCCATTTCGAGACAGCCCAAAATCAGAAATCTAAAAGAAAGAGTCATTCTCTCAGTATTCTCATTTAGTACCGACATGCAAAGAATATACAAATTAATCGACTCTAAAGTAATGACATAAGCGTTTCGCTTTTCGTTTCACCCCCATTTGTTAAGATGCGAGCGTACACGTGATTTTAAAACATTTCTTATAATATCGTTGTTATAGAGAGGTGTGGGAGCGCTTATTCAAATTACCTTCAGAGTTAAATTCCCATCTAAAAGAATATTTCTTGCTGCTAGGTCCCTGTGAGTAATTCCTTTGCTTTCCAGGTGCTCCATTCCTCGAGCAATGTCCAAGGCGAAACGCAGCACCTGGTCATTCTTCAACCTGCAATTCCCAGGGCTGATATCGGGCATAGCCTCGTAATCCTTTATGTTTGCATACTGCAAGTGCGCCGAGTCTAAAGTGGATTGTGCAAAGCTACATGTAGAGAACGTCGGCGAGGTGGGCGTGGATGGCGATACATTGCTCAGGGTTGTGTATGTCGCTAAGATTAAAGGAGAGACATGAATTAATCGGGCGTACCATTTTACAGAATAATTATTCGCCTAATGTATTCTTCCTATAAATTACTTTCTGTTAAGCTGGGACTGCGAGCCGATATATCGTAGGAGTGAAAGTCGATTTCGGAAACGTTCCCTCTCAGGCGTCGGAGGTATGCAAATAGATCACCTCCTTCCATGTACTCCAGAATTACGCACGCAGGGTAATTCGGTAATGTACAGCAAGCAATGAGCCGAACCAAATGAGGGTGCGGACCGGCCGCTTTCATCATAGTAATTTCCTCTAACAATTGTTTCCGTGTTTCAGGCTCGGTCGGGTCGGAACTGTTGGGCATTTTCACGGCTACTGGATATTCATATCCGTCCAATTTCCCCAGACAGACTCGTCCGAATTGTCCATTTCCCAATTCTTGCGTAAGCTGCAATCGCCTAAAAGAAACTTCCAAATCGTCAGCCTCTCCCCGGGCCATTGCTTCCTGAAAATGCGGATGAATGAGTTAAAACAATTCTTTAAATTTATTTCAGTAACAAGTATTCCACTTTTATATGACGTTTTTTAATTCTAGTATTTGTTTTTGAATATTATTATGATGTTCTCTCTGATTACCTCTATCTCCTGCTCCACGTATAAAGCATTGCGGTGTTTCAAGATCAGGTCCACCAATCGGCATTTATATCTGAAATATTATCGGTCAGATTAAACTTAATCTCGGTAAATAATCGAAGGTTATAGTGATAACCGTGATTACCGTTTGGTCCATGTACTTGACCAGACCAATTCGTATCTCTTGCGGTCTTGAGTCCATGTAAAGCTCAAAAGACAAAAAGTCATGGCGCATACTGATATCATTCCAAGAATCAATATCCACTAAAATAAATATCAGATATACACAACACGTGAATAAATATACATTTCTTCCGAAATAAAATATTGCACCAATGATTAGATTTGTACAAAAAATATTCAATTTAAATTCAATATACGTTGAGATAAGAAAAATAATTTTACCACCAGTTTATACTGTGCTGTGAGATAACTTTGGTTCGATTGTATAAGGAAAGTTCCTGTAGGTCCGAGACACCCAAATCTATCCTCTGCGTTAACAATAATTTTATATTGTTGTGAGGTATGTAGATAGCTATTATCATTTCGGGGAGTCCATGTAAACGAGGAGACTTTTGAAGATGTCTTGATAATTCTTGTTGTATTATACACCGGAAGGCCATTTTTAGACACCAAAAGAGGAACTCCGACACTAGAACAAAATTTGATTTCATAACTTTAACAATTAATATGGGAATATTTATTGCCATGGACATGATTTTGTGCCCTTCTGAAATTTAATTTAAGACCGTACCTGATGACGAAAAATCGAACATTTGGGCTTTCTGATATTGTACTCCATTTTATTAATACCTTGCCTTCCTTGTTTTTAACAGCGTGCACTTTTGGCTCAGGTAATGTTTTGACAGCATTTAAACAGTTACAGTAACTTCCAACACATTTCGGTACTTTAAAGATTACCTGTAAAATCGAGAAAATTTTTTCTATTTTGGAATGTAGTTGTATATGAAAACAAAATTTTACAAACCGTTGACTGAAGAGTGGAATTAATTCTAGGATTTGCTCGCACTTGGATTTTGTATGAACACGATGGACGTACAAAAAATTCCGGCAAGTTAGAGAACAATTGATGTGCCGGCAACAATGCGTTCAACTGGCTTCCATTTTTGGTTGTATAATACAATGATTCTTCAGGACATTCGATGATATCGTTATCGGTATTTTCTGTAACGCTGCTGATCACTATACTGGAAGTAGAAAAGAAGGGACAAGCATATTACGAAATAAATGCAAAAGGATCGGCATTGTCACGAAAATGTCATTTATCAAAGTAATAATAATTGAGTAACAATATTCTGCTTACCTGTAAGACGACGGCTGTTTACTTGCAATTGGTCTCGCCCAAGAAATATTTAATTTTAATGGACCCCTTTCATTTTCATCCTTCACATGTATTCTGTCTTCAAAACTAAACACTGTCAAGTTGCGAACAACTCCGACTGACAGATATTTTTTTCCATGTACGGACAGTAAAAATATAAATAAAATAGTCGCGACAATCAAGCGACGCGCGATACTTCTCGGGAACATCTCATTTTTTTAAATCAAAAAGCCAAGATAAACTCAAAGTTAACCGTAAATCCCATCGATAACACTCTGCCACAAATGGTATTAGTTAGAAATACCAGAGTAATTACAATTTTCATTTATATATTTATGTAAAAATAATTTCTTTCTCCCGCTCGCAGTGACTTTCGATTTCATACTGGATAGTCGAGTGTTTAATAAACTGGCCACATCTCCCTATCTCTAAATATGTGCTTTATCAGATAACTATTAACCTGCTAAAGAATATGAAATCGTGATGGTTTGATAAGCCTTACGTGTTACGCATTGTAATAAATGGGCGATAAGAAATCTTAAGAAAATCGCGTTGGTGGCCACTGGCGACAATTTGAATTTGCCGCCATGTTGGTGGACCTTATGTCACTTTGTCAGGATTGACGGAGAAGAGACGGCGAATGATCATTTCGATTATATTTTGTCGATTCTACATTTGAATGGATTTTTTCCTACTTAATGATATGAAAAATACTAGTTCAATAAATTTAACGAGATCGATCTACCATTAATACAGAGATGAGTTGGGAGATTGCTCACGGGCAGGGTCGCGCGATCGCATCCTGTGCTGCCCTCTGGTTTCGTACATCAGCTTTCACCGTTTTTTGCCCCCAAGGGCGGCGCAACGAATTTCTGGTAGGGGCTCGCGCACTCGTGATGGTACTGCCATCAGCAGATGCCGACCGCAGATATCTGAAAAAGGTACCCTTGTACTCCAAGTGCACCATCTTATAATTACGGATTTTCCGTTAAGGTGACGAGAAAGAGGCAACCGAGGGGTCAGTTGATAAAAAAATTTTTCACAAACTAGGTGTACCTAATCGTTGGAAATTTTATAACGTGAGTATAAAGACCCTAAAAAAGGGTTCCGTAGCCATGAAATTCCGTTATTATAAAAAAATTCCAAAATAGGAATATACAAAGGCGTGATAAGGAACTGCGCATGCGCATGACCGGGTCGGGGACCCTATATAAGGCCGAGCGCACGCTCGGAGCATCATTACCCTTTGGTCATCCGAAGGGTAAACATCGGGTTACCTGCTTGTACCGTAACTGGTTTAACCCCAGTTTTAACCTACGGTTAAACTTAACGGTTAATCGCAGTTTTAACCTACGGTTAAACCTAACGGTTAACCCCAGTTTTAACCTATAGTTAAACCTAACGGTTAATCCCAGTTTTAACCTACGGTTAAATCTAACGGTTAATCCCAGTTTTAACCTACGGTTTAACCTAACGGTTAAAAATCAAAATTCGGTTAACTTGGGTTGTGAAACCGGGCCTTACGGGAGACATCCCCCCTCCCTTCCGTTCCCTTTCTTAATATATTTAACTTAATTTATTACGTTTGTAAAGGGCTTCGGTGCGCAGCAACCTCCACGTGGTGAGCCTGGGGAATCGGTGGTTTCCAACTATTGTTCGAAACCACCGATTCGCAAATAGCTGCGCGAGTGGTTCCACTTAGCGTTTTTTCTTTTTGTATGACAGTAGCTTAATGTAGTTAAAAGTGGAAGCACTCATTGCGTGCGTGCGTAATTGTAAATTGCGGACAGGACGTTGTCGAGTACCTTTCCATGCAGGTAGTAATTTCGGATTTGCGTGCTAACCGAAGTAGATTTTTGCAGGTACGGCATTGCCGTACCTTTAGTGTATTCGGCAGCTTCCGTCGGCATCTAGTACGTCGTAGCTAAGCTACGGCGTGCAAGGCTACCTGGCTCAGGTTGTCGGTTGCGCGATACGTTGTTTCGCTCTGGCGGCATCCCGCGGGGGCTCTGCCTGCAGTAAGCCGGGACAAGCCCGTCGACTGAAACTCGTATTCGCGGGCCGACAGCCGAGCCGGGTTAGTCGTCGGTGACGGCGGAAGCTGCTGGATTGTTCGCGTTAGAAGTAGTATGCCCTTCTGGCAAATTATATCCGTAATGCTATGCTAACTGGCAATGTACTCGGCGACTTACCCTGTACTCTGCGGCGAGCGTTGTATGGACGGATGAGTATGGTATGCGAGTGGTGTGTTGTATGGACGGATGCGAATGGTATGCGAGTGGTGTGCTGTATGGGTGATGAAATCCTGGTTCTGTGAGTTCCTGGGACGCCGGGAACTCAACGGAACCAGGTGCCTATGCTTAGGCGGGTCCCAATCGCAGCGGCCTCCTCGTGGCGGGACCTGGGGGATCGGTAACATCCTTATGGGATGATACCGATCCGCGAACTAGCTGTGAAGTAGAATTTAATTAAGGTAAAATTTCACTTTGTTGTAAAATAAATAAAGTAAATAAAATAAGCGAGCCCCTACCAGAAATTCGTTGCGCCGCCCTTGGGGGCAAAAAACGGTGAAAGCTAACGTACGAAACCAGAGGGCAGCACAGAATGCGATTTCACGACCCTGCCCGTGAGCAATCTCCCAACTCATCTCTGTACGTAGAATCCAACTCATCTCTGCGTAGAATTGTATCTTTAACGTTGTTTAGTGTCACTAATTTTACGTATCTGACTGTCCGTCACTGCCTAATTGTTTCGGCGGCAACATTTACAAGATACGGCAGAGAATAAACAAAGTAAAGTTATTTTTTATTCCTAATACAGCTTGTTATTCAGAACATATAGTATAGTAATTTTTAAAAACGTCAAATTATCCTCTTAAGCACATAATACCTCATCAGATTGTGAGGTTATGTATTGAACTCGAAATTAGTTTCAGACCGTTGACATGTAAATATTCGAATAAAGTAATAGTTAAGTAGTTAAATTAGACAGAAAAATACTGAATTCAATTTATTTAGTAGTTCTTGATTTTTCTTTGTACGAGAAGGATATAAATATGTACAAGAAATGTTAGCGTAAAATATTTGCGATTCGTTTTCATGAATTCAGGATGATTTTTTTATGACTATATTTTTCTTTAATAAAGGTGTCAAATGGCCTCGGCTGCGATGTCACCGACGGAAGATGACGAGCTCACATTACCTCGAGCATCCATCAACAAGATGATTAAGGAGATCTTACCCCACGTGCGCGTAGCAAATGAATCGAGAGAGCTCTTGTTAAATTGTTGCACTGAATTTATACACCTACTTTCATCCGAAGCGAATGAGATCTGTAATCAGCAACAAAAGAAGACGATAAATGCAGAGCATATTTTGCAAGCGCTGGAGAAGTTGGGCTTTGGAGATTACAGTGCAGAAGCGGAAGCTGTACTAAGAGACTGCAAAGCTGTGGCAGCTAAGAGGAGACGTCAGAGTACGAGACTGGAGAACTTGGGAATTCCAGAAGAAGAACTTTTACGCCAGCAACAGGAACTCTTTGCCAAAGCTAGAGAAGAACAAGCAGTTGCGGAGCAACAGCAATGGCAGCAGTTACAAGCTGTCGCACAAATGGCATCGATGCAGCAAGCGGACAGTGAACAGGAAGATTACTCATAAAGATTTCAAAATGATATTCATTTGAAAGAGCAAACATTAAGTTTTCTAATTAAAGGAAAAACAATATCGAGAGACCTGTGATTACAAACATTTAAGGGAGAATTCCATGTGAGAGCTTAGGTAGGAGTTAATGTTAAAATTCATTATAATAAGGCCCATATATTGCAATCGAACTGCTATTATGAACAACTTAGGGGTATTAGTTAGAAATTTTGATTCAAACACATGAAATAAAAATGGTACGATGCAACACACTGACAGTTGACACTTTGTTATGCCAACGGATATTAATAATTTCATGATTGTGATCAGAACTGGATGGATGTAATTTAAACCATGTTACTGCTACTTAAGAACAGATTTATACTGTATAGCACACAAATCTAGCTAGCTATAAACTTTTGAATTGCAGATTTACTTAAACAATTAACGTGTTACAATTAAAAATGGCCTTTGTGAATTCGAGCTCACCAATGAAATCGCTTGTAGAAACTTGAGACACGTCAACCCTAGTTTAATATTAGGGCATCAATCTTCCATATTCGGAAGAAAGGTGGCTCTTTTTTATAGCATCCATGACTTTAGATACGTAATGATACCTAGAAGTAGAAAATGCAATTACCAAAAATGTGAATAATCGCGATATTATAGAATTTTTTTTAACAAAAAGCACTTAATTATTCAGTACCAATTCTTTTCTGTTAACGAGGAGGGCATCATTGCGCTTCTAGAAACTCCATGTATTTTCATCCTTAATTTTTCGATAAGATGTTTTTCATTTTCACCGATCAATGTTTCTTCTAAAAATGAAATTCAAATAGAAGATCCAAATTTATTTTTGTTAATCAAAACTTACCATCAGGTTTGATCTCTGGAATCAAAAATAAATTCAATTGTCCTTCCGTGGATGTGGAACTCATGTCCAAACCGCTGTGTGTTTGCAATCGTGAACTGGCAAACACTTTGTTGTAAAAGTCCTGAAACGAAGTGAAACTATGACTTTCATTGCGTAGTAAATATTCTAATACGTATATGTACATTGAGTACTTCCACTGAACGTTATGTTAAAATTACTATATATCATGTTTTCTATTAAACCAGATTTTTTACCTTCATTGTTTCTATAGAACTTGGCATGAAATCTTGAACTTCGGCTTTGTTATGCAGAAACAAAAGATGTGGATAGTATTCAACGTAATCTTGGTCCATATTTGTGGTCGATGGTTTTAACATTTCTGCAGTTTGTAGAAACCTAAGAAAAATAGTTTTATAATCTGGATAAAACTCGTTGATTCCATTAAATAATTTGTTTGTTAAGGAAATAAAATTAAATGTTTACCTGACTATGTTGGGATCCACAAACCAGTCTTGTACAAATATAACGATGTGGCATACTGAGTACAGAAATGCTGCAAATTGCAGCGACTGCAATTCTAAGTTGGTTTCAACGTTAACAAAATCAGTAGGACTTTTTTTCTGATCAAACGATGCGGTGTAGTCTATTACGGAAGCAGACAGTATTGGTTGCGTGTCCAAATAAATTACTCTATTCTTAGTTACAAAAAAGTCGATGCCGTTAGTACAGTTGGCCCCGCTTTCGTGATGGGAAAGACTTTGGACAGGAAACACATCAGGTCTGAAAAAGATATTTTATTCGCGGATAAGTTTGATAATATGTTGACTAACATTTAGAAATTAGATTTCGGTAGTACTAACGCATAATTGGAAGTTAGAAGTGATAAGATAGTTGACTTTCCAACTCCTTGAGCTCCTAGACTCCCTACGACTAGAAAATCTTGTTGATCGTATAAAAATTCTAAAGGGTTTTCACACAGCTGCATATTCTCGTCCATGAATTTGATGCAACTTTTCATTTCGGCACACATCGTGACCACGGTACGCGCTGCATGTAATATTAAGTTCATTAATTTTAAGATTTATCTCATTTCCAAAGGCGAATATATGTGTAAAGAAATGGCATACTCACGGTCCGTCAGTTTCGTTGCCATCGCAGATTGACTATCGTTTTCTTTTCTATTGACAAAAAGTATGTATTATTCTTTTTTTCAAATACTAATGAGTCAATATACATACTTATTCCCATTACGCTGATTCGGTGACACAGCCCTGCTCTCCCCTTCTCGGGTTTTCAATATAAACGTAGGTCGATCCACGACCTTCATAGGCATTCTGTTTTCATTATCTTTTGGATCCATATCTTTCGACATTACTGAGATAATTTTTTTTGAAATCATATCAATAATACTGGAAGAATATGTTAGTTAAATGACGATTCACCCTTGATATAATGTATACTTCTGACATTTATCGGTTTGTTAGGTTAAGATCAATAATAGGAAAACTTCAAGGTTGTGATAAATTACATCAGTATTTTGTAATAAAAGTGGAGTAATGATAAATGTAATCTGTAAATTCATGCCCAGATTTATTTAAAAATATCATAAAGAAGCACAGAATTGCATTCAGATTTTTTTTTTTTATTGAATTGTTGAAGAATGAATCTTACCTTCTCTTATGAAGAAGTCGTCATATTTATTGGATTCAAAATACATAATATTTAAAGTCTTTACTGCTTTGTTAGGTTATATTATGCCGATTGACGGATGATTGCAAAGTAAATTACGCCACTCTAGTAAAGCAGATGGCGTGATTTTAGGAAGAAGTCGGTACTACGCTACGAAATGTTTCCTACTTTTCCTTCAGAAAGTAATGCTCGGATTATTTCTTCTATCGACAAATTTTCGAAGCTCTGTTTTGGGTATTACTATTTTAATTTTATTTCATTTTAAATATCAGTCATTAACTGAGGGAATAACACACTAACATTGATAAAATTGTTTACGCACAAAGGTTAATTCAACCCACCAATTTCAGTATCCAGGTCTGTTAATAAGGTATAAAAACTCATTTGTTAAGTAATTAAATCTTTACCATTTAATATAGCTAAATTTTTTTCGTACAAATAAGTTGCAATCACATGATTCATTGATAAAAAATATCACTAGCATTTGTATTCGTATTCTAGTAATAAGTAAAAATATTATTGACATTATTAAATGCCGCCATGATCACCGCTACCTACTTAATGACTAATGCTAAAAGTATACCTCTCCCTTTGGTAGTAACATATCAGATCATCAAACAATATTATATCACAGTATCATGAATTTATAAAATGAAAAATCTATCAAAATATCAAGCTGACATTGCACATCTGAAACCCAAATTTCCAGCAGATGTGTCAGGAGTGTTTTGGCTGCGAGCTGCGCATCTGTATCTGTAGCAGTAACTCTCGTGGCATAAGTAAGATCCACCTTTCTTCACTTTATCGGTCCCACTTGGTGGTCCTTTCTAAAATACAAGTATCGATGTACAATACAAGTTCATAGCTTACAATATACAATATTGCATTAGATTCTTACAAAATTTATTTGTTCCTCTTCCGGATGTCGTACAGACCACCAGTCGGACGTCCATTCCCACACGTTACCAACAATATTGTAAATGCCATATTTATTAGGAGGAAATTTAGTGACTGGCGACGTTCCTTTGTAACCATCTTCTGCGGTATTATTTTGTGGAAATACCCCTTGCCAAATATTAGTCCTAGAAGATAAGATTTTTTCAAATAAGAGCTGTAGATATATATTTTCACTGATTTCGTTACAAGGTCTTACCTGTGTTTATCGTTAGGAGTTAACTTATTACCCCAAGGATATAAACGATCGGAAAGACCACCTCTACATGTTGCTTCCCATTCAGCTTCCGTTGGTAATCTTTTACCCAACCATTTACAATAGGCTGTCGCATCGTTCCAAGAAACATGGATAACTGGATGATCCATTCTATCTGAATATCAAGAAAGACTACACGTTAATATTCTATTAGTAACCAAACCACAATGTATAGAATTATTGAATGAAATAACAACTAAATTAATATGTAAATACCTGATATATCAGAATCAAGTCCTTCCGGGTGTTGCCAGGTAGCATTTTTTACTGGTAACCACCATGGAGCCTGAGCAACGGCTTCATCGATACTGCTTTTAACATTCTCGCTTAACAGACCTTCGAAAACAAAAGAATCTCCAAACTTTTCAGCCTCCGTCTTATATACGGTCGAACTAACAAATATTTCAAAATCTCTATTACTAACTTCATATTTGTCTATGAAGAAACTGTCCAATACTACGTTTCTTTTTGGTCCTTCTCCATCTGCCACAAATATTGGCTCATTTGTTCCTATTGCGAATGTTCCACCATTTATTAATACCATTTCTTTATGGTTACTTTTCCGATCCACATTCACTTCATTTTCCAGTGAATCTTTTATGCGGGCTGAACACGATTCACCCGTTTCGGCATTATCCTTCGATTTTCGATTTAAACCTTGTCCGCAAGAACAATCGTCAGTGAAAACAAATGAACAGAAATTTATAAGAAATAATTGAACAGTGAAAGAACGGAACATCTTCAACTGTTGGAGGTTAGGCTTTGAACATTCGATCACGGTAAATCTGCTGTCACCTGACCATTATGTTTAAATATTTGCAGACGAAGACAAATCAGTTTCAATATTATTCTGTGTACTCAACAGATTCAAGCAGAATCAGCAGAATTTCAGAAACAAAACAAATATCAAAAGTGTCTTAAACGTCAGAAAATTGTGCGCGCCATCTATAATGTATGCTAAATAATTCTTTAAAAAATTAATATTAAATAAGTTGGAAACACAATTTTAATTTCTTACGTTACAGCCAGATGGCGCTCTGTGTATTTTCCGTTGCATTAAATTATACACATGCGAATAAATTATACACATATTGCATTAAACTATACATATACGACGTAATATAAATATTATTAATCTTTTTCAGACTTTTAACGATGTACATGTGCATTTACAATCTACATTTCAGTATCATGTAAAAACGACAATGTTTGTAAATGATACATGTTTCATGTGTAAAATATAACGTTTATTACTTCTGTAGTATATGTACTGATATAACAATTATGTATCACAAAAATTCGGGAAGGAATATGGTTACAGAAGATACATCTCTTGTCGATATATCTAATTGCAATCGATGCAAAAATGGTAACGACTTATTCTTATATTTGTTTATTAATCTGGTTTAGTTGTCGTGTTTCTTAGACGGTTTCACCAGCTTTCGAACATACCAGTTCCTGGCAGAAAAAGTTCCTGCCATGATCGAAGCAGTTACACGTTATACAACCCTCTTCGTATGTCATAGGCGAAGAGCAATATATGTGACCACCAGGATAAGAAACTTCATCAGGATTTGGAATTGGGTGTCCCGTTGGACAGTGCATTTCGGTGCAACTCATACGAGTGCCATCGCTTGAGCATTTACAAGAATTGCAGTCCATCTTAAATTCAGTGTTCGGTGAGCATAGTTCCGTGTCTCTTTTCTTAATCGTATGTGATTCTGTATCGGCGTCATTTGTTGAACCGATCTCATTAGTTATTTTATCATCGGAAGGACAAATTATTTGTGTACAAACTACGGCATTACCATCCACTGAACAGTAACAGGTATTGCAATCTACCTTAAAACTAGTATTTGCTTCGCAAGCTTTACTATATGTTCCTAGAAGTTCGTCGTCGCTCTTAACATTCCTTATATCTCTCTCTGATATATTTGTTTCATTATGATTCTCCAAATTACTGAAATTAACTTCAGACTTAGTATTATTACTGTTTTCAAGGTTAGTTAAATTAACCTTCGTGCTCGATTCACTGTCATTTCTCAGACTCGTGGAATTACCATTAAGACTCGTGGCATTATCACTGTTTAACCTAGTGGAATTAATTTTCGGAGGATCCGGCGAAGGACAAGCCATCAATGTGCAGCTCATTCGAGTGCCATCGTTGGAGCACAAGCAAGTATTACAGTCCAATATAAAATCAGACCCCGGTAGACAAATCAATGTATCCTGCTTTTTCCCTGACTGATTCTGGTTCTCTATAACATCCTTTTTCATCCTATCTGTCGAATTTACATGAACCTCCTCCGCCAAGTCCAGGTCGACAGGCACTTCTTCCGGACAGGCCATTAAAATACACTCTATCCGCAGTCCATCTTCACCGCAGGAACATTTATTGCAGTCCACATTATACGTGGAACCAGGTACGCATAATTCCGCATCAAGTGCACTCCTTTTAGACTTTACAGATGGATATTCATTGATATCTACTTCTTCCCCACTTAAGTCATTATCAGATGAACAAGAATGCTTTGTGCAGGTTTCATAAGTGCCGTCGTCAGAGCAGATGCAGAGGTTGCAGCCAACTTGATGTAGAGCCCCCGGATGACAAACTGGGGGGTTTTTAGCGACCTTTATCAACGACTTTAATTGCTCTTCCAAGGATGGATAAATATTCTCCTGGTTAAAAGTCATTTCGGGAAGACAGGACGTTCTTTTACACACCAAATCCATGCCGTCCTCGGAACAGGTACAGTCATTACATCCGATTCTGTAAATAGACCCAGGCTCGCAGTCGTGTACTTGGCGCGTGGTTCTATACAAAGGAACGCGAGTTAACTTTCTCAGATCTTTGTTTCTTGATGTTTCAGACAAGGGACATCCCTTTTCCGTGCACGTCATGCTGGTGCCGTCCTCGGAGCAGGTGCAAGAATTGCAATCTTTCTTGAAGGTTGATCCTGGAGTGCAGATTTCGGTAGATCTTGCTCTTCTAGATGATCGTATCAAACTTACGTAATGACCATCTCTACAACGACAAATTACATCTCCGTACTCTGTACAGAAACAAGCATCGCAGTCAGGTCTTGTAGGGGATGGAAGATGCGCACATGACACTTGTCTTCTAACTCTGATGAACTTCTTCGGTCGGTTCTTTTCCTTAACTTTTAAGACTCCTTCGCTTGCCGAACAAGTGTTCGCGCTGCACTCCATGTCTCTACCGTTGTCTAGACACTGACAAGTGTTGCAATTCACTTTGAACACTGTTCCAGGTACGCAAGACTCCTCGGCGGTTTTTCCAATTGTTGGCACTGGGTCTGACGTCACGAAAAATCTAAAACTTCGGGAAACTGCTTCGCAGAGACTATTGTTGCCGGCGTGGAAATCCTCTTTTGTACAAGTCAAGACTTTCTGGGTAATTCCTGGCTCGTTTGGACAATTGCAAGTTTTAGGGGATTCGGCAAGGTTCCATTGTTCCTCGGACTTCACTTGCGACTCTTGTGGCCTAGCTGCAGGAAAAATATCCAATTTTTACTCTTGATACCGCAAGATAAGTTATGGAATATGTATAGTATATAATTAAAATATTGTGTAGAGATTAGGGATAGACGTTAATGTATGTAATTATTAAGCATTGTTGTAGGCTTTGTAAAATAGTTTAACGGTAGGAAGAGTGTTTGTCGTACTCACCGTGTACTGCTGCAAGAAGCAGGAAAATCGAAAATAGAATCCTCATCGTTACGGCAGAGGAAGGCGTAATCTGCGAGCTGGTTAACTTTCCTCCGCTAAATGACTCGCGAATGGAATCATGGAATTGTTAAATAGTCGTAGGAATCAGTGGTAAAAGAACGTACCAATCAGGAAAGAGACAGAGGAGGCAGATCGTTCGGGGTAAACCCAACGTTTCGACGTCGTTAAATCTAATCAATGTTGGCCTTGATCTCTCTCTCTCTCTCTCTCCTAAAAGGAAATTGCATTTTTCAATTTGCATTTCCAATCCACAGAAATAAATTGTCAAAATGTCGTCGCGCTGTTTATGCCACGGCTGTTAATATCTGCATTTCGGTAATCTGATAACTCAATGTTTTCTAGACAAATAGGACAAACTGTAAAATTCAGCGAATACGAAAATAAGGAAAGATTCTGGACATTGTATTCAATACGGAGAACTTTATCACATTCGGGTCGCAAGTTATCACGAGCGTGACCTTTCCTGTAAAACAGACACTGCATTTGCAGACTTGATTTAAATTAATAGATATTAATATTTACGGGGATCTTGAGGTGTTATGAAAGGGTCTATTAATATTTGAAAAGTCAAATCGTTCGTGATAGTATTCCCCAAATTGGATGTATCGATTAGTTGCAAATTTTACCACGAAATTTCATTTTTATATAGACATCTTTTTATTTATCACGGGCTAGAACCAACATGGCGTCGCTTGTGCACGTTTTCGATGTTTTACGCTTTTTGAAGGCTTAGAATCGAAAATGAGGAATTTCAGGACCTAGCTAGATAAAGTTTAAGGTAAAATGATAAACTACGGTTTATTCTTTTTTTTTTAATCAGGAAAGGTTTAAGGAAAACAATGAAATATGCACGGGGAGAGCTTCGAAATGCGCAGGGGAAAAATTCCATCTTACTCCAATGCAAATTGGTGATAAACAGAGATTTATTTATTTCTCTATATGCAACACAGTATGTTAAGTGGTCAGTCGATAAAAAATATCACAACGACACAGATAAAAGTCCTCATTATCCTTTCGTTAGAGTCAAAGTCTGCGTAGAAATATGTCCATCAATTCGGATAAAGATTTACACAAAGTTCAATGCCTCTGCAATGATGATTACGCAAACAATTTCATAGTAGATACCTCTGTTTGCTTCCAGTAGTAAAATTCATAGAACCCTAAAGAACTATTCCAAGTCGCATTATATTCATTCCCACGTGCTCCAACTTCCAAGGTGAAAAATTCGGAGTAGATTTATTCGTTTGCCTAGTGTTAAGAAAAAGAAAAATGGTAACGACTCTCGTCTTTTTGTTTAGGACCCGTAGACGCAGCTTCCGCTGATGGACGAGAAAAAGAGCCCAGAAGAGGAGCACATTTAATAAAAGCAGTTTTGCACCCGTCTCCTTAATATTAACAACAAAACACGGAAGTTAATAGTAAATGGTAACGTCTACGAGAAAGAGAGCCCAGAAGAGGAGCACATTTGTGCCCATAATTATGAAAGTGGTCTAAGTCAAAATTAAAAAAAAAAAAATGAGTTTATCAGTTATTTCACGCCACATTATTTCAAACGAAATTAATTCAATGTAATTTCGAAACAAAAAATATATGACTTAGACCACTTTCATAATTATGGGCACATTTAATAAAAGCAGTTTTGCACCCGTTTTCCTAATATTAAGAAAAAACGCGGAAGTTAATAATAAATGGTAACGTCTCTCGTCTTTTTGTTCAGGACCCGTAGACGCAGCTTCCGCTGATGGACGAGAAAAAGAGCCTAGAAGAGGAGCACATTTAATAAAAGCAGTTTTGCACCCGTTTTCCTAATATTAAGAAAAAACGCGGAAGTTAATAATAAATGGTAACGTCTCTCGTCTTTTTGTTTAGGACCCGTAGACGCAGCTTCCGCTGATGCAAGAAAAGGAGACCCCAGAAGAGGAGCACATGCAGTGGAGGCAGTTCTTCTGCAACACACTGTTGGGTATGCAGATGAAATCATCCCGGATCGATGCAGACTTCGAAGTGTCCCTGGTGGTCCTTCCCCAACTGCTCTGGTTATGTTTGCACTTTTTCTCTCGACAAATGTAATCACCCTTAGCGGTGCATCGACAACTGTTGCATTCATTTTCAAATGTCGTGTTAGGGGTGCATCCTTCCCAGGGTTTCGGGGACCTGGCGACTCTTCTTCCTCCCGAGGGGCACATTTTGTCGGTGCACGTCATCTTCAAGCCGTTCGACGAACATCTGCAGACATTGCAGTCAACCTCGAACTCGGAATTCGGCTCGCAAATTGGTACGTCGCTTTTCGCTTCGTAGAGTGAGTTCTTCGCGGTTTCTTGGGCTAACTTGAAGGCTTCATTTTTCATTAAGGCTGCTGGATGGCACAGATTGCGGGAACATATCACCTCGGTGCCATCTGAAGAACATTCGCAGCTGTTGCAGCCGGCTAGATACCGAGTTCCTGGCTGGCAAACCTTCGTCTTCTTCGGCTTTATCAGGGTGTCGTGCAGGTCCTTCGAGGGCTTTATTAGGAAATTCTGCTCGTACCCTAGCTCCATCATGTACCGGCATGTTCCTCCGTCCTCGTTATCGTACGCACTTTGTTTGGTACATGCGATCCCTGCCGTGTAGAGGCGGGTACCATTTTTCCCATTTTCCTGGCAGGAGCAATTCGATATCTTTTCTGGTGATATGTAGTCTCTTGACAATGCGTGGCCTAGAAAAAAGAAACAAATTCGATAATCGTTCAATTTTTGTCTTGGTCTCCAATGTTCTAATTACAATCTGTTACTTATAATGGCAATAAATTTTGTCTGATTGCGAATACGTAATACTCCGGAGTTAACATTCTCTGGCTTTGTTTGCAATGTCTCATTGCGAATTGTCCAATTTAGTCAGGAATTTATTATTACTTCGAATGAGTCGTTTTACTGATTAAAAATGGAATAATTTCTGCAATTTATCCTTTTTTCAATTTCTGCTTCTAATTTTCATGGTATGCCTGGAGATTTATTGTGCGAATCAAGGTGCTGCTATTAAGGTAGATTTTTAAAGAGCGAATAACTTTGGCGAAATTCAAATTTTAATTCTAATCTCGATTTCACTGTACTGGATGTTTTTTTTAAGCTACTTTTAAGCTCGGTATTTAGAAACGTATGTCAAAAGAATTTTGAATAATCCAGGCCTATTAGTTTATAAGGAGTTTTTCATGTTCATTCAATGAAATATCTTTTGCAAAGTGGTAAACGGTGCTACGAATTTTCAATGGGAAAAAAATCGTTAATAAATAACTTTCAATATGTTCGTAATAATTTACAGTCCGGGAGTAAACTCACCGAACGAAGTGGCCACCAGAAGGAATATTGCGGATCTCAGCATCATTGTTGAAACTGTCGTTCAAACAGAAAATATCGAGAAGTCTTCTCTAACCTGTTTTATAAATTGGTTGGGTGGAATATTCGCACGAGGATTAAATACCACCGAGAAGAGACAATTCTGGAAGAAATCAGCCAATTAGAAGCAGACGTTGTGACCTATAACCCTTGTATCATTATTATACCACAAGCTATTACCGATGGGCACTTGGATCTACACGATACGATATGGTATCTATATGGCTAGATCCACACGCACTAATATTAATGAACGTTAATTTATGGCAACTACATTTAGCACGCTGAAAAATGGCGAGAAAATAATCTAAAACGCAAATTGACGACCTCGTTACCGAGATTAAACGAAAGTAACTTACTCTGCTATTTTCTACGCCATTTCGGAACGAGATCGTTGATTTTTTTAAAAGTGATTTTATTTATTCATATGTACTATCTGTTACCTAGATGCATAATTTATCAACAGACTATGTGTATAAAATGTACCAGGGAAAAGGATATCAATTTTCAGACAATAGAAAGACGTCCTATATTTATTGAAAAAATTCACCCTTCATTTTTCTGTGTAATTTGTTATTGTAATATGTATTGCATTCTTGAAAAATTGATGTTTCACGGGTCCGAGACGAATAAAAAGGACTCAATCGTCACGTGGATAAGAAAAGGAGCAAGAGTCCTGAAATTCAATAAACAGGACACTTTTATTATATTAATGCCTTATCCAACTTATCGTGAAGATGATTTTTCTTTGCAGCAGATACGAGACAACCGTTGACACGATGTGAACTAAATAAACATTGATATTTTTTTTTGCATCTAGAGCTCATGTTGATTATTCATTTTACTCCACAGTTAATCGTAACAGATCATCTAATGGAGCTAATAATTAAAGAAAAGGATTAAAAAATGTTCAGTAAAAAGATTACTGCTCGGAGGTAAAGAATGTTCTGAAGTAAAATATGGGGATTCATTTATTTCTCCAAGTTCAACACAGTAATGGACGATAATAGTAGCAATGACATTGATAAAACTAACAATTAACCATTTTTCACAGTCAATATCAGCGTACAAACATGGCCATCAATTGCAATAAACGTTTATATGAAGAGCAATGCCCTTCTCAAGACGATCATACGCACGAGATTCATAATTAATCATACAACTTCATGGTCATATATGCCTTGCATCGTTGAACTTGGTCATACGACTTTTAATAACAGTTTCAGAATTATTTTAAGACACTAAAACGAAATCGAGGGAGAAAGGAGCTTATTTTTTCTCTCTAAATAAAAAGTCATCGTAAAGGATCTATTTGGATTTTATATACCTATTCTGAAAAATGAATGATGATAAATGAATGAACTTTTTATTAATTCATCAGAATGAGATGATAAATCAGATCCAAGGAACAACCCCAAAATCGATATAACATATATTTTATTATATTAAATACGCTATCTATTTACACTTTCTAATTAACTACTTACAGATCTTAAATATTAAATCAAAGGGAATGACAATTTTTCAAAGATTAATGAAGTCTACTTTTAGCGAATATTCTCTCTTCTATCGCGACGGCCTAATTTACTGATATGAGTTAATTAATTATTTGTAAATTGATTTTACAGGTCCCATGAATAATTCATTTTAACGAGAAGTAGGAGAGTCTTCTGATTTATCAGCTTCACTGATAGCATGCAGAGGGGCCGGACACGTGGCGAACGTGCAAGAGAATTTTGTTCCTTGATCGTTGCAAGAACAATATTTACATTCGTTTAACAATACGCTGGATGGGACGCAAACGGTGGGTTCGTCTCTAGACAATATTTGTACAGATTTGAGAAAATCTGGCGTTTTCAGGGATCGCTGCAAACGAGATGAGGTATCGGGGGAACATTTTGATCTTGTACAAGATGCTTCGCTGCCATCAGATGAACAAATACAAATCTGGCATCCCAACTTGAAAGACAAGCCAGGCTCGCAAGACCTATAGTGCCTTCGATTTCTCAACAATGGATTTTCCAAAGCTTCATGGGGTAATTTGATACTTCCATCTTCATTGTACAATTCTTTAGGCAGGCACTCCATCCTGGTGCATGCTGCAACAGTTCCATCAGGCGAACAGGTGCAATTGTTGCAGTCGATCTTGAAGTGCGACCCAGGGATGCAATTCTGCGTTTCTCTTCGGCTCCTCAACAATGGATTTTCCAAAGCTTCATGGGGTAATTTAATGCTTCCATCTTCATTGTACAATTCTTTAGGCAGGCACTCCATCCTGGTGCATGCTGCAACTGTTCCATCAGGCGAACAAGCGCAGTCGTTGCAGTCTTTCTTGAAGTGCGACCCAGGAGTGCAGACCTGTGCATTTCGGCGGCTCCTCAACAATGGATTGTTCAGCCTTTCGTAAGGTAGCTTAATTGTTCCATCCTCGTTATAAAATTCTTTAGGCGGGCATTCCAACCTGGTGCATGCCTCTTCCCATCCGTTAGGAGAGCATACACAAAAATTGCAGTCCTTCTTGAAACGTAATCCTGGTTTACAGGTTTGCGTATCTCTGCGACTCCTCAACAAGGGATTCTTCAACATCTCATGGGGCAGTTTAATTGTTCCATCCTCCCTGTAGAATTCTTTGGGGAGGCATTCCATCAAAGTGCAAGCTGCATTTTTCCCGTCCTCGGAACAGATGCATCTATTGCAGTCTATGTTGAAGGTGGACTTTGGTTCGCAGACTTGGGAATCTCTACGACTCCTCAACAATGGATTCTCCAAAGTTTCATGGGGTAATTTAACGCTCCCATCTTCGTTGAACAATCCATCTGGCAGACACTCCATCATGGTGCAAGCTGCAAACATTCCATCCTTTGAACAAACACAACTATTGCAGTCCTTCTTGAAGGTGGACTTCGGTTCGCAGACTTGGGCATCCCTACGACTCCTCAACAATGGATTCTCCAATGCTTCATGGGGTAATTTCACACTCCCATCTTCGTTGAACAAATTATTAGGCATACACTCTATCATAGTGCATGCTGCAAATGTTCCGTCCGCAGAACAAACGCAACTATTGCAGTCCTTCTTGAAACTAGACTTCGGTTCGCAGACTTGGGCATCCCTACGACTCCTCAACAATGGATTCTCCAACGTTTCATGGGGTAATTTCACTCTCTCATCCTCTGTGAACTGTTCTCCAGGAAAGCATTCCATGAGAGTGCAAGCCGCAAACGTTCCATCAGGAGAACAAAGACAACTATTGCAGTCCCTCTTGAAGACGGACCTCGGCTCGCAAACCTGAGCATCTCTACGGTTCCTCAACAATGGATTTTTAAACAATTCATGGGGTAACTTGATACTTCCATCCTGCTTATAAAATTCCTTAGGCAAGCACTCCATCAAAGTGCAAGCTGCACTTCTTCCATCGGGAGAACAAATGCAATCGTTGCAGTCTTGCTTGAAAGAAGACCCTGGCTCGCAGGTTTGCTCATCTTTCCTGCTTTTTGACTCGGAATTTCTTCTGGACCGTGGCTCAAATAATCTCTTCTTCCCGAGTGCACTTTCAGAGGTGCATGCCATCAAAGTACATCCCATGGAGGTGCCATCTTCCGAACAGAAACACGTGTTGCAGTCGGCCTTGAACGTCGTTCTTGGGATGCACACTTGCTCGCTTCTTTTCCCTCGACGTGCAGAAGTGTAAGAACTATATGGCGTGATCAAAAAGCTGGAGAGATCGACAGTTCTCAACAGTCCTCTGCATTCGGCCCTGCCGGAAGTGTCCATCGACAAAGACTCCATGTCGCAGTCTAGTACGGTCTCATACAAAGACGTTTTATTTTTCTGGCAGGAACAAGCTGCTGTCATATCCGGAACCGACTGGTCCTGGGCAGCATCCGCAGCTTTACACGAACTACAAACTAAAAACAAACGTAATTAATATACAATAATTATTACCAACCCTAGAAATACCGAACGTCCATCGTGGAATTCCTCAAAATTGCACAATCTTTATAGAAGTCACGTTTTAATTGAACATTCTCTCGTGCTTGTTCCTCAGGTGTTAAAAGCCCTTTTGTTTCGCCCTGAGATAAAGATTGAAAAAAAAAAACAACAGAACAGGAACAGGGAAATTGAACAGGGTGAATTGGATATGGAATTGCACTTACGGAGAAAAATGGCTGCGGTCGAGAGGATCCAAAAATGCGACGCCATTGCTGGGATTTGTATCTTTCGGGACGAGAAATTGTATCCTCGAGTGGTCCACATCTCGCCACTCCTCTTCTGCGACTGATTCTTCAGCATGGACCGCGTGGTAATTAAATAGGCCTGATAGACGTCCGTAATGCACGATAATAGCCAATCAGGAGGCAGATAAATTTTGGAAAAGCCCGAACCGTATTATCTTTTACCGCCGATGACATGGCCGGCAGAGAAGCACTTCGAGGTTTGCCAATATTGACGTGCCTCTTCCTCGACATGCTCGTGTCCAGATACTTGCGTATTTACGAGGAATCTGGACTTCGAATTCGCGGAATCCTACTTGGCGATTGTCAATCTCGGAAGACGGGAAGGACGTAACGTTGGAACGCTGAAATGGGAACGACTAGTGACTGAATTTTTATTCCCATTCCGGAATGTCATCTCTGGGCGAAAAATAGATTTATCAAGACTCGAGCCAAGTACGTTTGTGTGAGAAATTCGTAACGTCGATCTGCGTTTATCTAAACCAGCGTAGAGGTCGAATTGTTTGTCGAGGCAAGAAATGTTAATAAATATTCGAAAACGTAGAAACATCCGAATTTTAATTTATTCAACGTGAAATTTAATATCTCTTAACGTCGCCCTCCAGTTCGGTGAATTTCAGTTCGATGAGAAGACCCCGTGAATTTGTTAATTAAAAATCTACGCATCGAATTGCAAAACTGTGGGTTATTTAAATTTAGCAGTGGTTTTTAATACCGCTCTCCAATTCCCGTTGAGGTCGAATTGTTCGTTAAGGCAAGAAATGTTAATAAATATTCGAAAACGTAGAAACTTCCGAATTTTAATTTATTCAACGTGAAATTTTTAATACCGCTCTCCGATTCCAGTTGAGGTCGAATTGTTCGTTAAGGCAAGAAATGATAATAAATATTCGAAAACGTAGAAACATCCGAATTTAAATTTATTCAACGCGAAATTTAATATTTTTTAACGTTGCCCTCCAGTTCGGTGGATTTTAGTCCGATGAGAAGACCCCGTGAATTAGTTAATTAAAAATCTACGCATCGGATTTCCAAAACTGCGGGTTATTTAAATTTAGCAGTGGTTTTTAATACCGCTCTCCAATTCCCGTTGAGGCAAGAAATGTTAATAAATATTCGAAAACGTAGAAACATCCGAATTTTAATTTATTCAACGTGAAATTTAATATTTTTTAACGTCGCCCTCCAGTTCGGTGGATTTTAGTCCGATGGAAAGATCCCGTGAATTTGTTAATTAAAAATCTACGCATCGAATTTCCAAAACTGTGGGTCATTTAAATTTAGTTGTGGTTTTTAATACCGCTCTCCGATTCCCGGAAGATCGATTTCTCGCGGTTTCCCCTTTTATGCTAGAATATACAATCCCACGCGTCGTGTAGACTTTTCCTTTTCTCATTAACATCCGCGGAGGAAGTCAAACAAAAACAGCGTTTTTTTCATGCGAACTCTGAACGTCTTCTCGAAACCCTCTCGACGACTTCCCACTAAACGCGATTAATAATTAATGAAAACATATCCGATAATTCCGGAGGCCCCCTCCACGTCCCGCGTTATCTAATTACGTGGCAACACTTTTTATGACTATCGCTCTATTTACTGACCGAAAGAGACAGGGAAAAAATAAGTTTATCAGCGATCCTTAATCGACGCAATGATAAGATACGAATTCCTAAGGGCTTACTGTGCCTTTTATAACAGACATCTGGGGGTTTCCTCGGGTGATTCGAATTTAATAACTCGTATGACTCACAATGATCACGCGGCATGAAAGAGCGCCTAAAATATCCTGCATTAAGTCTGGAAAAAATTATTAAAAAAATTTATTACGTCGAGATTAACATTTTTCGTTTTTAACGTACGACATTAAAACTACGGGGATTTATTCCTCAACCTAATATTTATTTATCTATTTATTTATTCACCCATTTTAGTTCCCTTTTCACAGAACCGTGAGATACGCTATCGAGTAATTGCGCTAGAATTTCGAGAAAAAAAAAAAATATCCAGCGGAGTTTACCAAATACTCTTAGATTTATGACGTTAAGGTTACTACATGTTATCGCGGAGAGCGACCTTTACATTTGCTTGTAGTCGAAACATGTACATTTTAGTATCTTTTCGGATAGATTGATGACTCTCATTCACACAGAATCGAGTCCTATCTGTTTTGGGCGTTTATTACGTATTTTTAACGAGAATGCTCACTTCTCGCATTTTAATCTCACGTGGGTATATTCGTCGAATTACGTATTCTCTATATGAAAGAACGAGATCGCTAGCACTTCCGGTCTAGTAATATTTTAAATAAAGGTAACTCCACCTGATGGAAATCGTTCGAGGAAAATTTCAACAGCCGATAAGTTCCTGAATAATAGTCACTTAGCGATAGGAATCGTTCGAGGGAATCAATTTACGAATAATAGTTATTTTCAAGAAAACATGATAAAACTGCCTATCAGCTAGTCTAAGCGCTACCACATGATTGATGATAAATTTATAAGTAAAGGTACTCGGTAGAAATAATCTACCAAGCTAATTTTATTAATAAAAATCTTATATGTAACATTACACGTTAAAAATGCTATGCAACGATTATATTATTGTTACACAACGGTGTTTGGTGGGAATGATATAAAGCTATCGTAAAATAAACTTGATATTTATTTTCAGCTCCTACGATTTATTTCATCTTGACGTCATCTAAGATTTGGCTAGGCAGACGATCTCGGTACAGAAAAAGCTGGTACCATCACCGAGACAAGTACATGTCACACATCCGTCTTCCAAAACTGCAAGTGGGTTGCAGATTCGTTGCTGAACATCTCTCTTAGTCCTCTGAGGAGATTTCTCCTTCTCTTCGAGTATCGGAAGACAGTGCTTCAAGGTGCAGTACGCATAAGTGCCTTCCGCAGAACAGATGCAACTGTTGCACTTGTCTTTAAATCTGGAGTTTGGTACGCATTTCTGAACGTCTCTTCTGTATCTAGCCGGAGAATCATCGAAATGTTCTCCATGATGACCATTGTAACCGCCATGTTCATGGTGACCATTGTAACCACCATGTTCATGGTGACCATTGTAACCCCATGTTCATGGTGACCATTGTAACCACCATGTTCATGGTGACCATTGTAACCTCCATGTTCATGGTGACCATTGTAACCACCTTGTTCCTGGTGACCATTGTAGCCACCATGTCCCTGATGCTGATCATGGTCTCCATAATGGTGTCCCTTGTTCTTCGAGTATCCTCCTTTCTGGGGACGGTAATTAGGGTCATTCAAGATCTTATCCTCATTGTAGAAATATTCGCTAGCAGCCAGGAAGTTGGAAACACCCGGGACTTCATTGCCGGAGCACCACATCCTGGTGCAGACTGCAGATTTCCCATCGCTGGAGCAGATGCAGGCGTTGCACTCGGTATTAAAGCTGGAATTGGGTTCACAGGTGACATTTTTACTGTTTATCTCGTCTCTAAGACTCTCCTCCACGTCCCTTCTGTATCTAGCTGGAGCATCGTCCGGATGCCCTCCATGTTCTCCATGCCCATCGTGGTCTCCATCATGATGCCCCTTGTTCTTCGAGTATCCTCCCTTCTGGGGACTGTAATCAGGATCACTCAAGATCTTATCCTCGTCGTAAAGGTATCCTTTAACAGCCAGGAAGCTAGTAACACCCGAACGTTTAGGATTGAAGCACCACTTCTTGGTGCAGGCTGCAGATTTCCCGTCGCTGGAGCAGATGCAGACGTTGCATTTAACATTGAAGGTGCTGTTAGGTTCGCAGGTGATCTTTTCCGTCCTTCCTAAACTCTGATTTTCTTCCAGGTTGCCTGAATCCTCCTGTCTGAGACATGCCATACCCGTGCAGGCAGCATTGGTGCCACGGTCGTTGCAGATGCAGATGTTGCAGTCGTTCTTGAAGGTGGATTTAGGCTGACAATAGACATCGGCCCTCTGCGTCGCAACGGGGCCATCTTCAGATCCTTCAGGATGGGATCCGTCCTTGAAGAAGCGGTGCAGGAGCCCTGACTTTTCCTTCGAGCAGAACCTCTTGGTGCAAGCTGCATGCTTCCCATCGGCAGAACATATGCAAACGTTGCAGTCCTTCTTGAAGCTGCTGTTAGGCTCACAGGTCTCCTCGCTCCTTGTAGTCGCGACAGCCTCTTCGGCGTCGGTCTGGGATCCCGAAGACGAGTCCTGGGACTCATCTTCTTTCTCTGTACACCACATCTTTGTGCAGAAAGCCTTAGTGCCATCTGAATTGCAGATGCAGACGTTGCAGTCCTCTTTGAAGCTGGTGCCAGGTTCGCATTGAACGCTGGCTTCTCTCGCCTTGAAGAGCGGGTATTCGGTACCATTTACCGCTGGTTGCGAGAAATAAGCCTTGGCTCTTAACAATGGGTGCTTCAGCTCCCCTGGAATCTCCTCAGGACACGACATTTTTGTGCAAACTGCATACTGCCCGTCGCTGGAACATCGACAAGCGTTGCAGTCCTTGTTGAAGGCTCTTCCTGGCTCGCAAGTTTCGGCAGCTCTTGTCTTCGCGTTCACAAACCGGTGCAGGATCTCGAAGGACTCTTCGGCGTATTCCTCACCTAGGATGCACTGCATGGAAGTGCATGCCATGTGCGAACCATCGCTAGAACAGAGACACACGTTGCAATTGTCGATCTTGAAGTGCGACTCCGGTTTGCATATTCCGGACCCTCGTTTGTCTCTGTTGGCGTCGTTCCCTTGCCCTTGTAAATTGTAATTGTTGAGGAAAAAGTTGCTCTGGAAGTTCCTGTACCACAGCAAGCTGCAGTGGTATGGGGGACCGAAGGAGAAAATCTTCTCTGCGGTGCAGTCTTCGAGGAAATTCACTGCACCTGATGTTCCTGCTGGACAGTAACATGGCGCGGAGACGCCACTGTTCGGCCAGACAACTCCTGGAAAATTATTAATAATTTTATTAACTCCCCTTAGAAAAGATTAACACTTTCATAGTGTCGCTTGGAATGTGAAATTAAATATGTGCAATGTGAAATTTAAGCCGAGTGAATTAAAATATAAAGATAATTCGAAATAAAATCGCTTAGCAAAGTTTAAGTGTGCATCGTCTGCTTACCATTTGCAACGGCAATTACCGACAAAATCACGATCGCGGAAAACATTTCCGCAAAGCAGTTCTCTCGATGGCTGCCGATCGTCAAATGAATCCTGGTCCCAGGGTACATTTAAATACAGCGGAACAGGTGCTGCTTGTCAAAGTGACAAATCAGCGATGAGTCGGGGGAGCAAGGAGTTAAAAAATTTCCTAAACGTCCTCGATTGTAATGACGATATTGACACTCAAAGAATCCTAATTTGCCAATATTTACATTCATCGGCAATTACATTTGTTCGCCAAGGCGACGTAGTCTTCGAGTCCAACAATGCTTCTGCGAAGTGCAGGATAAGCTATCGTTATCACGCCAAAGTGTAACAATTAGACTCTTGACTTAATTGCTCACTGACGAGTGAAATTGTCAAGATTTTTTAAAAATTTGTTTATAAAAATGTTTAATTGATCCCTTCAGGCGCCACTTTCGTATCGCCTTAAGGTGTAGGGGATCAAGAAACTCGGTAGAGTTTCGAGACAAATACATTTGGAACTCGTAGTGTCGAATGATGAGTGATAAGAAACCTACGCGAATTTTTCCGCTGAGATCTGCGAACTGGAAAACTATTTGACTCGCGTTTCTTTGTTGCTCAGACTGGAAAAATGGCAGAATAAAATATATGCGAACTTGAGAGCTCTTTGACATTCGTTTCTTTGCTTCTCTCAGACTGGAAAAATGGCAGAAAAGTAGAAGTTAGGGAATCACCGACCTCAGCTTTCCTCCGATACTGATTAGCTCCAGTTTGCACATGTGTCCTCGTGATAGAGCTCGATGTGTCACACGTGGCACGATATACCGTCAGAATTGTGTAAATATTATTTTTACAGTGCGCACGTAAGATTTGGCGAGATGACAAAAGTCTGGAACATCGGCGGGCTGTTTGACAAATTGATACGTGGTTCAGCTGGCCCCTTGGAAAAAAAATTAATTTTGACTAATCATGGAAATTCGTTAAAAGATCTAAATAATTCGATTTCATACTTCGATTTGTATGCTGAATTTTGAGCCCGTAATATTTATATGAATAATACGCTCGTCAAATATATTTCTGAAATTGTTATGCATTTTCTGGCCTCTGTAGTTAGATTATTCGGTTTTTTTAAAAATTGCCAATACTTTTGGTATATAATAATTATATGTATATGCGGAAATTTTATACATCATGTGAGACTCATCTACATCATGGAAATTCGTTGAAAGATGTAAATAGTTCGATTTCATACTTCGATTTGTAAGCTGAATTTTGAGCCCGTAATATTTATATGAATAATACGCTCGTCAAATATATTTCTGAAATTGTTATGCATTTTCTGGCCTCTGTAGTTAGGTTATTCGGTTTTTTTAAAAATTGCCAATACTTTTGGTATATAATAATTATATGTATTTGCAGAAATTTTGTACATCATGTGAGACTCATCGTTAGGATAAACTCAGGTTGGAAGATACACAAATAAATTCCCACTTTCCGAAGGAATGTGCGAATTTAAATGTAAATAGTAACTGACCTTCCTTACATTGTCATGAATATCATTTGTCTTGAATCCATTGACTAGTCATATTCCACGCCTCGAAAGAGACCGCTTAATATATCCCTTAAAATTAACGTTTTAAAATCTCCTTCCCATTTTATTCTTAAATAATAATTATAAGTAAGAAATGTGTGGCTAGATCGCCAGCTTTATAAAATTCTTTGAATAATTTGCAAACGAGAATATGTCTTTACACCCAGAGGGAAGCGAAGACGAGACAGTTCTCCTTACTCCAAAATTCCTTCGCAAAGCATCTCGATACAACAGAAGTGCCCAAGGTATATTGTTAAAATATAAAAAAATAAAATTCCTAAGGTTGTTATAAAATGATAAATCTTATTTTATACATTTCGGAATAAATCCATAACATGATGTGATATTTGAAAATACCTATATCTTCTTTAAACACTCATGTAAATTTCTAGATCGATTCTGACGATTTGTGCAATTAGAAATTAACTTTTTTCCAAGCAACACCGTCTTTAATCACCTCGGGAGTGTTTGGTCCTTTTTCTGAGGAAGTCCTGCGAGTTTGGAGCCAACTTCCTGACGCCATTCGTTTAGATCCCAGTTTGGCCGCTTTCCAAAAGGAATATGAAAAAATAGTGGAAAATGACGAGAAAAGGTGAGGCATTTATCAATGATAAAAATGGTCCAGAAATTTTTAATAATCTCGATGCACCGTGTGAACGGCGACGTCTTCGCTAAAAAAGCGATTACCTCGGATTGTTTTGCTTTTAATACCCGATTTTTTTCCCGCAATGGTTTTTTCCTGATAATAGCGTGAATTATTTTCCAGAATTTGTGGACATGGCACTGATGAAGAGGATCCACACGATGCAGGATCGACACACGACCACATTCACGAAGGGAAACAGAAACCTGTGTACCGATACGTCAAATTAATCCTACTCATATGCTGCTGGTTAATATTTACAGTGAGTTCAATAATTCATAATTCCACGTTCCCTTCTCCCTCGAGATGTTGCAGGAAATTAGATTCTCCCGGTTGAGAAAAAATTTCATTCATGAAGTATCGCCGATAAATGCATACAACGTTAGCGGATCCATAGCAAGAAATAATTCCTGAATGGTTTTTGCCGCTTTTACGATTTTTCCTGACGCAGAAAGAAGGACCTCCTGATCCTCTTAAAACGCTCTAACGACATATCGGACCTTTTTGCAGATTATTCTGATGACAAAAAGCGAGAAAGTGGAGGTGATGCGTCAAATGTCCGTACCCAGCAATCAGACAAGAAGTATCCTTTGCAGGTTATTTCGATAAAAAATGAAATTGAAAATTTCAAGGAACTCTGAAAAATATCAGTAAATTTAGCTTAGCTAGTTCGTGGGAATTACGATCTGAAACGTGAATAAGAAACGTCATTCAAATCGGATTGTTAAAGATGGGCGTAAAGTTCGAAAAATCATCCATCAGAAATGTCGGAAAACCGGAGTAATTTTTAAACGGTGTAATAAATCGCCCTTAACAAGTACCGAAGATTACATCTTCACGGAGCCTCTTCAGAGCGACCTGGTGAGCATAACTTTGGAGGGTTCTTTTCTCCCTGTCAATGCAAATCTGTCAAAATACACCCTGACGGTATGGCTGGAGCTCGTGGACGTAGAGAAGAACAATGGCGACGGTACATCATACGAACGTGGCAGATGTCTGAAGGTAAAGTCTGCAAATCAAATTAATTCCAGGAGGATCTCCATCTATTCATGATTTACCGTAAACAAGAGATCCTTGCCGACATTTTGCAGAATATAAGCGAGCCGTGGATCCTGCATCTCTTGCCAGAAGATTTACTGAACATCTTTCCCAATCAGAGACGGCATAATGTCTTCCATCTTGAAGGACTCGAGGAGTAAGTCGTGCATCCTGAGGTTCTCTCATTTCTAGAAACGATGGGCATCTTTTAACCGTCTCATAAATTTCAGGAACTTGCCAGAAAGCGTTGTGGCTATGAATCTGCGGACAAATTTGCTGGCGAGTTTCCCGGTGTCAGTGGGATATGATGTTTCCCCGATAGACACAAAAGATGGCACGGTTTATGGAGCCATTGTCTTATTAGGACTATATGTTCTAATAGTGTTCGAGGTAAAGACACATTTATATGCGATTGGCCTTGGGTTCGGCATGATGGTACATATTAATTTTATCGAAGGAAATAATACTTACCTATTATACGTCTTTCTTATTCTTTTTTTTAGGTCGTCCATAGAGCACTCGCAGCCATGTTGGCGTCGACCATGTCGGTCGCCATTTTGGCAGCTCTGAACGAGGTAATTAATTCCACGCTGGGCTCCATAAAAAAAAGTTTCCTTTTCAATCAATTGAAGTCTAGAAGTGTCAGTTTCATTATCATTCATTAATTTTTATGAATCATTCATTTCAGAGACCTACCATGGGCGAGTTGATTTCCTGGATAGACGTGGATACTCTGCTGCTCTTATTTTCCATGATGGTGCTCGTGGCCATTTTCGCGGAAACTGGGATTTTCGACTACCTTTCCGTGTATGCCTACAAGGTAAATGACTAGTAGGAAAAAATTCTTCCTGCTTAAAGACGCCATTTTGGTGAACGGACGGACGCCTTAAGATTACAGGAGGGAAGCTGTGGCCGTTGGTTAACACTCTTTGTTTCTTCACGGCATTCATATCCTTGTTTCTGGATAACGTAACGACGGTGCTCTTGATGACCCCAGTTACCATCAGATTATGCGAGGTCATGGAATTAAATCCAGTGCCCATCTTGACTGCCATGGTGGTTTACTCGAATATTGGCGGCGCCATTACTCCAATCGGCGACCCACCTAATGTCATTATCGCGTCGAATAAACATGTCATGAATGCAGTGAGTACTTAAAATAATTTCAACTATCCCCCGCACGTCATCGTTAACAAATTATACAAGTATCTTATTTTAATTTCGATTTTTTACAGGGCGTTGATTTCACCACCTTCGTCATCCACATGGGCATAGGAGTGATTCTCGTGCTTTTTGTAGTCTATGCCCAATTGAGATTCATTTTTCGTGACGTATCAGCACTCAGGTTTGACGAGCCTCAAGATGTCCAGGTAACGACGACCTTCAATGAGAATATCTCAATTGCACCCCCCGCGTTACATTTTTATTTTATTTCTCATTTTTTAGGAACTAAGGCACGAAATTGCGATCTGGCAAAGAGCGGCTGCGAGTTTATCGAGTTACAGCAAAGATGAAGGCCTGGTCCGCGAAACTTTGATGAAGAAGGTGCGACGACTACTGTCGGAGCTGAAGAAAAAATTGATAACCGGAAGTGTGGCCTTGGAGAATTATAAGACCACCCTCGAGGAACTTCAAGAAAGGGTGCGTTCTCGAAACTCCTCTTCAACTCCTCACCTGGCTCTGGTTATAAATAAATTCCTGCCGTTTAAATTCTCAAAGAATTATCCTCTATTTTCAAGCGACATATCCAAGAAGTGGCAAACACTAAAAATTGTCAGATCTTTCAATATCGTTAAATTTCACTCCATAAGAAATGTCATTAAAAATGGTTCGCTCATTGTCTTTTCGCAGTATCCGATCAGGGACAAGTGGCTGCTAATAAAGTCTGGATTCACCCTGATTTTCGTCATTACTCTCTTCTTCCTGCACAGCATCCCAAATTTCAACTTGTCATTGGGATGGACTGCTTTATTAGGAGTTATTCTTCTTCTGGTCCTCGCAGACTCCGCTGATCTGGATGGTTTAATGGCGCGAGTCGAATGGAGCACGTTATTGTTCTTCGCAGCTTTGTTTATATTAATGGAGGTAAGTCTCCCCTGCGGTTATCGATAATCAATTAATTAATCGTTATTCACTGATCATTACGTTTTTTTATCACAGGCACTCTCGCGGTTGGGCTTAATCGCCTGGATTGGAAGGCAAACCGAGAAAATCATCTTGTCCGTCGACGAGGACTCTAGATTAGCCGTGGCCATTCTTTTGATTCTTTGGGTTTCCGCCGTGGCTAGTGCTTTCGTTGACAATGTCCCATTGTCTACAATGATGGTCAGGATTGCGACCAATTTGGCGGAAAAGAAGGAACTTGGCCTGCCATTGCAACCTCTGGTTTGGGCTCTCGCCTTTGGTGCTTGCATGGGGGGTAAGGAGCTGAAATAATGGTCGATTTATCAGGAATATTAATTTTACATAGTTTTACAAAATTTCTATCGAATTTTATCCGATGAACAAATTATATCAAATTATATCGAATTTTATCAAATTTTTAAAATGCCTCACTGCAAGGTCTTCTTCATCTTACACTTAGAAAAATTAAAATGGATTAAAAAGGAGCTGAAACAATGGTCGATTTATCAGGAATATTAATTTTACATAATTTACAAAATTTCTATCGAATTTTATCCGATGAAAAGATTATATCAAATTATATCAAATTTTATCGAATTTTTAGAATACCTCACTGCAAGGTCTTCTTCATCTTACACTTAGTAAAATTAAAATGGATTAAAAAGCAGCTGAAATAATGGTCGATTTATCAGGAATATTAATTTTACATAGTTTTACAAAATTTCTATCGAATTTTATCCGATGAACAAATTATATCAAATTATATAAAATTTTATCGAATTTTTAAAATACCTCACTGCAAGGTCTTCTTCATCTTATACTTAATAAAATAAAAATTTGCTGTTATCAACAAAGTAACTGGTTGAATAAAATTAATAATTCATAGCGTTATTCAGTTTTTCTCGGCCGTTACATTAATTATTGTTAAATTTTATGTGTAAAAAAATGGTGGATTGAGAAATTCACTCGGTAGCGTGGAGTGATATTTTCAGAGGGACATGTTAAGGGTGTTAATTCGGGCATTAGTGTTAAGCATAATTGACATTAAGCATTTTTGACTAATCAAAGATGCCGATACCAGCACGACTGGTTATTTGGTTGAATAGACAGATGCAATGTTTACAGGAAATGGAACTCTCATTGGAGCTACTGCCAATGTCGTCTGCGCTGGAGTCGCTGAACAACATGGATACAAATTCACATTTGTGCAGTTCTTTAAGTACGTTCATTAGTTTCTCTTCACAAAGAAAGACGTAAACACTTGGCTGAATGGATTTGACGATTGATTTTATTTTTCCAGAGTTGGATTTCCCGTCATGATTACCAGCACAGCGATTGTGTCGGTGTATCTGATGATCGCTCATGTGGTTTTCGAGTGGAACGGATAAAGGTCGAACAACAGCCTTAACATTTATTTTTTACGGCGACCGTGAATGTCTTATGACGAATTGACGTCGCCATTATCACATGAAAGTCATTCATGTCCGCCAATATACTCCAGCATCTAATTTTAGATGTAAAGGTCCGTTTCATACTTCGCACTTAGCGTTAAAAAATGTCTCCTATCAGTGACCCTTAAGGTGGTATCAAAGTGTCGTCTCGTTTCAAACAAATTACGGCGATGTAAAATCTGGGAATTTTACTTCACAATATATGTAGATTCCAGTATTTAAGAATTATTAAGTGAACGGTATTTAATTTTAATTCGCTATGTTATTATTTGTAGATCGTTCTCACCGGAGCATGTAGTATCTGGGATAATTGATACTATCTTATTTATTTTATTTATTATTTATTCTTCAGTATCTTACTATGTAACATACATGTATATCGGAATATCTTTGCGGTTAATATAAGTCTTCTTTAGTATCTAGAGGTAACTTATCACCTTTCTGGTGACATTTGTCCAGAACTCTGCAATACCGACCTCCGCGAGTACCTGTCTCGTTAACAGGTGGCTCCGCAGGTGAATTATCGCTTCCATGGACGTAAAATCAGGTTACTCGAATTTCTTCCTTCTCTTTATCAATAATGCAGAATAACTTTTTATGTACGTTGATCCCGACAGAGGAGGAATTTTTTATTTCTCCGATTTTTAAAACTCGGAATATAAAAATTAATCTGCTAGCCGGTAACGTTAAATGTGGGGAAAAATTGTTTAATTTTTTTTTTGTAACGTTTCAGACAGGGATTGTTATAGGAGGGCATAATGGAAATCTTTGTGGAATAATAGCAGACGGACTCACGATAAAAAGAGAAACTTCCAGGTCACTCTTTCTTGAGACCTTGTCTTCATAGCGGATCAGCATTACCGGTCATACGTATGTACTTTCGATGTCGCAAATTTCATTGCAGTGAAACTCCTCAATTTACTGAAAATGGAGAAACTCGACTTCCGCTCCAACAATCGGATAAACCCCAGAAATATTCTAGGCAATGGTACTAATCACGCGAAGTGAAAACAGCACGTCCGTACAAATTGGCAAATAATCGTACACGTGAGATAATGTCTAATCTAAACTACTCACGATGTAAATACACTGAGAAAAAAATAATCCATTGTACCAAAGAATTTTTTGACAGCATTAACAGATTTTATGGAGCGAAAAATATATACGCTGCCGAGTTTCTTTACTTGAACGAGGGATTTCTGGCCCTCAGTGATATGAGAAACGCACATTAATAATTAACAACTTGAAAATAATTAACGGATTAAAAAGTGCTGCGGAGTGTGGGAGGATACTTGGTATTCCCTGCGACGTTTAATTAAATTTACAAGTTATGGAAGATGCTGTCATTCATCCTTTCGAGAAGCTCCATGGAATTACCCCAAGTACGCATATGTAATACTCCACATACGATTGGAAAAGTTTTAGTCGAACGAGGTCGACAAGTACACCCGCCCCGTCAAAAGAAAATGCACGCAAGTGCATATCAAGTACAGTAATCGCATGCGGAATCTAGTTTCTGGGGAAAAATGGTATTGCGGCCAAGGTGTACTAACATTCAGCCATCATATCCAACTCTGAGATCGAGATTTATGGAAAATATGGGCCCGGATTAAATAAAAAATCAGTGGAAAAATCTGCACTAACAAGAGAAATAGTCGCGCCTGCAATTACCGTACTTTATGTACTGCTACTTAATCCCTGGTTACGTGTGACAAATAGCAAAAAATGTCCCGAGTGATATTTCACTTTGATTATGTTAATTGGAGCTGTTTATCTAAAAGTCTTTTTTCAAATTACAAATTACAGTGATTTTTTAAACTGTACTTTATGTACTGCTACTTAATCCCTGGTTAAGTGTGACAAATACCAAAAAATGTCCCGAGTGATATTTCACTTTGATTATGTTAATTGGAGCTGTTTATCTAAAAGTCTTTTTTTAAATTACAAATTACAGTGATTTTTTTTTAAGCTGTGTGTATTACATGTATGCGGTTTTTTTATGGTTTGAGGTTTTGTGCGTACGGGAAGGGAATATTTTTCGGTTGGTACTTGCAACAGCACTTTTATGTTCTTTTATGTATTCTAGGTTTGCCTTCCTCTAAGTGCCCGAAGCAATACGTGGATTGCTCGCGGTCGATGTACCGAGTCATCGGCATAACTCATCATTACCTGAATAATCATTCGGTAGGTACTTTCCGTAAAGACCCCAAGCGACATTTCGTAAGCGAAGCTCTCGAATGGCTTTTCTTGTACATGAGTAATCAGCTAGTAGTTCCTTGCTTAGATTTGGATGACACAGCGAGAGAGAAACTAAAAATCATTACCTAAATCCGTGGATAAATTAAGACACCGTAAACACTACTTGACACCAATCCCTGAAATCCCACCATAAACTACCAAACGTTTACTTACGATTTATTCCTGCGCCTAATTACCCTTCACCGTATTTTAAATAAACTAGAATAAACCCGTGCATAATTAATTCCGTGATATCGTAATTAAAATACTACTCCTGAGTAAATTACTTAAAATCGCGTTCTCCTCTTACAGTAATTACATGTCGTCATATTTCGTGGAAAATTAGATCCGGTAATTAGTAGTTCCATTTTTCAGGGATTTTAGTACTTAAGCCTACTCATGAGCCGTTTTTCAAGAATAAGCAGTTTTTAGAGGAAGGGGTATCTTTTGTTCAACTAAAAATTAGATTTTACAGGTAAAGATGTTCGAATCTGGAATCTTCCAGGTGTTTTATGATTTAAAAAGTGTATTAACACACATTTGCATAGGATCGCGCATGTGGGGTCCGCAAAGTATGGTTTTCCTTAGAGTTCGTCTAGTCGTCCTTCGCGGTTTACAACCTGATACGACGAACAATTAATGGCAGACTTGGCATTGTCTCGAGTTCTATTGCGAATCTCCGTAAAAAGATATCAAAGAAAGAGCGGTGGTGCCTAAGGGCGTTAAGGTGCCGAGATCAGGGACATGGTGTCGTCATTTCGTTATTTCAAAGCCATTGCGATGACAGAGATGATCTTGCTGATTTTAAAACAGTCCTACGTCTAAAGACACGAGGAAAGCGCTAAAGAAACGCGTAAATACCATAAAAATGGAAAAACAATGAAAATAATGAGCCGCACAGAAGTTCCAAGATGGCGGCGGGACGCGAAGAAGAAGACGCCGAGAGCTATTCATCGATTCGATCGTATCATTCGGTAATCTGGATCGATTATAATGGTTATGGAAATGATCGAGCCTGGATTTATCCTTGCAGATAACAGGAAACAGGCTTTCGCACGATAATGCGTTTCCTTAAGGAAAATTACGGGAAAACCGTCGCCATGTTTAGCATATTTTTTTCCCCGGAAGAACGAGAAGCTCGCGTTAATAGATATCGTATAATCCGCAACGTATGTGTTTATTTACTCCTTGAGCCTACATAAGAAACGAATGGTATTTCGATGATAAGAATCGAGGGGAAAAAAAATGTCTCGCCATCTTTTCATGGGGTTATGACATGACATGACATTTTAAGCGTTCCCTTAGAAGGCGGTTCGTCAAATGCGCGGCTTCATCCGGGACTCTTCTTCGCACATACTTCTCCAGGAACTGATGAGGTGTTTTCGAACTTTTTGCCGGCTGTAACGTGTGGAATTATTAAACTATTATGGTGTGTAATTACAGGGTGTTATGTAATCGCAAATGCGTACTTGGGAAGAGTCCGCCTCCTAGTGACTTCTTCGAGGCAATCTCTTTAAAAAAAGAAGCCACGCGTTCCTTATTATTGTAAGTAACACTTTTTTCCTGGGCAAAGGAAATATACTTTGCCTACTTTTTGCACTTCGAGCGTAATAACACGGAGATGTAGTACTTTCTGAACAAAAACATATTACCTTAGTACGTTGTTACAATTTTGTGGATTTACGTCGGAAAATAAATACACTTACGTCTCTTTTATATTAAATTGTTATAAAATTGTCCTTTTTTTTTGAGGTCTGGTTGACGCGAAAGTGAGGTTAGGACCGGTAACTTCTTTTAATGGCTGAAGAGGTGAGTGGATTAATAATGTTCTTCGCCGTTAGAACAAGAAAACCAGGGTACTTCAGTCTGAGCTCCTTTTTTCGAGAATCTTTCCTTAAACCATATTCTTAATACATATATGCCTCCCACAAAGCGGTAGGTATGTAAAACACATCTTGTAAATTACATCCTAACCTAGCACGTACGCGCTCACCCAGTGCGTGTACGTCAGTTTGCATTAAATATGAAGGAAAAAAGTGAACGTGGATGCCACCGGCGGTAAGAAATAAGTCTTTAACAATTCTCGGAACATTAAACTGACGATAGATCGGTAAAAATGCCGAGCAGAAATGGGTTTTTCTGGCCATTTCTTATCGCCCTGGGTTACGTCGGAACAACTTCAGTTACTATATCATGTTTCTGCGTTTCTTGACACCTCCTCATTAAATCCTCGAGATCGGTTCATGAAAATATCTATTACCTCTTTTCGATCCAGCACATAAATTTGAATTCATTTTCAGGATTAACAATCGAGACATTTTCCGCCGTTTGTTCGTTAACAGCGAGCATGGCGAGTGTTCGAGTCCCCTCGGTACATCTTTTTTTTTTTGTCAAGACTTATTGAATTAAAATTAACGATAAATATTAAAATATTCAGAAAAATGTTTATCTACGTGAATCAGAAGTATTGAGCTTCGTGCATTTATTCTGGAAGTAATTAAACGACTTCAGATTTCCTATAATCATCAAGTGTTCCATTATGCAGAGGAAAATCCATAAGAACGAAAACCGAGAACATTAATCGAAGGAAGTCCACCTTGAAGTGTACATAGACAAAAGTTACGAGTCTCGTGAGATATTTATATGATCTCGAGAATACCATCTAAAGTCGATCGATTGAAAAGTACTTGTATCAGTGATTGCATTCTTTTTTATTAAGGAGTTAACCTTTGTGCAACATAACCGCTCGGAAAACCGTTAAAGTAACAGGAAATGGAATTACGATCGTAAAACGAGGAATATTAAAAGTGCGATATTCTAATAGATAAACTTGACCTGAGATCATATAATAGGCTATAGAAAAAAGAAATAATTCTAGATCATTCAATTTGTTTTTCTTTTCTATCTTTTAATAGCACGGAAATTGACTGTTTACAGTTAAATCGCACAGCTACGTGACCATAGTCACATCGACAAGCTGACCTTCCGAAGGTATGATTATACTGAAATAATTAAGATTCAGAAATGCTATCTTGCGGGAAAATCTCTAGAACATACTACTTCCTTGAACGCCAAAAACGGAGATTTTGTCCGCCTCGTTCAAGAAATGGGAAACAAAATATTCTACTATAAAACCATTTTAAGGATTTTTCCCGTAACACGGTTTATTATTGCTCATTTATTTATTATTACTAATATATCCTGAATTAAACGAGTTTTGTTTACTTTTACTGAAACTTCTTTTGGCGTATTTGATCGCAGGATATTTTTGTAGCATCGCATATTTCTATTGATCTTTAGTTAAAAGAATCTCTGTCTATCGTGTTTCTTTTTCTTATCGCCATGTTTACAGGAACCGCGATAATAACATCATCATTTATCAAACCCGATGACAGCATTGATATTATTTTCACGTCTGGAGAGTAACAAAGCGAAGGTTGGAGATCGGTCATAGAAGCCGAAAAAATGATTGGTCATGTTGTCTTGTATTTATTATTTCGCACGCGGCAGATAATTCTCGTGGATTATTTTCAGGTGAGTTACAAAGGGAGATATGTCTTCTTTTTTTTAGAAATATTGAAAGGAATGGGGAGGTATTGTTAAACAGCTAATTATAGCTAATGTGAGCTGTAAGCACATATTAGCTTAGGCGGCGGAGAGCATGCGTGAAATCCTTCCAACCACTCGTTAAAGTCTCCCCGTTTTTCTTACAACTGGTCAATGTCGCGAGATTTCTTCTCGCCCACTTGCGGAATTTCCTCCGCGTAAACGGCGAAGAAATAGATGATTATGAAACGATTCCAACAGTTAAGAGACGCTCTTCGCGTCCGCCATCTTTCTTTTTCTTCGCGTCGCCCTTCGACGCGAGAAAGATTTCGACGGGCGACAAGAAAAGGGAATGAAATATTTAATTCTTAGCGTGGATGTTCACATAAATTATAAAATGCATTATTTATCGAATGCATTCTTAGGAGTAGGTTTATTATCTCCTTATAAAAGATGCGTTGGTTTTTTTTTTCTTTCATTATAAAAATACTGGAATCAATAACTGCCTACTGTCATCGTGTTTTCAGCCACTCGTAGGTTTCTACATACACGTCACAGTTATTTCCAACAGTAAATAACACGATGAGTGTAAACATGACAGATATGCATAATACCTTGGAAAATGATCGCGTGAAGCGTGATGATGATCTTATTTATTCGCGTTTAATTGAAACTATTATTGCCGCTTATGAAAATGTCTATGGCGTCGTTTATGGCGCTATTTTTCTCGATCGACCAGATTTATGGCATCCATCTAACGTCACGTCATTGACGAATATTGCTAAGAATATTAACTTTCCAATTAACTTCTTACGGGCGATTGTACTTGGCGCAAGACTCATGTAATTTCGAGGCTTCTTAAAATAAGAGGAAACGCATCTTCGAGGATGCAATTATCACCTTTGAGCTCGAAGAGTCGAATCCGAAGAATTTCATGTCATAAATACCCAAAATGACAAATGAATAAATCGATTCCTGTTATCGAGCTATATTTACAATCGAGTAAAAATTTCCTCAATATGTAAAAAATTTGAATGATGAGCAAAGTTGTTGAGAAGAAAAATTGACGTTGTTGATTTAATAACTTGGTCGCATATTTATTTCAGTCGATTAACGTTTTTTCTCTCGGGGTAATCACCTGAATGTTTTTAAAACAAATTAAACTTCGCTTTTAAAATAAGTTTCGGTGAGATGCCGACAAATTTTGGGGTCTTAGAATTTTCCGAGGAACATGAGATTAATTTTATAACGTAGCTGTGCATCATGGGGAATTTTAATCTCATGAATAACGAGGGCGAGAAGAGCCATTAACGTGTAGGGTCATCTCTTGGCCATCTTGGACATAAAGAAGGCTCGATCGAGTCTTCCCATTCTTATTTCAGAACCGCTTTAACGAAATACCGGTCACCATTGACGTCACAGGTCCGACAAAAAGATTCACCCCGAGCAAGGAATTCATTGACGCGATTTAATACAAGGATACGAATGGCTCTGTAGTGCGTACATACACTTTTTATATTCTGTCTCTACATTGTTTATGAACAACACCTCGGTAAACTGTAGCAAAACACATGAGACAAATCCAGAGGCCTTGCTTTGAAATGAAATTAAAAATTGTGACTAAATTTCATACAGTGGAAAAAAATATGGTATATTTTAATGTACAATATTTTTTGGAAGTATGATCATCAAGATGAGATTTTCACGAATCAATTTAAATGAAAAAAAATTCGAACTTGGGATGTGACGCGACAAATGGGGTAAATCATTTTCTTTTAGATATCGTATTTTGACGTGAGCGTGTAAAATCCTGTTTTTGGGGAGTTTTTAAATCCCCGGGGGTAAATATTGATAATCCGTCTTGCTACATCGAATAAACTAGGCGGTGCATAATTTATTCCAGAGATTTTGTTCTTTTCTTCTAGACGTACATACGTAATTCGGCGTTAAAAGCACGTAAAAAGGTGTCTAGGTCCCAAAGACTGTGTGCACTTTTTACGCGACATATAATTCCTTGGACAAATGTAATTAATATAAAAGTCTCGGTAACATCTTCCGAATTCTAAACCGTGCCTTTTGAAAAACCAGCTATTCCGAAATTCTGACGAATTCCGTCACTTTGCACATTCGTTTTCTTTTTTTTTTTTCATACAACACATCGAGTAAGGATAATTTAAGATTAAAGTTAATGCAATGAATTTTGCAATTTTTCGTTAAATTCACGAGATATGAATTTGTTGAAAAATCAAAAGAGGTTCATATTAATCGTAAAAATGGCAGCCTTGGCCACAATATCGTTTGTCAAGAGAGAACATACAGTTAATCCTTGACAAGAAAGGCATTAATCCTTTCCTTGCGGTACAATTGGCACTTAAAGCCGTAAAAAATCGTTTAAAAAAGTGCCTTATTCGAATCTGCTGATTTGAGGGGGCACTTCCCCTTAAGCATGGGAACGGGCTTTATATACGTATGTACTTGAACAAATATTGACATCGATCCTTCAATTCCTGTAACCAATAATTTGCATCAAGGAAGTAGTTAGAAGTGTATGTCAAGGCGTACGTAGGTACAGGTCTTGCTGAACGACACGTGCGTCATAAATCGGCGTCTTCAAATTCGGTGTTACGAATTTTATTTACCTTTCCAGTAGAACCGTAAAACGATTCCGCGATAACGTTTCTTCTCTATCTGGAAATGAAAGGGACAAAACATCATACATTTTCCCGGCATATATAACGATTACCGCGAAGACTCGCTCGATGTCGTGACTCTTGTTTAAGCAAGAAACACTTTTCGCGCAAGAAATATATGACGCCAATGAACTTGTTCGAGACATGTCTCTTGACAACAACGAAATGTCGAGTTAACATCGATCGCCTCTACGCAATCGATTGCGCGATAAATTGTTCCTGATATTGTAAACAATTCATTTCGAGCGACGACACTTTCTCACTACGCAATAGGTTGCAACGTTAGCATGATTTCTAAACAACTCGTGACAAAAGTTACATTTTTAAGGTGATACAAAAGATTCATTATAAATATATATTAAACGTCAGAACATTCATAAAACATTTCTCCAATGTGTATGCGCCGAATCGATGGAAACTTCAGCATGCTTAATGAAATTTCATTAATAATACAATTTTTTTTTGTATTTCTCCCAGACTAGAAACAAGAACGTACATTTCTTGTTTAATGAAATTTCATGAGCACCACGCTCTTTCTTAGGGCTTTCATAATCACATGCTGAAATTTCGAATGATTCGATGAAACTCAGTATATATGTATGATATACGTAGATGACCATTTCATATCACCTTAAGGGTGTTATAATATTCCGTAAAAAATTTCTGGAAAATCCCCTAGGGGTGGAAAACTCATCGTTGAGCGAGTTTTTAATCTCTCCCTGTCTCCGCGTTCTCATCAGCTTTTGTATCTCTTTTTTGGCCCTGATAACGCTATCGGTGCAGCGGAAGAGATGCAACGGAGTGTCGTCGATGCAACCGGGGTGTTATAATATTCCGTCAAAAATTTCTGGAAAATCCCCTAGGGGTGAAAAACTCGTAATTGAGCGAGTTTTTAATCTCTCCCTGTCCCCGCGATCTCATCAACTTTTGTATCTCTTTTTTGGCCCTGATAACGCTATCGGTGCAGCAGAAGAGATGCAATGGAGTGTCGTCGATGCAACCGGGGTGTTATAATATTCCGTAAAAAATTTCTGGAAAATCCCCTAGGGGTGGAAAACTCGTCATTGAGCAAGTTTTTAATTTCTCCCTGTCTCCGCGTTCTCATCAGCTTTTGTATCTCTTTTTTGGCCCTGATAACGCTATCGGTGCAGCGGAAGAGATGCAACGGAGTGTCGTCGATGCAACCGAAGCCCCGTTGACTTCCACCTCCGGTGTCACCTGGGCACGTACACGAGTGACCAGTGGTCGACGTGTGTGAGATAGGTTTTTCATCTGCGGCTGACGCAGATGCGGCCTAAGGATCACAGACTCTTATACGTGGGACAGAGCGGAGGCGAGCTTCATTTGCACGCACCCTTTCGCGAGCCGAACAGTGCGACTCGCCATTGAAATTCCCCGCCTTTCGAATTTTCTCTCCGACCTGTGAACTCCCCTAAGGAGTCCTCAGTCCTATACTCGATTTCACGTAGTGTCACGGGGTTTGCGAATTTTCGTGCGCGAGTTTTCCATTTTTTCTGATTTTTTTCTCAAATTTTTCCGTTCGAGGAACTTTGTGGAGCGAATCTGCAAGTTTACCGACTCCTCGCTCCAGGTAAGAATTCTCGCCTAGAGGGAATAATTAGAATTCGCCAGTGATGGAATTCGGGAACAATGGGAAATAAAGTGGAGATTTGGTTATCAGTGATCAGCGTTTATGAATTGTCGTAACGGTAATAAATTGTATTTCGGACGCGTGAATGGCGAACGTGGAGGAGAAATTGTTAATAATTCTTAGTTCAGAGGAAGAATTTTATTTATCGTTACGAGATCGACGTTTAGTTTTCTAGGATGTGGCTTAATGTGGAGGAAGGGAAATTCTAGTAAGACCATTTTTTGTATTTCGGCCGTATGAATGGCGAACTGGGAGTTTCTTGGGCCTTCCAAAGTACACGTGGAATTCCTGATTTTTGGAGGAGATAAGTCGAATAAAATTAGCGTTTTACTTTGCATAGTGGTTTATGTCGGGTCTGCGAGACTCGGAATACTCGTTCTGGGGGAATTACCGTAGAAGAGTCACCTTTGTACTTTCGCCAAATTACGATTAGTGAATTCCTCGGTTTCAGGGAAGCCGCCTCGACTCACGAAAAAGTGGAATGAAAGTGAATTAATAATCTAGGAACTAGATTAACCGGAACATCGGACGTCGCTTAAAATTCTACCTAATCATGTGAAAGTGCAGTTCCGTAGAAAAGTGGAGCAACAACGAGCCGGAGAGGTCAACAGCGAAGAGCAGGGTGAGTTCCATTTTTAAAACCCTCTTACATATTTATTTTGCAATTTTCTCATTACACCATTAACTGCCACATCATCGCTTTACGCATTCGACATGGTTCCCAATTTTTTTTATTTCATTACAACGTTTAATCCCCTGAAAACGAAGGGCATTAAATCCAATTAAAAATATCTGCACGAAGTAAGGCGCGGTTATAAAATTAAAATGGCACATGAGTACCTTCAAACTTCACATGGGATTACAAAATAAACATTTTGTCGAGCTGATTAAGCGTTCAAGAATTCCCGGGAAATCTCGATTACTGCCGGGTGAAATAAATTACAGAAATGAATTACACGGCTTTGCTCGGTACTCGGCCTAAACCGTTCTTTCCTGGTCATAAATGTATGTAGAGCAAGATCATGAATAACATGTTGAGCGTTTTAAAATAGTATGAGTAGACACGTGGCCAAATGTGAACTTTACTTTCTCGGTAAAAAGAAAATTATACTACCTGGCCGCAATTTGTACAGGAGATAATTGTCTTGTTTATCGCACACAAGAGGGAAAGCTGAAATTTCTCAATAGAACGATTCGTCGGGGACGGATTTCATTTTCTACTTGATTTCCAAAAAAAAAAAGGAAAAGAGAGAATAAGGAATAGGGATCGCGAAACCGCGAAATCGCGAACACGAGGGGTCATTTCGAAGGCGAATCGCGGTAATTGCAACGTATCTCGTCGATCTGGAGCAAGTGCATATCGTGCCGGATATTGGCCAACCTCTAATGCAACTCGCTGAAGTAGTGGAGTCACTAATTTTTTTACCCTTGGTCACAAGCTAGAAATTGTACACTGGACTATTTGCAGACCTTGCGTTTCCTCGATGGCGTGGAACGCCGCTCGAGTTCGGCAAAGGCGCTTCCGATTTCCGTTTTGCCCGTGAGAAAAAAATTAATAAGCATATACAGACGGACTTTCAGCATTTTAATTATGCGCGACGAACATTACGAATTTCTTCCGATGAACATGTTCAATATAAATCGGCCGCGGCGAAGTATGAACGGCAAGATTGTTGAAAATAGTGTCGAGCCTGTTGAAAATGCAGAAAAAAATCGGCGTCGCTGAATTTTCGGAATTTCGAGGAACCGCGAAAAGAAGTCTTGGAAAATGTCACTTTCTCGGATGTACACCTTGACATCCTCGACTTCTCTTCTCTTGGAATCGGGCAAAGAAAAATTTGCCCGTGAGAATAAATTAATAAGCATATACAGACGGACTTTCAGCATTTTAATTATGCGCGACGAACATTACGAACTTCTTCCGATGAACATTTTCAATATAAATTGGCCTGTTGAAAATTCCGGAAAAAATCGACGTCGCTGAATTTTCGGAATTTCGAGGAACCGCGAAAAGAAGTCTTGGAAAATGTCACTTTCTCGGATGTACACCTTGACATCCTCGACTTCTCTTCTCTTGGAATCGGGCAAAGAAAAATTGCACAATTGCGTCTCCGGCAAGGAAGAGTGGCAGCCTCAGAAGACCGTTGACCACGATTTACAAATTCCAGAGACGGTACGTGACACTCCCATGGATTCCTTCAATTTTTCCGCCACGAACCCGTGGAATAATCCGCAATGACGAATTTATGAAAATAAGCCGAGTCCAAAAAAAACGACCGATTTGTCAGGATTTCCGGGATTTCGCGATTTTGCATCCTCGATTTTTCAATTCGCTTTAATAAACGATAATGACGTCCGCCATTTTGATTTCCTAGATGCTCGACCCTGGAAACCTGGGATTTAATCACTGAAATAAAAAATAACAAGTCGGGTGTCGGTCAAAGTGGTCGAAAACTGCGCAAAAAAAGGACTCGAGGTAAAAAACATCCCGAATGGGCCGCGCGGGATTTTTGACAATGATTGACAGAGACAAGCGATCTATCCTCTAAATTATCTGACAAAGGAAAGATTGAGGGAAGTAACGGGAAATTATATTGAACTTTTCGAGGCCGAATCGTTTTCTTCGAATCGACTCTCCTAAATTGTCCGTGAACTCTGCTAATGATTGATAACCTAGCTGCGAAAAAAATATGTAAAACGCGGAAGCGCGTCAGAATGAAAAAAAAAAGAAAAAGAAATGTGCAAATCGAATCACCGATTTATCGATTTATTCGAGAGATTTCTCTTTTAGGGGTAGAAGTGATAGTAAGAAAGTAGAACCGAATTAGGATCTATTAGATTCCCATTTGAGGAGAAAAAAGGATGGCCGCCATAAAAGAGTGATCCATTTAGTAAAATCACCGAATCTCCAAACGCCTACATATTTTTTGTTTATTTTTTAAAACCCACTTACAATTAGAAAAATCCCCTTATCTCCGATTAATTTCCGGTAAAATCACCGAATCTCCAAACGCCTACATTTTTTTTGTATTTTTTAAAACCCACTTACAATTAGAAAAATCCCCTTATCTCCGATTAATTTCCGGTAAAATCACCGAATCTCCAAACGCCTACATTTTTTTTTATTTTTTAAAACCCACTTACAATTAGAAAAATCGATTTATCTCCGAATAATTTCCCCCGAAATTGGTGGAAAAAGGAAATAGTCGCGTCCACTTGGTTCCCGAAAAGCCCTGCTCGAAGGAGAGCGTCCGTAGATCCCATCCGAGCTCCCGTGGACGGCGGGTTGACCATTCCCTACCACTCGGGCACGGTGAGTAGCACACTCGCCGCCGCACCGTGGACCACTGCACCTCCGATTCACTATCTCTCGTTCATTGCGCGGTCGTACACCCGGAGCGAGCTCCTCGAAACCGTGGTCCACGTCGGTGCTAATTTCCCCCAAAATTCTGCCATCGGGATTAAAAGTCATCGAAAGAAATTATCGATTTGAAACCGCCGAAATAAAAAAAAAGAAAAAGTTCCGAACAAGAAGCATCTAATAAAATTGCCGATTAAAAACCATCTAATAAAATCGCCGATTAAGAATCGCCGACAACAATACCCGCGATTGAGAAACCTCAGATGAAAAGTTTTCGCGAGTGAGAAGACACCGAAAACGAATCGGCGTCTAAGAAACGCCGATTCCGCGATTGAGAGAAATCGAGAAGAAAAAAAGAAGGAATCTCGCGAGTGAAGAGCGCCGATAAAAGATTCTGCGACTGAAAAAACCCGGAAATTCGTAAATTCGATCCGAAAAACGCAGGAGAATAATTATACCTCGCAGGTGAAGAGCACCGAAAGAAATCTTGGATACAGGACGCGGAAAGAATCCCGCGACTGATAAAAAGCCGGAAAAAATAATACCGCGGTCGTGAACCTCGTCGAAGTGACCGATAAAACCCGGGGGGATCGGAGGGGCATAAAAAGAGGGAAAAGTGCATCGGGCCCCTTTCTTGGGTAATTTGTAATCGTGCCCCGAAGATACCGTTCGAGGTAGTGGGCGATAAGAGAAGAAATGGGTCCCAAGGGCGAAGAACTGTGAAGAGGAAGAAGCAAAATATAGAAGAGGAGAAAGGATATTAAAAAAGAGCGAAAAGATACGTTATGACCACGTGGGAGGAGGGAGGAGAGAAATCCATCCTAACTTTATCGAGGACTCCAGACGATGAAGTCACTGGGAGTTTTGGAAACGGATAAAGATGGAGGTGGACGGTCCCTGATTAAAAATCACAACGGAGGAGATTTCCCCCCGAGAGTAGGTCGGTTTATCGAGAAAACGAGGGGAACGATGCTGCATCTCGGGCCCACCGACCAGCGGCACTCGTAATTGCGACTGCAATGTCCATTTTCAAATTTACCCGTCCGGATATTTTTATATCACGCGGAAGTTAACGCGTTAAAGGATTAATTGTAATCCGGGAAAATTCCGCGGTTCTTTGTTGTCGGATTATTTTTATTAATGTCTTAAAATGTGGCGGAAGCGTCCCGGGCTGAGTCGGCGTAAGGAAAAGCGGGAAAACGAGGAAGAGGACTGCAAAAAGTCGGCCACGAGGACTAAGCCGGGTCGACGGGATCAATCGAGTCCTTTGAATCGATCCGATCATCGCAAGTAGGAATCGCAATCGCAGGATGTGTGGAAGATGGACGTTTACTAGAGAAACTCGACTCTCCGTGTCTTCGTCGAAGCCGTCGCCGGTTACGTAAAGACGGATTGGATTTTACTTGGCAGTTAATGAACCCGGTTGCATGCTTGCAGAAGTATCCCTTGGATATTACGTAAGTGCACACATGGATAATTTCTCTTGTGCGGTGAGATATCGAGAGCGACTCCGGGAGAGCTCGATGCAGGGTCAGGCACCACGAGGTGCATCGCTGCACTTGCGCGGTCTCTAAGGACGCGTCTCGATTAAATTAATTAATTAAATAGTTCCTTAAAATTAAATAATTCCTGAAATAAAAAGGAGAGCGCAAAAGAAAAAGATTAACATCGAAAATAATTAGGCGTCCCTGACCGGTAATTTATAATTAGATATCGCGAACTGATGAACGATTTTCTTCGGCTTGATGTATTGTTTCTTGTCCGGCAGATTGATAAACAAGAAGTGCATATGACCCCCGATAATGCTGCGATGCCCTGCGATTAAAATATTAACATACCGATGATAGTGTGGCGTAAACTATTGCGCATTAATTGTTAATTGCTCGCAGGGATTTATATGCACTTAGCAGAGGTCGGGACAATTGCTCGATAACAACTGTTTTCCATAAACCGATTATTTTATATTTTTTCCAGCATTGCAAAAAGGAGTACAGCGTCATTTACACGCAAATTTACTCCCTGTAGATAAAGCCGTGATCATTAACGCGACCCGAATGTAAAGAAAATGAATAAATAACCGCAAGCACCATATAAATTATCATGTAATTATTGCAGCAATTTATCGCCCGCTTTCTTCTTTTATGCGATATTTTTCGTGGAATCTTCCGAATATATTACGTTTTTCCCCGAATTTTGAAAATTCAGGGAAGTGTAATTCTCGCGCAGATTTATTCCCTGCGGCGATATTGCCATTCATTAATTCGGAAAAATCGTTAAACAATTACTGCAAGCATTGTAATAATTATAGAGGTTCTTAGTATCGACGAGTCATTGGGGAAATTTATTGTTGGCTCGGTCATTATAAAAATCCTCATTAAAAAATGCGATAAAACGATGAATCTTCCAAGATCTTCCGGAACTCGTTTGTTTCCGCTCTCGATCACGAGTGCATCGCGATTAGGTGCATAAAGTGCATCGAGAAATCATCCGATGACCGAGTCTTGCAAGGAAATTTCCATACGTCACACTTCACAAAAAGATCGATCACGTGGAGGGAAATGTTCCGTTTTTACTGGCGTGACATTAGCATGTAAACATTGCAATAACAAGACGCGCCTGAAACAAAGAAATTAATAATTGTGAATATCACGATCGTAACCATTTCATCGAGGTGTTCATGATCATAACAATTTCATTGCGATGATCGTTATTGTGATCATCGTTCATCGTTTCTCGTCCACCGCAGGATTTTCTCTAGCGGCGAAAATGTGCATCCCGTTTCTGGAGAAATGCTCTTGAACGGCATCATTTTATAAATATTGCGTTCCACTTACGATCCTCGATTACCTCGATTACTTGTCCGCCTTTCGCCGCAAGACTCGTGTACGTCGGCCCAGTTAGCAAGTTGTAATCATTGCTCCTAACTGCCCCGATTCACTGCAGTACTTCTGAAAAAAATAGAAAACGGACGTACTTAATAAAATTCATTTCAACTCCTAACACTGCAAACGACGTAACCGATATTATTAAACAATGACAATATAAATATTGGAGCGTCGAAATAAGATTATTAATTAAAAGCACAACTGGAAAGACTGACTTTCGTTGATGCAAAATGGCGGCGCAGAGTTTACCGCGCGCGATGGAAATTCATAGGATGACGCGGACTCGAAAGAAAATAAAAAACGCACGTGCTTGTAAAATTAATCTCAACTATAATACTGCAAATGACGTGATATATATTATCAGGAAATGTATGTATACAAATTGGAACGTCGAAATGAGATTATTAATTAAAAGCGCAACTGGAAAGACTGACTTTCGTTGACTCAAAATGGCGGCGCAGAGTTTACTGCGCGCGGTAAACCCGAGTTGCTTCGCATTGCCAATTCGATTACGACTAACGGGACGAGACGATGGTGGAACGCCGCTCGTTGGTTCTACCAAGGAAGAAACCCGGGGAAATTTCACGGTCTTATGTCTTCTCGGTGCAAATTGATTTCCGACTCGTGGCATGACGCACCGAGAAATCGAAGCTAACGGGCTTATCATTACGGAGGCGAAATCGATGCAGAAAATGCATCATTCTTTAACGTGCGTAATGATGGCCCGATTTAATCATTGCGACACCGTGATCAGATCGAGATTTTAATTCCCATTCAGTATCATATGATATAAAATTTCAGTTCACGTAATTCTCCCTTCAGGAATTTTTTTTCTTCATTTCGTCCCATGAAATTAATAATTTTCGACTAATGAATTAATTCCATTTACGAAAGCTCGTTAGGAAGTCATTATTTCCCACAGTCGAGAACTACTTGCAGTGAATTGCAACTGCACGATCTTATCGTAGGTTTAAAAATTCCCTCGGAACGTAATAAACAATTAGCAGAATAATGTCTATTATACTGCGAACGATTTCACCGATAGGTAATTAATTTCTACGATTCCCATCTTGTAAATGAATTTCATTTCCTTAATGGCGTACAGACTGCTGATCACTTATTCGACCGCTTTAATGCTCTTCTTCGTTAATGCGGAAGGTTATTATTATTTATAACTCGTCAGTTACATTCTCGATACCAGGACAGACGTGACATTTCCTCAGACAATTCCGAACAAAAGAAAATTTTTTATCAGCGTAACAATGTCATGTCTACGCATTCTGCGATCGAATACTCATCGAACATCAATTCCTGCGTGACAATATTCATCGAAGATCAATTCCTGCGTGACCAAAATTATTCCCATTATCTGTTTCTCCAGACCGACGTCATTAAAATTTACCGTAGTCTCAAAAAAAACAATAACATTAATATAGATAAAAGTACGCGTGCCTTAATATAAAAATGTAATGTTAAGGCGAAATCGTTATTCTTTAAATATTTAACTATGATAAATTGATGAAAAAGTGTATATAGAAATTATCGTCGATAAGGTCAATATTAACGTTCGAGTGTGATCCGAAGTACTGACATCCTTTCTGCCTCAAAATGAGGTTTCTTGACTCGATCTAGTTTCGGTATCACGTTCCTGTGACCCTTTTAAGCCAGAGCGGATATTCCAGTTCTTTAAATTGCCTGTAGCCAAGTCGATCGACACAGAACCGATATATCGAAGCAAACGTGACACCTCTTCGCATACCTATCCCGATAAAACCAGAATTCGAATTTTAAACATTGCACGTGGCCCCAAACTCTGATTAGAAAAGTCATCGGTTAAGTAGAACGATGCTCTTAATCAGTAGCTATTAATAAAAGCCAGTCTCCATCAGGCGCCATTTTTAAAAGTCACTTCTAGCGCCATTAAATAAAAAAATCACCGTTCGACGTTATTCTTAACAATCAACCTCTTTCTAAGGTCATTTTTGAAGACTTAAACTCCATTCGACGGATTTTTAAAAATCATTCTTTATTTAACACCATTTTTAAGATCATTCTTTATTTAATACCATTTTTAAGATCATTATTTATTAAACTCCAACTTCGAGCACCGTCACCTGGCGCCATTTTGAAAAACCTCATTTCGCTTCTCTGAGATAAAATGCGAAAGAAATATATTAAAAATAGGGTTATTTCCAAAAAGAGTCGAATATTTTACTTTAAAATGTGAGGTTAAGTTCTGTAAAGTGGAGCGGGACTTCTTCGGCCTTGAGTCCATTTCTCGGGCGAAGGAAAAACGAAAATGGCGTCGATCGGGTGCATGGAACTCGAGTGCATAGAGAGTGCAAATATATTAAAAATAGTGTTATTTCCAAAAAGAGTCGAATATTTTACTTTAAAATGTGAGGTTCAGTTTCTGTAAAGTGGAGCGGGATTTCTTCGGCCTTGAGTACATTTCTCGGGCGAAGGAAAAACGAAAATGGAGTCGTTCGGGTGCATGGAACTCGAGTGCATAGAGAGTGCATAGCGCCCGCAAATGTGCGCTCGAGCAATACGCACTTAGCGGGCATGCAAGGCCGTTAATCGATTCCAGAGGTCTTGAGCAATCGAACGAGAGTCTCCCTTAATTCATCGAGTTTTGCAAACGAACCTGCAATCGAAAGTTACGTTAAAGAGTCGCGGCCGAATCGCCGTCTCCTGATTATGCCATTGCGAGATTTCGGATTCCTTCGGCATACCTGTTCATTTTACAAGCCAATTAGGGAGCTAATCGAAAACGGCAAATGCGCGCAAAAAAAATTCAAGACACTACATTTCAACCGATTATCGATTATGAGTAATCCTTTACATGACAAAAGAGTACCCGATGACGAAAATGGAAATATTAAGGCGAGAGAGGGAATCAACGATTAGGGGTGTCATTATTATTTTTTTTATTAATCCCGAATTTTCGGTGCAGTTAAGTATTAATTCGGTATTAGTATTTTATTGTTCGCAGAAATAGAAAATGCAGATTAGTGGAATTTTACGAGTGCCATTCGAGTTCCCGAAGAGAGAATTGCGTTATCCAATGTTTTTCTCTTTCGAGTGTGTCAGCACATTCGGCGTGATAAAAAATGCGAAAGTGCATGGCAAGCTGAACATAACCTCCAAAGTTTCGCCCTCGAAAAGGTAGGGTGCAGTTCGGAGTTGCACCTCCTCGATGCAAGTTGCATTCGTTCGATGAATAGATTTAAGTTAATTGTTGATCTCGACTAAAATTGATTCCTCATAAAGTTAAGAAATTAATCTCAACTAAAATTGTTACAAAGAATACATTTAATTCTACCCTGCCATACGAGTGTAGGTGAGGATAGTGAAAATAAAGAATATAGTAGAAGATATCCCGAAGAAGGTGAGAAGGAAAGAAAAATGCCGTCGCGTAGGAACTATTTACTCTTCATACCTAATTACCATGAAAATATAGAAGGTGTAACTCTAAAAACGACATCACCTCCGAGGAAATTACGAGACACCGCATTTACATCAATTATTGTTAACGTCAGGGTCGTTAATTAACGTCTTAAGGTAATTGCGCGTTTACAAGGGAACTCGTCATTGGGATTTTACTTTGCGAGTTGGTCATTAACTTGTACCGAGAGAAGGTGCAATAACACCGACAGCTATGTGTCTTTCTTCCGACTACCTTGAAAGAAGTATCTTCTGACTTATCATTGACCGAAGGACTGATTTGACACGTCATAGATGACATTATTATCCGGTCGTCGTTGTCATGCTCTAACGAGGAGATAATAGTGACAACGTACACGTTAATAGTACCTACGAGACGCACAATTAGAATTAATGTTCCCTTGGCCTGGAAATGAATAATTGACAATAGACCTCCGTTTCGGGATCCATCATTCAAAGTAGTTGACAATGTTATCCGGTTGTTATTAAACATTTCATGTCGACCTAAATATGTTGTACATGTACCCACGAGGCATAAAACCAAAATCGTCATCCTCCCTTCCCCTGGAAATAAATAATAAATAAATAAGAGAGAACTCTCCGACAAGTTCACGCGCCTCGACCGACCGCGACTCTTTACTTCAAGTATAGCTCCACCGGGGATGAATTTTTCTTTACCCGACCATAATTTCCATAAAAGGTGTCCTACACTTTTCACCGCACACCACCGATTTCATAAACTCCCCTCCTTTCATTTGGGATGAAAATCGTGACAATCGACAAAGCCATTCACGAGTTATGTCGAGTTAAAGTGTTTTTAATGTCGTGGACAATAGGGCGATAGGACTTTTGCGAGTCCACTTTCCCCGGGAATGATTTCCAGGTCGGATCGAGGTAATCGTGTCAATTTTGCGGAAAGTTCAGAGAATTTCCTCGCCCCGCAAAATGTTTCCTCGGCTCGTTTGGCATTGTAACGAGAGGAATCGACGAAACCAGTTCTTAACGAGAATTCCGTATAATTTCAGATTCGGGGCCCGCCTTGGCGAGCTGTTCGAGGACGAGCCTTCCACCTCGGAGAGGCCAAGTGAAAGAGGGAACTGGGTCCTTTCCCTGGTAGTAAAGAGTGTTGCAAGATCGCCGATCGACATCCACCCTTCGTCCTCTTGGATCGCGAGAACAAGGTCGAGGGACCGACTCGAGAAAATGGTCCAGATCGCGATCGAAAACCAGGCCAAAGTCTGCCCCAATTCCCGAGAAGAATGCCGGGGGAAGTCACGTAGTCGATGATCCCCATAGCGTCTTCAATTTCGAGAAAAGTGGAGCATAGCGAGCCGCCTCGACTTTTTTTTTTTTTCAGACACCCTGAAGAGAGCTTCGGCCTCTTCAAGTATTTCTTCCTGTATTAAAAAAGCTTCCTAGAGGAAGCTCGAGGAATAGAACTCCAAGAGTCCTTCGTGGCTGATCTTAGCTTCTTGATCGTGGAAGTCTTCCGGAAGTCTCCAGGGTGAAGTAGGTCGAAGAAGGGTCAAAGGGTGGGTGGGTGGGGTCATCAGACCCTGAAGAGAGAAAGATCGCGAAGCTGTGCCGTTCTTGGACTCGTTATCCTTGACAACTGTCAAGATGAAGTTCATCACGTCCCTTTTCGGCGTCGGGTCGCCGAAGAAGATGGGCAGACAGTACCTGAAGGTCGGAAGAAATGCCCTCTTCGGTATCAGACCTAAAAAAGATGGCGAGCTCTGCCCTGATAAGGTGCCCAAGCCGCTGAGCATGATCATCTCCGAGGCCGGGAAATTGAAACACAGTGAGTAAAAAACCTGATTACATCCTTTTCATGTAACATGACTCGTTAAACCGGGTGGAAAAGATTTTTTCCTCAATTGATAATTACTCTAATCAGGTCATTATCAGTAAGATAATATATAAATAGGGCTTTTCATTCACTTGCAAATCCTGAATGACAGAACCTCACCTCTTCGAGGGAGACAGGAAGTGTCGGAGTTAACATCTAATCGTGTCTTTTATCAGCTGATAACGTCTCGCGGTGTTCTCCACTCTTTAATCAACGTGCTCGGTCATTAATCCTTGCAGAAGTAGCTGACGCATTGCAATGACTTTTTCAGAAGTCGTTTCGCAGTCCAAATCGCATCCGCGGTTTGGGATTTCCACCAATGGCAGGGATTTTTTATGATTATCGTTGATACGTGTAAAGTGCAATTTTTTTATCATTATCCACGGCATCGTGTTGAGTATGCCGTGTCAAATTTCCACCGCGTCGAGCAATATCTTAATCGATGAGCTCGAGATACTATAAGAGGTCAGGGAAAGAAGACCGAGAGAAAGGGTTAATTTATTTGAACCGATTCTCAGCCGATCATCGGCGGCTCAAGTATTATAATCGTGGTGGCGTTTAATGATCATTGAACCCTGCATGAAGAAAAAAGAAAATGAATAAAAATCGTTCAACATTTATCAGACGCGAGACGAAAGAATAGATCAGGACCTTTGCCCTCGTCGAATCGAATTTGCCTTGATGCGATCATTTAATTGATGGTCACTTCAAAGATTCACTTGACGTGCCTTTTTATTTACGAGATAATGAGTATTGACAATCCCGCGATAAAATTCGGAATTCTGTAATTATCACCCGGAATTAAAAATTATAAAGTGATTCGTTCTTCTTGATTTTCTTTTTTTTTTTTTTCTTCATTTAGGATGTGAAGATGAATTTTGAGAATTTCTGTACGACGATGGAAGGATTTATTAATTTTCAGAGTACCATTATTCCCAGTCGGTCCTTTGAGATCTTACGAAATGAAATGAGCAAAAAGTCGTCGAGAACGTTAAATGAAACGAAAAGTTTCAGCGCAGATCGGGTAGCTCGAAAGTTCGAGTTTCCGACACCCGATCTTGGCTTGGAATGCAAATTTCACGCGATTCTCACGCGATTTCGTGACAGGGGTCTAATGTACGAATTCTACTTGCAGCAAATGCAAAAAACGAGATAAGGCCTTCTTCCATAACTCTTTTTTTATCCATACACTTCGAGGAGGGGATTAAGTGGGATTTTCGCGCAATTCTGAAACCCGAGTGAAATATACAAATTCTATTTGCAGCAAATGCAAAAGTGCGATAATAATAGCTTTCGTTTAGGAATAATTTTCTTTTTTTTTTTTCACGTACGTCTCATGGAGGGGATTTCCCCTGAAACGCTTTCGATATCGTAGACCGGTCGCGTCCTCGAATCAGCTTTTTTTATTTATTTTTCCCGTCGATTTCATACAACGGCCCTGAAGAGATCGCGGGAGAACTCGAGGAAAGTTGGACAAGAATCTTCGGATATGTACGGCCGGTCTTAACAATTAAATAAGAAATTAATTCCACATCTTGCGAGGCTACGGCGGTCTCCATAAGGTAAAAAATTGCCCCAGCCTTCGACGTGCCCATCGAGTAATAACAATTACCGTTTAATCTTTATCTTTGTTCTTGACTCTTGCACTCCCAAGCCGAGTCTGCACGATAATTCTCATATTTTTATCCATGGCTTTGCAATTACCATGATCATTACCATGATACGCGTTACGAGTATTCTGAGGACACCTTGATAAAAAAATCTATTTATGGTGCCATGTAAATTTACATACACAATTATTAGTTATTTTAATGCCACAATAAATTGCCGTAAAATGACATCGCCTCTGATATTACATTCGGTATTTAAATTGAGTTAATGAAGATTATAAAACGTGACATTACGTTTAATTCACGCAAAAATGCACTAACACGGTAATTACTCAATGTTACGTGTATTTATACGTTTTCAAATTTCTCATTTTTCCAATTTACGTTTTTCTAGGTGAAACTTCAGGTGTGTAAAAATGTGCGCAGATTGCCGTCGATTTTTATCAGTGTACGAATAATTTCCATGTCGATGCTTTTTATCTTTGCGAACGAACTGTCGAAAGGGTTAACTGTCGTCAGTTCGAACGTAAATTCGACGGATGATTTGTTGGAAAATGTCGGATTACTCGTAAATTACTGTGATGGAATGATGGGACATTGCTACCAGGTTTTCTGTCCATCGCAAAATGATAGTTCCTTGGTGGGCGTATAGTACGCGCACCTGAAAGATCATGTCGTAATTTTACTCTGTCACGACAAAGATATCGTCATTTGACTTCCTAATGCCGAGTCTCATAATCAGGGACGTTTCTAAATCAGAACTTCGCCTGCGGGAATAAAAGTAAGAAGCGGCTCTCTCTTGTCTAAATATGTGCTCCATTGACACGTCTACCCAAAGAAAAAAAAAAAAAAAAAAATAGGAAACAAAAATTGCGGAAAATTAAAAATGGCGGCCGCAATTTTATTCTTACAGTTTTCACTGTCGTCCTCGATTGACGAGGGAATTTTTAACCATCGCAGCCAACTTCACGAGGGTCTCGTAAAGTTCGATCGGTTCGCCATCCGGTGGTAAATTCTCGAGTAAATTTCGCAATTTACCGCGGGAAGAATTCGCCGCATCGGCAGGCTGAGTTAACAGAATTCCATGAAGGTCAATGGCCATTCGCCGTTCGCTCTATTAGATCGATTATCGCCAGCTTCCTCGCAATTCCCACCTGTTGACTTCCGAATTGAGGTTAAGATCTCGTCCGTCGCGCATGCGCGAGTCCACTCAGCGCTGAAATCCCCGCAGCAAAAAACCAAATCCTAATACATAAATAAAACGTACCAAAACCTACGTAAATGAAACAAGCCTCAGCCTAACCTAATTCGCCAAAAGTATCTAAACATTTTCCCCGATATTAAAAAATCCGCCATTCCGATCCTAAAACCTAAAAATCGATAAAACCTAAAAATCATCCAAAGATGTTCATAATAAAAACCCTTTTCAACTTTGAAAGTACAGCTCCGCCAATAAATACCGATTATTAGGTTAACACCTAGTCACTGAAAATGACGAGAGAGATTCGTTGCAAAATATTTTCCGTCGAATTGAAAAATTTTTAAATGCTTCCTTTGTAGTTTCGGGAGGCATATCTACGTGTTAATGTGTAGTGATGGGGAAAATCTATTTCTTTGGGAGAATATTTGCAGTCGTTACGTATCAGCGCGCGAGGGTTCACGGGGCGGCCGGGTATACTGGGAGACATCAATGCCCTCCCATCCTGCGCAGGCGATGTCGTACCTGCAGGGGAGGCGTTCAGGTCCGCCATTGTACCTTTACTTCCATCTAGTCCCTTAATGTCGCAAGAGGTTACAAAATCTCACCCAGCCGCGCATTTTTACGCAGAGTTGCAAAATGCGAAAGCTATTACTCACGGGAGCGCGGGCCGGGCGGGCTGCGACAGGTGTGTACGCCATGACGCGTGTACGTGCATACACGCAGACATTTTTCAGATCACTTTCACTCTCGGCATTCCAAGTGATGCTGGAAGAAGGCTGGCTGGACGTAACGCCGATCTTTTCGTTTAACGGCGAACCCGCCGCGGAGAAACGCGTTGCATCGGGCATCCCACTTTACGCACCCTCGCGGTAAAAAAATTTAATTCCAAATTAGCCTTAAAATACAAAAAATTGAGATTTAAGGTGATATGAAAGGGTCATTCCATACACAAATCGCCTAAAATATTTATACAATTTTTCTCCAAACTGGGTGCACCGAATAATTTGAAACCTTGACACGTAATTATGGAGGCCCTAAGAAAGAACGCGATGCTCGTGAAATTTCATTTTTCAATAACAAAAAATATGTGTCCTGTTCCATTATGCTTTGAATGAATAAAATTTCATCGATGAAATATTTTTTTTTGGTTCAATGAAATTTTTCTTCTTAGCCTAGGTGCAAGTGCCCGATTACCAGAAAATCGTCGACATGTATCGAGATTTCTTACCGGCCAACGCAGTCCATTGCTCGACTTAACTATCGTTTCTACCGAGTCATTTTCACGGCAAAGAAATCTTGACGCAAGGCTGCCTTATTAAACGTAATAACCGCGCGAAAAGATCGCCGGTAATCATTCACGGAATTATCGAGTCTAAGGGTGGACTTGCGCACTTTTTAGTTACGGGAACGCGAGCAGCGATTTTCTCCGTGTCGGAATTCCCTGGAGTGAAGTTCACCACGGCGATTATCTGGCAAAAAATCCTCCACCGGGGAAAATTCTCGGCCGAATAATTCCCCGTGAATGAAACCCGATGTAAATGCTGGAGACTAAACTTATTCCTCTCTTACGGAAAAGTGTTTCTTTACTCGCGATGGCGACGCATTACGCAAGTTAAGTTACGCAACGCATTATGCATTAATCCTGTTAATCGTGATTCTACTAATGATAACGATCACATTAATCGTATCAATGATTATAATTATTATGAAAAAATTCACTGAACCAGATGAACATTTCCTTGAATACCAAGGAAATATTTTGCTCAAGAAATAATTATTTGAGTCATCTAAACTGGAATAAATTGGAAACTTTTCTTCGGTAATTGAATGAATTTCTTTTTTTTTTTCGGCTGGTCGGTTTCCCTTCTGGCACTTTTTAATTGAGACGGAACGAGTGGCTCTAATCTTGCGGTAAATGCACGTTTAATGTACACTGGGAGACATCAATGCCCTCTCATACTGCACAGGCGATGCCGTATCTGCAGAGGAGGCATTCATGTCCGTTATTGTACTATATAGCCATAAGTCACGGTGTCTGGACCGAGAGTCATGGTTTCTTCAAATAGCTGATGCATCCAAGAAATAGAGCCATTATGTGGATACAACCTCTTAGACGAGATGCCGTCATTAAATAGTACTCT